CTTGTTCCCTGAATTTTTCCGCCCTTAAAAATTCGACGACCTCCGCCGGGTATTTGAACCCGCATACTACAAGTCATGAGGTGGGAACGTTACCTCTAGACTACGGAGGCCGCTATAATAATTTAGTGTTACTTCCAGCTACAATTTTGAGATCATCCATGTTGTGTGGAGAGATAGTTCTTTGCACTGGGCACTTTGCATCTGTGGATATACTCAGAAAGCATAAGCAAGTCCATAATGGGCTGACGATGTCTCCTTGAAATGTGCTTCTTTTAATATTTATACCCCCTATTTCAACATTGCACCGATCAAAGTGGCTGCGCAGTCTCAGGCATGAGCTGTTTTTGCCCGTTTCAACACTGGGATTGTGGGTTTGAATCCCACTCGAGGCATGGATGTCTGCGTGCATTTATTCTGTGTGTAGGTAGTGGCCTTGCAACAGGCTGATCCCCTGTCCAAGGAGTCCTACTGACTTTGTATAAATTAAGAAACTGAAAAGCAACAAAGATCCAAAAAAACAGCTGTAGAGCCATAGATGGATGGATGGATTTCAGCATTCCTCATTGTACTGCACATATTCATAATTTTTATTTTTACTATAATTAGATGAACCTTGTACTGTTCATGACATTTACTCAGCTGTGAATGAAGATTTCTATGTATAGCATCAATTCTGAGTTATTACAGCCTAACAACATATTCAGAGCAAACTCATGTTGCTCCATTGCCAGAATATTATTTTCATTCTTGTCGAGACAGCAGTAAACATTGAGATTTCCACATTTGTGTAAAGCGTATGCTTATTTGCATGTAAGAAATTACAGGATTTTTATTAGGATTTTTAAACCTGTGAAATCAGAACTTTTTTTCTTATGCATTGAGGTCTTTTTAAAGGCCTCCTTAAGATCTGTCTTGTACTGTCATTCAGCTACCCTGAAAATGGAGGCAGCGGGTTACTCTGAAACATTGGTTCCTGTCTGCTAAATCACACAGAACAACACATCCCAGAAGAGTTCAATGACAATGCAATGCCACACAACAAATGGCCGTTATGTATTTTTTTTCTTTGCAGAATGACGTAAGTTTGAAATTTGTCTTTTTTGATGGCGAGGAGGCATTTCAGCAGTGGGGTCCAACCGACTCGATTTATGGGGCACGGCACCTGGCTGCAAAATGGGAGCAAAGTGCATATCCAAAGGACAATGCCGATGGCACCAACCAGCTCCACAGAATAGTGAGTGGCATTCTGCTTGGTTCCATACCATGTTGTAGGTGAAGTTGCGTCCAAGATGAATTAATAACCAAGACATATAGATATATGGGGGAGTCTGGATATAAATCTCTGCATTGATAGGCTCAGTGCTAGATGAAGGCACATGATCAGTTTAATGAAAGCTGTCCCTGTTCTTAATGAATTCAGTAGCATGCCATGAAGATGTAGGGGAAGTGAAGGTAATATGACCTTAGCACTAGGAGGGGGTGAGTGGTCAGCTTCACGCCCTTGCCACTTTACCCTCGGGAGAAAGCTGCTGCTATCCATTGGATAGGAGGCTGGATGTGCCCTAGAGCTGGTCTGGACACTGTGGAGAAGAGAAAAACCTTGCTCTTGCCAGGAATCTAACCATGGCCATCCATCCCCTAGCCCATCACTTCTGTGGAAAGAGCCTGTAATAATGATTTGATAAGACGGTTACCCTAAAGCTGGTCTGATCATGGTGGTAAAGAGGGGTCAAACAGCAGTCACTTAGCTCTGCATGTTATGCAGTCAGAGCTATTAAACCATATGTAAATCAGGAAACTGTTGGAGCTGTCCCTGCTCATTACATGATTAACACAGGGAAATGTTCTCATAATTCTGTTGAACTAGAATGACAGGAAATGAACTATATGAATATGTTAATATCTAAAATTTAAAATCTGAAGTACAACCAATACTTGGTAATTAATAACTATCAGTTTACCTAAAATCCTGTATTACACACAATGAAGAAACTTTATACAGTATTCTAATTATAAATGTTTTTCACATTTCAATCTAATAATCAGTCATGATGATGACTGCTGCAGGCAAGACATGTCCTGATGTATCTTGCTAAAGCTGTATAGTTAGTGGTATAAATAGTAAACAGCTGAGTGTATTTTATTCAGTTTCAGTCTAACAATATACTCATATGTATAATTCTATGGTAACTAGACAGTTTCTACATTACGGCATGTTTTGGCCATCTTCATAGTTATAGAATTATACATATATTGTGAGACTGAAACTGAAATAAAATATTTTACACACAATATGACACTGAAATATAATACTGCTGTTAACAACTTCTGAGTCTAAATGGCACTGATGTTGATGATGGTGATGTATGTACAACAGAAAGACCATTGTTTTTGACAACTTTTGAGTCTTCTGTTGATGAAAAATGTATTGCGTTTGTAAATGAAGGCTCTACAGCAAAATTGTTTTATTTATTTTCATCGGCACTACTTATGTCATTAAATTTTCCGTTTGTGTTCTAAGTTTTTTGTCTTTTAGGACTACTTTATGCTTCACTAATCCAAATTATTACTTACTGTGGATGACCTCTCCCCCCACTTAAGCAGGATTAACAAGGGTTTTCTATTATTCTGAGCAAAATTTGTTAAGTGTGTATACCATTCACTTGGAAAACCCTATGTACACATCTGGTGATTTTCGTTTTCTCTTGAGACTAAGTAATTGCAATATTTATAGATTGTCATCATGATGTAGTGGTTTTAGTTTGACCTTTTATAACGTCATAGCTTTTACTTTGAACCAGGAAGTGAATTCATAAGTGAAATTCCAAAACACTGATTCAATGCCTAATTTAATCATTTTTTATGAATACTTTTACTACTGAAATTTCAGGGCTCCTGCCAGAGTTGATGGCACCTGTTTGCTGAAGGTCTTGTTACTAACCAAGGTTTTGCAATGAAGGACACAAACACATTCCATTACTTTTTTTTTCACTTCCTGTTAATGGTAATTATGTTTGTGATAGATAACCAGCTGCTGAGGTACAATTTTATATATATATATATCAGTCCATAACAGTAATGTTATGTATGTCATCGCTCATATGAGTCTACATAACACACAGCGACTGTTACTGTTTTCCACTTGTTCTCTTCAATTCCAGTCTCGAATATAGTGCAAAATCATCATCATGGAAAAATGGCTGGTCCAAGCAGTAGAATTCCAGCACAAGGGGGTATGGTAGTGAATGTTTTAAGTTATTTTAAGTTTAGTTTTTAATTTGAACTTATGGTATTTACAGTTGCAAATAAGCGCTGCAATCAGGATAAATACAAATCCTTTAAGAAACCAGGAAGTTCATACTTCGTCATCTGTCTTTGATGCCAGTAGACAGATACAAACACAGACACAATTCATTTGTAAGTGTGACTGCAGATGCACTGTCACTGTTTACAAGTGTGTTTTATCTTTTTTTAGGACATTTTAGTCTTGCTGGATCTACTTGGAGCCCCAGATCCAGTATTTTACAGTTACTTTAAAGAAACAGAAAACTGGTATCGTCGGATGATGGCAGCAGAGAGAAGCCTAGCCAGACTGGGGCAACTGGTACAATATTCAGTAGGCAAGCCTGATCAGTATTATTTTCAACAGATGTCGAGACGTGGCGGTATTGAAGATGATCATATTCCGTTCATGATTCGAGGTACGTCTGGTTTCATGACTAAGAAAGGCATTCTATCGAGGATCTTTCCCATATTTATTTATAGAAAAATACAGAATATTGGCACATTATTCTGGTGCAGTGTCATTTACTTGGAGGAGGCCCTGAAGTAATAATTATAAGTGATACAGTAATTGACCAATGTAGATGAAACTTGGCAGGTGCATACCTTGTTAGGTTGCTGTAATTGGTTTCCCTTCACGTGGACACAGAGGCCCACATTGTNAGCATACCTTGTTAGGTGTGGAGACAACTGGGTTATGGAAATGCTGTAATTGGTTTCCCTTCACGTGGACACAGAGGCCCACATTGTGCTCCATGTGTGCAAATGTTGCAGCTAGAATGGCCAGAGAGATTGCAGCAATTGTAGATATGATGTGATCTGGGCACGCAGACAGTGGGTCAGTGTTTCAAAGTTCACAGCATTGCCAAGTTTATTTTTCTTTAGTAAATCATTGCATGATTTTATAGAAGTTTTGACATGCACAATATCTGTCAGACATTTACTTTCTGCATAAATGAATTGCATTTTTACACAATCTTCATTCATGTATATAAGTCAGATCCATTTATTTGAATAAAACAACGAAACCCCGTATTTCAGTACGTTGAATGCAGTATCTTTCATTATGATGCTACGTTATAAAATATTGGCTATTTATTTCCAGGTGTCCCAATCTTGCATCTGATTCCAGTTCCCTTCCCATCGGCGTGGCATACAGAAGACGACAATCGTAATGCTGTTGACATAGCAACAGTTGAAAATCTGAACAAGATTCTAAGGCTCTTTGTGGCAGAATACCTTCATTTGCAGGTCTAAATCAAATCTGTTGTAGATTCACCTACTCAATCTCTTCAGCAAGGGGGTGAAGTTGAGGGTGTTGTATGATCAAAGCAATGTCCTTCTCATGTTAATACGCTGACTGCCATGGGAGGCATTTTCTGTGCTGTCGCATCAATTATAAATGTCTTCTGCAGACGCACCATCTCACAGCCATGGAGGATACTGGTGTTCACTGTCTAATGTCTGGATAGTTCTCATGTCACCACCATGTATCCATTGGTTCTATTTAAGCTTCAAAGTAATGCAGCCACTGTGGGTTGTGGGTACTGAAGTATTGTGCAGTGGCTGTGACGATTCACATGTCTCAACATGGTGGCCTGGAACAAAGTACAAAAATGTCAGTCATTGCATTATCAGCTTCACTACCAGCAACTTTGCTGCTGGCTTACCCCCCAGTCCAGCGATTTTTAGCTCTACATTAGTTACTTTCAATATTTCATGGTAACATAGTAAACAATCTACAAATACTGAAAGACTGTACAGGTTGGTGTAATGCTATGAACTTGTATTTTGGAAGCATTTTATTTGAGTCTCACCTGGGTTATCTTCTGTTCTGACTGAGGCTTTTTGTGGTCTACCCGAGTCCCTACAGGCACTTCACATTTTGTACATAATTATAATGAATTCATGTATAAACCCAAGAACATATATAAGTTTGGAAAAAGGGTGTTACAGAACAGCTCAAATGTATACAATTTTTTATGGTTTTATATTTAAACCGTTGTCTTTTAACCTCAAGTATCAAAGCATAATAATACATAGCATATTGCAGTGGTGCCTAAAAATGTATGCACCAGGGTTTTAATTTGAGAGATCTGAGGTTTTCTTGGTGGTGACTGTTAAACTAAATTATGGTCTCTGTTGATGCTGTATAGTTTGGTAGGCTGGTGTAAACATTTTGGAAGATCCTGCTGACTGTCTTCAGGGTAGAAGAATGGGTACCCACAAGACAGAGGAAGCAGGATCTCAGTGCTGTGAGATCCTAAACTATATAAACTTTCAATAACATATTTTGAAGTAGCCTTGAAAGAATCAAAACATTGAATACTTCAGTTACCATTTTTATATATTGCCTTCATATTGTTTACATGGATACTGTAAATATTCTAGTATATATATATATATATATATATGGATGAGTAAATAAAATATTCTTATATATAACTAATTACTTCACATTATTAAAATTATGATAATAGTAAATCTTGATTCTCATTTTGTCACTGTTTAAATACATGTATATAGAAACTTGGATTGCTCAGTTGGTATAATGAGAGCTATACAGGCTAGACAGCAGGGGAATCGGGGTTCAATTCCCAGCAGGGACAAGAGATTTTTCTCTTCTCCACAGTGTCCAGACTGGCTGTGGGGCCAACCCAGCCTTCTGTCCAGTGGGTGTCCAGGGCTCTTTCCCCAGGTGTAAAGTGGCCAGATTGTGAAGCTGACCACTCACCCCCATCTAGTGATGAGGTTGAGAACACATGGAGCTATACCTCCATTCCCCATACATTTTCATGGTATGGTGCTTAATTAATTAAACAAAGTGACAAATTACCTTTGATTTTATAATATAAAAACAGTGAAATCCAAGTGCAACAGATACTAAAACCCTTGAAGCACAAAGATCACCTAAGTAATGTCTGAAGACTGTTTGTACCCAGCAGAATGTGCACAGGTCTTCATTGCAAAGATCAAATGATGTTTAGGGAAATAATCACTACTCAAAGATTCATATATAAGACATGACTGTGTGGGCAAAATGAAGAGTTTCTGAATGTGCAAGCAGGTTGTGCACTGCTTTAAGGGGTTAATATTTTTTTATATAGTCAAGATAATTGGATGCACTGTTTGATAAGTAACTTCCAATACAAAGTCTCATTTATGGCAGAAATGTATTTTATACCAGCAGAACTAGGGTTCATCATTGATTTTAATAATGACACGTTATGCTTTTTAATGCTGAAAATATTCAGTTCCCATTACACAAAAATTGCCTTTCTGTTCTTTTAGAAATGTGATGAAAATATAATTGTTAAATGCAGCTCAAATGTTTGGGTGACATGTTTACACAGATCACAAAAAATTCCTGTTTTGGATTACTGTTCAAAATTTGACGAGCTTATTTCTCTGTGCATAAATAAAATTTAATAGATTACATTGAGAAAAAGGTATCAGTGGAAAGAATGAATGTTACATGTCATATGAAGAAGTTAACCATAACAACAGCATTTATAGGCTACGTACTTGCATATTTAAATCTGACAACCTTACACTAAATGTTAACTTACTCCTATATTAATTATGCAGTTACTGGTGCTGTTTCTAATACTCCATACCAGACTTCCACTTATCTCTTTCCAGATCCCGATAGTGACAATGGGGGCGAGTTCTTCACCACTTCTCTTCCTGTTACCACTGCTAACTCCTTCTCGTGTTCTGCTAGCCTATGCATAAGATGCCTGCGTTCATCTGGTCAAGCCGATCTTCATGAAGCTTCAAATCTTCATTTCCATAAATTCAAAACGTGGAATAACGGTACACTGAAACCAACCTGCTGTTTTCTTGACATTCTAAAACCTGTTCATCTGTTATGATACTAGTATTAACCCTTTGAAGCATGAATGTCTTCTGAATAATATTTAAATATTTGCTTCCTACCTCACAGTAAACTTATTATCTTCATTACAAAGACCAATCAGTAAATGCTGTTTAGGGGAATAATCACCGTTTACTGTGAGAGTCATAGAAAACACATAAATACACTGTGTGGGCAAAATGTAGAGTGTTTTTGGTGTTAAGGCGGTAAATATAGTTACATGCCATCATGGAGGACAGCAGTGTATGTGCAAAATACTTACCATGTCCCACAGCAGTCACTGGTCTGCATTCTCTTGGATATGTTTGTGTGCCACTGCTGTGTGTCTACTAGTTGTGCGCGCGTTTGGGGTGGGGGTACTACAGCAGTCATCAGTTTCTCTGACAATTGACAGTAATGTAAAAACAATATACATTTCGACACAGCTGGTGAAAACAAACAATGTAAAAACATTTAATACGGCATGGGGCAAAAGTTGTAAAAATCATAATGACACTCATCATGTTCACGTAAATTAATTCTGTGATGCATTTATGTGAATATCATTGTAAGCCACCAGTGTTAGAGTAAGTAAAGGTATCCCTGTAAGAGGCCGTGGAGGCCCATAGGGTTGTGAGACATGGAGGCTCCCACATTTTCTAGACAATCTGCTCATAGATGGCAGTGAGGTTGTCAGCCTTACAAGCTGGCCAGCTGCTCTTTACCCCAAGCAACCAGTCTTAGGGAATGAAATTGCATATTAAGAACAGTAAAATTGTGTGATATGTAGAACATGGGAAAAATACTCGGTTTGTAAGATACATCTTTCACTCCATATTGATATATAAAGTTGCTGGTATACTAGTCAATTTATCAGAGTTTGTACCATGCCATATGCAGCAATGCCTGTTATACTGAGGTCATGCAAAGGAGTCCCATGGATCTGCCCTCTCCTAATCTCCCTCAAGCTGTTATGCATCCCTGTCCAGTATAGTTCCCTGTATTCCCCCACCTCTCATAGAGCTGTTCTGTTCAAATGAATGTCTGTGATAACATTTGCCAGTGAAAAGTGATTTGGACAAGCTGACATAGGCCAGAGGGTCTGGGGGGAAATACAAGAGTAGGAAGAAAGGGATATCATCCCCAACATCCACAGTACTTCTTTCTGTGGCCTTGGTGGATTAAATTTGGCAATTGCTGTACTTGCATTTATACTCATTTTACTAAAGTAGGAACCATTCATTTAAATCCCATCACATTGCTGAAGTTAAAATCTAGAATGCATCATTCTCCACGCATTTAGGTTATTCAGCGACTGTCATATTAATGAGAAGAAATATTCCCAAAAGCATTTCATATGAGACCAGCCTTATATAAAGGTACAATGAAGGAGGCTGCCGAGGGCAGATCACAGAAGTAGGCCTATTTCTCACATGTGGTTTATCACGATTTTCTAGAGCCTCTCCAGACAGTTGCTGGAATATTTTCTTAAATTACGCTGTGATGGCATTCCTCCGCATATTTTCCATCTTCATCCGTTTTTACGTTTCATATATTTAAATACGTAATGATGCCCCACCATTCATGTCCTCGGCACTACATGGAGTTGAGCGCTCAGCTTCCTTTACCCACGGGGGCAACACCCCCTGCTACCACTGTATAGGCTCAGAAGTCCCAAAGCTGGTATACGTCGGTATGCGTACGATGCGTACTGTGGGAAAGAGAAAAGAATAGATTCGTCAGTAGCCGAACCTCCTACTTCGTCATACAAACGCCCAATCCGAATGACGACTATCCGATAGGTCGAATAATCACATCCTTTACACCTCGCGAATACGCATCCAGCCACAGCTAATCACTTCCTTTTCCTTACAATTAAATGAAAACAGTACTCGTCATACGAAATGAACGTCAATAAATAAAGCTGCTATGAATAAAATTATGGAGACTGTCTAATTTAATATAAATGTCTGTTTTAGATGTGGAATTGTGGAAATACTCAAGAAGTACAGCGATGAAAACGACAGTTCATTTGGTTTACGAGTAGCGCAACTTGATGCGCATTCGTTTTTGTGAGTTGTCAAAACATGGCGACAGATTTGGTGTTTGGTGGGTGGATTAGGCTATGTATTTGTCCATATATTGTAGTATGTGTGATGGTACATGTTGTTAATGCGGAGGGATGATTCTGTTATGTTGCTAAATACGCTTCTTATGTTTTTCCCTCAACACCTTGCCACTTACGTAATCTGCATGGAGAGAAATTTTTGCAATGCAGAAACTTGTTTGTAAATAGGATTTTAGGGTTAGGCAAACGATTACGTTAGGGGCTGTAAGAGTTTGAATTGTGATAAATAATATGTTTATGCTCTCTATTTCAGGGTCAGTACCTCCGTATTATCGTGAAGTTTTTAATATTATTTCACCATCTTCCAGTAATGTCAGTAAGGAACTGTTCACAAAGTTGCTTGTCAAATCAGGACTCCCATCGCAGACATTAAGTTTGGTAAGTCTTGAGGAAGTATTTTAAGCGAAATCAGAGATACCCCAGATCTGAGGGGGTGAACTCGGGTGTACCACTGTTATCTCGTTTTGGTATTGAATACTCCTACCTCTTTCCTGCTGTCTCTGATGTTTTTTTTTTTATTAATAATAGAGTCCTTTTTGCAATAATGGACAGTTGTGAAAGTTGAAATATTTGTATCGGTGTAATAATTTGAGGCGTAGGCTTTGTGAATATTATAAACAGAAATACAGAAAATAAAGGATTGTGTGTTAGAAATATGAGACATTGAACACAGTTTTATAGAGCTCAGTTGTATCATGTTTCATTTGATACGTTTGTGTATATTTCTAGATCTGGGAGCTTGTAGATACAAAGCAAGGGCCACTTTCTCGTAGCAGTTTGTACAAGGGTTTGGCATTGGTTGCCTGGGCGCAGCAGGGCAAACAGCCAAGTTCAAAACTTCTGGAGAATTTCTCTGGGGAAGGTAAATATTATTTCTGAAGTAAGTACTGGTATATAGGTTTCATTACTGCACACTACACAGTTTTAGTTGCATGAAATTTGTTTTACTACTTTGTAGAAATATGAAATAGGTTTAAATATTCTACTGTTAATCTTTTCCCATCTATTTCTGTTCCATGGATGTGACGTTGTAGTCACATTTTTCTAACCGTATTTATTATTATTATTATTATTATTATTATTATTATTGTTATTATTAATTATAGTGAAATAAAATTGTATAAAATATTTGTAGGATTAATGTGAAATTAAATTCTGGTAATGAGACATGGTAAAAAACCTCTCACAATATTTACAACTGTCTCAAATTCTGAGGCTGAGAAATTGTGTCCTGCTATTCTGACTGGATTGCCATTTTGTATGTGACTTCAGAATACTGAGTATGTTGAAAATGAAGATTTATTGAGGCCACAGCCTTATCATGAGCTTGTGCCTTCTTCCTTTAGCTTAGCTGACCTGCTTTTCTGTAGGGTACTCAACTCACATGCAAATAAGGACAGATAGGAAAAAGCATATGCCATAAATAAGGCCATGGTCCTTAGGGGACCATAGAACGAAGGGGTATGTAAGTAAATAAGTAAATGACATCGCCCGTTGGTCAGTTTTTTGGTGGGCCTACAGAAGAGGTGCCATCTCTGTGGGCTGCAGTGTGAGTCGGTAAAGGCCTCCATGCACGTACATTCAGTTGGTGCCTCAAAGCACGGCCGTAACAGTATATACTGCCTGCTTGAACATTATAAAGCACTGCATTTTGCCCAGTAAGTGTATAATTCTCGTAGTAAACAGCAAGCAGTTCTTTCCCTAAACAGCATTGACTGGTTGGTCTTCATAATGGAGACGTGTGAGGCAGGAACTGAATTTGTAAATATTATTTAGATGAAGTTTGTGCTTCAGATGTGAAAGTTTAGGTGTGATTGTGTTGGGTTATTATAGAGCTTCCACGACCAGATTTGGGTGACCTGTCAGACCTTTCACCAGCAGTGACAACAAGTCTGACACAGATTGGTCTACGTTATCCTGACATCTGCCAGATGGATACTATAGAAGTTGACTTGGTACCTGAAAAGAAAGGGCTGTTCCTAAAACATGTAGAATATCAAGTGTGCAGCAAGGTAAGAACAGTTGGGCTGTTATCAGTACAAATTTCTAGTGCCCATTGTGTGGGCTGCTCATCAGGTTTTAATCATATTGTGCCAGCTCTCAGCAAGTGTACGCCGGGCATACCCACCAGCCCAATCAGTTTTAGCAGTACATGGCTGTTTTTGCGGTTGCGGGACTTTCGATGCTTGAATAGACAATCACACATGAAACTATTGTAACAAATGCATATTGTTGCATTGGAGCTGTCATGGTCTGCTCTGATCAGCTGATGCTTGATTCCGTGTGGGTTTCTCCCCCAGAGTATTCTTCTACAAAGAAATGAATAGCAAATTGTCTGCGTACAGTCAAGGAATAACGAAAGGTAGCTGTCAGTACCATCTAGGGACAGGGGGAAGAAACTGCCCAAAGTGCGCTGTGAAAGAGAAATATTTTGTCTTGTCGCAGTTACTATCTCACCTTGGTTGGATATGGCAGTGTGGACAAAGCATTAGGTAACAAACATTCAGAATAGGAGAGCAACAGAGTAAGGTAAAGATAAAGTTATCCCTGGGCTCAATTAATTACCATGCCATGAAGGTGTATGGGGGACTGGAGATATAGCTGCACCTTTCTTAACCTTGGCAGTAGATGGAGGCCTTTGGTCAGCTTCATGCCTCTGCTGTTTTATCCCTGGGGAATCATCCCGTGCCCCGCATTGTATGGGGAGGAGGCTGAATGGGCCCCAGAACTGGTGTGGACGTTATAGAGAAGAGAAAAATCTTCCTGTGCTGCCGATTGAACCCCCGTTACATTTGTCGAGACCCTAACCTGGTAACTATGTCAACTGAGCTATCCTGGTTGGAGGAGCAAAACAGTTTGTGATAAAATGGAATATTTTTAGAGTAACAGTGGGTGCATTTGACTTATGGAGGCAGGTTTGAGCTTGTAATACAGAAATATGGGAATATATTATGCAAATTTAATTCATGTACTCACATGTCTGGAAATGAATTGACGATAAAGATTTCACTACCTCTTGTGGACTAATGATTGAATTTTGTGTTTTTATTGGCAGAGGTTTGGTTCTCTTGTAAGGAGGCGGTACAACGATTTTGTGGCACTTCACGAGCTCCTTCTTGGGAGATTTCCATATAGACTTATACCTAAGCTGCCACCAAAGAAAATGGTTGGAGGTATATATTGATTACTTGGGAAATGTTCATCAAAAACAATTAAAACTGATTTAATTTCTATGCATTAATCTCAGAGCAATATCGTGCCAGTGAATTGTTAAATGGTTTATTTCCAGCGGATTCCCACTTCATTGAGGAGCGACGCAAATCCTTAAGGAGATGGTTAACACTTGTAGCTCGTCACCCTGCGCTGAGTGGTGACCCACTGCTCAGCTTCTTCTTGACGTACTCTGGTGGTGACGTCCAACACAAGATCCGAGAAATATTCAGGCGGGTGCCCGATGAATTCACCACTTCAGAACTTGCTGCCCGTGCAAAGGTATAACACTTTGTATATTTTATCTATGGTTTATGAGAACCTGAAATTTTCCTTCATCTAAACTATATACAAATATAAGGTTGTTATTTATTTGCTATCACAGACATAATAGAGAACACCCACATACTGAGAATTTTTGGACTTTTTACATTGTCCAGTATTCTAGAGAGTAGAAAACATGATAAGATATCGGGTTTTCAGACTTTATCCATCGTCCTGGTTTTTAAGATAACTAAGAAAAACACGACGTTCCAGAAACTGGATCTGTTTCCATCCTAGCACTTTCTAAGGGACCCAACAGAATAGGTGTTTTCCCTCACCTGAGGACGGAAACAGATCCAGTTTCCGAAACGTAGTGTTTTTCTTAGTTATCTTAACCAGGACGATGGATAAAGTCTGAAAACCCAATATCTCTGTGTGTTATACACCATCGTCAGAATCCTATAGCAAGAAAACACAATGTTTGGAAACTGGATTTGTTTCCATCCTCAGGTGAGGGGGGGGAAGACACATACTCATTTGGGTCCCTTAGAAAGAACTAACCTCAATCAAGTGATCCAGTTTCCAAAATGTCATATTTTCTACTTTCTAGAATATCAGAAACCTAGTAATTCTGAGTGTTATACACCATCATCAAAATCCTTTAGAACCGGCCGGCACCCAAAGACGTTATCACATACAGCTGTTAAACACTGTGCAAGTGTTATAGAGTTTTTGTCTAGGATTTGAATCTTTATTTGCAATGTCATTTTCAGTTACACAAATAAACTTTTAACTTCATAACTTGCATGTTATTTCTTTGAAGTATTAGCTACTGTACGTTGCGATATTGACAAGGAAAGTCGCAGTATCTTACGCAAAGAACCAGTACTCTGATGGTTCTGAATATAATTTGTAGATTAAATGCTTAGCTGCTTCGTCTTACGTTGATTTTGACTTGTACTTTAATGTGTGAGGTGCCATGCAACTCCAGTCACAAACTTTGAGTGTCAAAATTATGAAGAATGAACAGAAGAAATGGAGTACATAACTGATAAGGCAACAGACGCATTGACGGACTAGTGTTATGAATAAAACTTCATTGTATAATGTTAACCCTTTCCCGTTCTCTGTCAGAAGTCTTCCAACATGATTTGCCTGTTCAGGCCTAATGTAAGAAGGCTTCCTCCACTAACTTTACAAAGTACGGTTATATCTTTGCTCTTTACTTTGAGATTTTGTCTGATAGTTCACCTGTGGTTCTGATGGCTGTTGCCACATTTACGTCAGAATTTAGTTACCAGTAAGAAATGGTGGAAGTTGTGTTGAGGACTTATGAGATACGACACTGTGTAGTTCAGTTCGTAGGTACCAAAATTTTGGATGAACTTGCTGCAGCCATCTTCAGGGTAGAAGAGTGAGCCAAGTGAATAAATAATGGTATGAGGTGTAGGGAAGGAAGGACTAGACCATGGCTTTGGGCAAGCTGGTGGGAGCCATCGGCTCTAAAGAGGGCTGTTTTCGTAATGGGAAGGGGGAGAAAGAATAATACGAGGGTGTACGTGGCAAGAAACGAAGGGAAGGAAGGGATAGAAGACAGGCCCTTATTAGCAGGCCTTAATGAGAGCCGTGTTAGCGATACTAGATCATGGCATATCTCCTCGGTCATTCTTTCCCTACATCGGGCATCAATTTCCTCTGAAATGTTGATGACAGTCTGTGATGCTGCATGGTGTCACTTTCCAGGAGACGGTGCTATTCATTGTCACCAATGTCAAAACATCAGTCCCAGAAGTTTTGAATAATCAGTATATATTCCTTTACCAGGAATTGGTACCTCCTGAAACACACAGCGAATTTGCCAACAGTCGAGACCAGATTAGAATTATACTTAATGGTATATCTCGCCTGAAGCAGATTGCTGATGTCTTGGCCTTGAGGTCACATGGGTAAGTATTTAACCCTTTGTACTACGGTTATCATCAGGAGCCGGTGTAGCTTGGCTGCTGTGGGCTGGTTGACCAAGAAATTGAAGTTAGATTCCTGGTAGGGGCTACAGATTTTTCTTTTTTCTGTAGCATTCTGACTGGCTCAGGGGTGCACCCAGCCTCCTTTCCATGGGTACCAGAGTCTGCCCGAGGTTGAAGCAGCATGACATGAATTTGACCACACACCTGCATCTAGTGCCAACATTAAGAATGGTGGAGCTATACCTCCACTCTCCCATATGTCTTCACGGTGTGATCCTTAATTAATTAAGCTGTGGGATAACTTTACCTGTAAAAGGTAAAGGTAAAGCTATCCCCGTAACAGGCCATGGAGGCCCATAGGGTTGTGAGATGTTGAGGCTCCCACATTATCTAGACCATTGGCTCACAGATGGCGGTAAGGTTGTCAGCCTACACACCAGCCGCCCTTTACCCCCAGGAAAATTCCTGGTACTCATTTCTGTTAGAGGCTGAGTCAACCCCAGGGCCATAGTGCAGCTGGAAGGATTAGGTCAATTGAAAAAGAATCAAATGACCTCATCGGGACTTGAACCCGCATAGTGCCTCAACCAACTACACTACCGCGTGCCCCAACTTTACCTGTTATTGCCCAAAAATGTTATACTCATTGCTTAGGTTTTGCTTTTTTAAGACATATTTCATGTAAAATGATGTAAGCTTTCTATCAGTTTTCTGCCTGTCTTTTCTTCCTTGCTGCAGACTAGAGAAAATCCTAAAATACCATGAAGTTTACTCTGTCCTGCTGTCAGTATGCAGAGTGTTCATGGATGTTGAAGCAAGATGCAGTACTGTGGCAGAGTTTGTGTGTACAGTTCAGATCCTCATTTCCAGTCATCTTTGTATTACCTGAGTAGATATTGTCTCAGTTTGAGTGTTATTCCTTCTAGCTGCTACATATTGATATCTAGGCAAAGAAAGTAGTCATTTCCTGGGCAAAGGATGGGTACTTCTGCTTCTATTGATACTTACACAATAAACATTTCAGATAATATGATTATGCGGTCTAGAAAACTGAAATTAACAGCCGTGAGGATCCGTTGCGCTGACCACGACACCTTCTATCCACTAAAGTTGTCACTAACTTCGCCGACAAGCAGTGGTCGCTCGGTTGCTATAGTTCCCTTGCGGACTACAGGCCATGGAGTTTGTTTTGATAATATGATTGTGTCTGTAATCTTGACATTTTTTTTTTCGTTCAGTTATGCAGCTGATATGGCTGAACTTGGATCTCAGCTAACCAGTTTAGCGAATGAACCCCATGGATCCTCAAATTGGGCTACAGGTGGTAACAGTGTCTGGGCTGACATGAAGAAAGGATTTCATATCATATCTAAGTGAGTCTATTTTTAAAGAACTGTCAACTTTGACTACAGAACATATTTTGTTGCAGTGGGTTCAGAGGAACTGATGCATGGCCATGAAGATTCATATGATGAGACTTGAGCATCTCACAGTAATGAATATTAAGATTATGGTCATCTGGGATGTGATGTATTTGTATTCATTTATTTGTGGTCCATTTAGTAACACTGTCAGCCAGTTTATTAAATGACATAATGAATAGATTAATGAATGATAAATTGGAAAAGGATGTAGAAAGCCATGGCCTATTTCAAGATACTGTCCTGGCATTCACCTGGAAGAACTAAAAAGAAAGAAAAACATGAAATATATGAATGAAGATAGTCAGTGTCCAAGCTGAGATTTGAACGAAGCATTTTCTGGATATAAGTCAGAACTGTTATCACCAACCTGCCGGCTTGCTTTGTGACACTGTGCGCAAGATAGGTACTGACATTTCACAGGAATGTGCAGAGTCCATCTTCAGGGACTAAACTACACTCACATCCCACAAGATCATACATAATCTTAATTCTCACTGTGGTCTGTCTTCTGGCTTAGGAAACTGTGTGGTCTTTTACATGTACATCTTGCATCTAATACAATTTGTTTCATTCCCAGAGAATTTGGTCTTCTCTCAAGCAAGGCGATGCAACAAGCTATAAGGGAAGAGGATGAGGTCTGTGAGAGACTGAACCTTTTGCTGGATATCCTGGTCGCTCATAGAGAACTTTGCGAGAGGCATGAGAAGGGTGTTGCGCAAGATCATAACAAGGCTTTAGCAAAGATGCTTTCTCTCAAGAAACGACAGATGCAAGGTGTCATCAGAGGCACAGATGTACGTACATTTCAACTGTAGTGTTTGAAGTGACTAAGAGTAAAGCCAGGCAAGCAGAGCTTGTTTTGTGCTGCTTCTTGCTTAGATTACTCTTCAACCCTGAAGATGGAGACAGTACATTCCACTGAAACGTCAGTGAACTTGTTACCAGATTACATAGCATTTTATCCCATAAGACAATATTCTTCTGCCATTGATATGTAAAACATTTTTCAGTGTGTTAATGGTTGAGATTTGCACAGTGGTGAGTATGAAATATAAATACTATCTTCTGGAATGTGACACATCATAGTCTGGTAGAAAGAAGTTCACCATTTCTCTGTAACATTTGTAAATTCATACCAGACTGTACAGTGTCACATCCCAGAATATAGTACTCTTCATTTTTCCATTTTAAATTTTATAACCATTTTATATCTCATAAACAGTCTGCATTGTGATATTGTATTGTAGCATTGTATTTTCACTTTTAATTCTATGGTCTTATGTGGAACAATTTATTGAAAGTTAAAGTGACTAGCTTTCATTATGTTTTAATAAATTGTTGCATGTAAGACTGTAGAATTAACTAAAAACACTAAGTATGCATTGTAAGCTGAGTTGTTTAAAGAAACTAAATTGTTTTTAATTATCTGCAGATTGTTTGGCTCTGGCTAGTTCTTATTGTAAAGGATTTCTACTTGATTCATTTAATAACTTGGCTATAAAGAGTACCATATTCTTGTTTCTTGCTGGTTTCCTGGTTGCCTCATTCTCTGACCCTGAAGGTGGAGTCACCATGTTCTTTTGAAACAGTGGCAAACTTCTACCGGACTGCATGGCATCACATACGAGAAGACAATACCATTCATAGTTACCAGTGTGAAAGTGTCAAATCCTGCCCAGTCCTGTTAAACATTGAGACATTCATGAGCCCAGTATGCAGCATCGTGTGTTTATGTGTTTATGTATGTATGTATGCTCAGAAGTACTAAAAATGTGTACTTTTCTTTCAGGCTGAATCTGTGGAACAGTTAGAGACAAAGATGATGGAACAGGAGTCTGTAATTGCCAATGTCGAGCTCCGCAATGCATTCTCTCTGCATTGTCTCCACTTAGAAACTCAATTGGTACATGCACATCTGGAGATTTTAGCAGCTGTACTGGGAACTCTAGTTGCTGTACAGATCAGGGGGCACTCTGAGGTAGGCATCACTAAGAAGCAGTGGTACAGGGGAGACTAAACTTATGTGGATGTTTGTTTATAATATTTACGTTATTCTTTGAAAATGACAAGTTTAGGGGACCACAGTGAAACTCCGAATTATTTTTAAGGGATAGATTTGAACATTAAACTGAGAAAAATTTTAAACAGAGGTGTTTTAACACTGAGATCATTGTCTTGGGGCCACTGAAATTGAGCATTAAAGGATGGAAATTCTTAAATTTGGGAATATTAAATGGGGGTTCATCTTAGAATAATTTCTTTATTAACAACCATATTTTTGGAGGGTGTTTTGGGCATGAATTTTTGGCAGTTTCATGAATGTGCAGAGGGGCCAGAAGCTTGTGGAAGGAGTCTATATCGCCAGCTGCTTGTGGAAATACAAGTATTTTTTGTGATTGGATTTGGTGCATGTGGAAATAAGTAACAATCTATTACTTCATGCAGTTTTGTCACATTCTTATTAACATTTTCTTGGATGCAATACCATGCAGCTATGTGGATATGTACTACACATTTTGGAAGAACCTGTGGATGTTCCACCGAAACAATCCGCCTACCAAACTTCACTGCACAAGATTGCAGCCTTTATAATTATCATGATGATGAACTTAAATCTTGTATACATTGTTACTTTTAAAACTATTTTTCTATTTTCCCCACTGTGTTCAGTGTTGTACCACTTTTGAGTCCATTATAGTCTGTATTTTCTCAGTTTATTAGTCCAACATCAGTGAGCCTCCATTGTGATGGTATTTGTAATACAAATTAATATAGTGGGTTACTAGACTCAGATGTCATTGTCCACTTACTCATAGGAATTCTAATTCCATACTTTTGAGTGAAAACTGGTCTGTGGAGGACAGCAGGAGGGAATGTAATGTACAGAGTGTGGAAGGTGTTGTGATCATGAAAACCAATTCAGAGATTTTTCGGCACCCCTGAATATGAAAAAGTATCTTTTAGAATGCCCTGTATCTGTACGTACCACTTACTAGCACCTAAACAATTGGGCACATTACTTTCATATTCAGTATTTTAGAATTCACCCATCATAAGTTGACTCCTGGTGAATATGAATATACTAGTTAAAAAAAACAAACAATTTTTCTTGAAATATCTATAAAGATTTTGATTAAATTGCAGTAATTTATGGAGTTTATGTGTCCTTAAATAAAACTATGTGGGTGGTATTTTCAGGAACATAATGGTGCATGCACTAGGGCAGTATCTTTGCACAGGATTTTTATGCATATTTTATGAAACGAATTATGTTTGTGGAAGACGTATGTAATATAAATTGAATGTGCAATGTGTAATGTTTGTTTTATCTTTATGATCTCTCAGGACACTGTTTGGACATGCAGGTTAGTATATGGTGTTACTACATTTTTAAAGGTTTTTAATTTGTCTTGACAATTTTGAAGATTAACTTTTAATTCATATGGAGGATGTTTCCCCACACATCCAGTATAATTTTTTTTTTATTTTGAAGGTTAAAAACATATGTAATAAAATTAAGAGAATAATATTGTCTTGGATACACAGAATTACTGGGGTTTTGGACTTTTTCCATCGTCCGGAATTTTAAGTAATAGAGGACATGACGTTTCAGAAACAGATCCAGTTTCTGAAATGTTGTGTCCTCTATTACCTAATATTCCAGACGATGGAAAAAGTCCAAAACCCCTGTAATTCTGTGTGTCATCCATTGCCAGAACCTTTTAGAATCTAATTGTCTTGGATGTTAGTGTTTGTAATATTCATCCTTTCATATACTTATTATTCAGTTTTTGTAATTTTATATTCTACATATAATTAACTTGTATTTGTAGATGGCGGATGTTTGGCAGCTGATCCAGCCGACAGTTGCAAAATGCTTACCAGATAAGAATCTGCAGGATCCTGTCAATGGAACTTCTCCACATGCAGACAAATGAATACTCGTAAGAATTGGTAAACATGATATATCACTGAGGAAGTGGATGGTCGCATGTTGCAAATTTGAGTTGCATTCTGTTGATGACCTGGGAACCGTAACACTTCTTGTAGGTTCTCAGGGCAATGAAGATGAAAATGAAGATTGCTGTCTTCCAGGATAATATGCTGTGTAGTCTTCTAGAAAGTTGCCAGTTACTTCTGTCGTTGGGGTAGAAGAGGCCTTCTGCCACAAAGATGAAGGCAACATGTTCCTCCAAAATGATGGAAGCTTTTTACCGGAACACGTTGCAATTCATTCTGGAAGGTGGCAGTCTTCATGCCAGGTATTTGTTATGTCTGTTGCAGCGAATAAATGACATTGAATGTGAAATGTCATTTGGTCAAATGAGCGGTAATTGACTTGTCAAGCCACCAATCGTGTGCTGATTTTAAACTGTTATTTATAGGAACTAATTTACTAAACACAAATATCATAATGTTATAGCAAGTTGTTATGGAGCACCTTGTTCTTACCTGGTTAAAGCCGTTGTCTTCTGTTATATGCATGTAGTTGGTCAGTTTTCAAGTATTTCCAGATGGACTTTTTTTTGGGGGGGGGGGTCAAAGCAGAGATTCAGGTACGTATCATAATAGTGCCATTATAGTGGTTGTTTCACCCTCTGAGATTATCAGAAATATTTTTATGTCAAACTTTTTATTTGTGGCATGTGAAGAGAATGCATCACATCATAAAAATATTAACGATTATTTTCTTTGCGTGTTAGTTTATAGTGAGTGTGATCCTATGACAATACTGTATATAATTCAAGGTGCAGGACTGCTGGAGGACAGATCAATGACAGATATAGTGCAAGGGCCATTAAATGATCATGTCTTTTAATCTACCTATCTAGTTTTAAATCAGATTAAAATAGCACTCTTGTTTAGTGATACCAGCAGATGGCTAATGTTAGTATGGTAAGCATTAGTTGCAATCAGAAAGGATGTAGCTGTGATTTTAATAACTTTGTTAGATGTGACATAAGCTATGGAATATAAGTCTGTTGTCTGGTTTTAAATTTTATAAGTTCGTTTACTGTAGGCCTGAAACATATCTATCGAGAGACTTGAGGTTTCAATTCAATTCAATTCACTTAGTTCCCAGCTCACTCACAGTTACTAATTATAAGATGAAACATCCATAGCTGTATCCTCTGGGAATTGAATGTACACTCGTGATATTTCTGACTGGGAATGACCTAAGAAATAAGAATGCTAAGTATTGATGTGAAGTCACTGGACACCTGCTGTATGCATCCATGGGAGGGGAGATGCAGCCTTGTCGGGGCAATACACACAGCAAACAGGAACCTTGATTTTTTTTATTAGAGACAGTGTCACATAACTTCGAACAAGGCCACGCATTCCCTGCATTCCTTCAACCCACCCCCTTGTTTGAAATTTTTCTTCTGCGCATTCAAGGTTACTCTTGGCGCTCTTGGCCTTGTTCGAAGTTTCGTGATACTTGCTATATCCATATTAAGAAGGCCAAGTTTGAACTAGAACAGTAAGCACAGACTTTTGCATTTCTTTATAAGATTTTATATCATGGAACAGTATTATTAACGTGCATTTACATGACATCCGCAGGGTAACATCACATAGAGCTAGTTTTATACCAAAACTTTCTTCTATGAAGAGAAAACATTTTATAAATTAATTATTTAATGTATGTATAGCAATTGATTTGAAAATCTTACATTCTTTTTCATAATAATGGGGTTCTGAACCAAACAAGATGTGAGATTTCATGTTCTACCCCCTTCTGGGATGTGACCTTATGTAGTCTGCTAAAGCATTATCAGTGTTTCAGAGGAGCCTGCTGTCTCTATCTCCTGACTAGGAATTGTTGGCTTTTTGGTGTAGAGTGTACAGAACTGTGTAAAAAGTCAAATGAGTAGATTTGTTTTATTGCAGTGTCTAGTCTTCCTATTGCTGCAGCGTACTCACTAATTGTAAATATTAAATTATGGGTTATACCTGCACCTGTGGGGCTGGACAACCAAGGAAGGGGTTTGATTCCCAGCAGGCAAGAGATTTTCTCTTCTCATTGCCCAGACCAGCTCTGGGCCACTTTCCCCAAAGGTAAAGCAACCAGGAGTGAAGCTAATCACACCTTTACTGATACTCTCTCTGTCACATATCTTCATGGCATGGTGCTTAATTAAGCACTGGAATCTTTTTACCCCATGTAGTTCATAACTGCAGGGAATGCGAAGGTGTCCAGCTGTCATGACTTGATGTCTTCCTGATACATCTTGTGTAGTGGTGGTTTTAATGAACAATCCCACATTTAAATGAATAACATACTGGTAAATGGCTAAGCAAGTTAGCAAATCCGTGCGTAATGTTAATGATTCTGACATGTTCCCTCAGTTACGTTCACTTATCTCAGAAGAGATAAGACTTACAGAAGAAATGTTATTAGGCATAAAGTACATTTAATTTTTATCTACAGACCTTGTTTGAAAGAGTTACACTTAAGAAGGATGCAGATACACATGTAGGTCTTCACGTATAGTGTCTGTTTTTGTTGTTGTCTGCTTTTAACCTAAACTGGAATGAGTTAACACATTTTTATTAAAGCTGTCCAGTATCAAATTTCATTTTTGTTCTTGAGCTCTTACATGTTGATGGATAAACAGATATGGCAGAGCTAATAGACACATTTCTGCAACTTCTCACTGCAGACACAGCAAAAATGTATGTAAATGTAGACAGGAAGAGAGGAGGTATGTTAAACTGTGGTTTGGACAAGCTGCACAACAGAAGTATCGTGATAAATGTGAATCTGATATCAGTAGGCAATGGATGGAAGTTAGCATTAAAACTTTAGCTATTATCAAATAAATAGAATGCATGGATCCTAAGAACCATGTTTCTGAACTTCATTGTATAGTTATGAACACTTGTTAGTTGAATTACATTCCGCAAAATGACTGATTTTGTTGTTAATTATGAATACATTTTATGACTTTTGCTATTGTGATGGTACTGTAGTTTCTACATTCATCTGTTGCAGTTTGTGCATATATAAATGTATAAGTCTTGTTTGTGGTAAGGTTTCAGAAGCTTTGACAGGCTTTTGTGTAACTATTGCACTTGAATGCAGTTTAACCTTTTTTAGGAACTTGACACAAATATCTTTACCTTAGCTATGCATTCCTTACTGACAACAGAGCAGTTGTCATGGGATGTTGCAAAATTTCTCATTTATCTTCCAGGCATTCTATCGACAAGATGTAAACATGCAAAACTACTGCCATTTCTTAGATGTACATGTGATGAAATACTCTTGCAACCAATTCGGAAAACTTACCACTTTCTTTTTTTTTTTTTTTAATATTCTGAAAATACATGACCTGACAGGTTTGCCACATAAAATAAATACTCATATGTAAAGGGGTTAAGTGCCTTTTTGGCTGTACTTTAATGTTTGAGACTATGCAGTCATAAGGTATTAGATTTATCCTTGCTTTAGCACCATTGAATAGGGGATCTGACTATATTTTAGGTGTTCAGGACTAACAAAGTGTTGCAGGATTTTGTTAGAGCCACCATGTTAAATTAAAAGTTTCTGAAAAATGTTTGTAGCAGATGGAATATATGCTGTCTTTAGAATCTCAAATACATATATCTAAATGACTCACATTGAGAATCTCAAGTTTTATATATCTTTTGCAATACATATTGTCAATTTACAATACAGGGTGGCACAAAAGTAGCAATACAGTTAAAGTTTTCAGTTGCCATTGCAAATGTTTTCTTCCTGGGTTTATGGGGCCATTAGTGAGTAAATGGTGTTGTGATCTATATGTGAGTGTGTCCATGAAACATAAGCACTGTGTCAGCAATTTTCATTGGTTTGAATAACTTTGAAATAGTATGTGTAGTGTATGTAGTCTTAAAAATGTAGTGCTACTTTTGTGCACTCCAGTAACCTGGCAGGAAAACATCTGAAATCATAAGAGTGCGCTAGATCATGTATGAAAGGTACTGTAAGACACTGAAATATTTATGCGCAGAAATTTTTAATTGTGCTTAGTAATTAGTTTTGTAAGTACATAAATCTGGATTTGTGGTTCTTATAGCTATATTGCATCCACCTTCAGGGCCCTACTAGCCTTATGTAGAAAATAAAAAAGTTGATTTGGTATAGTAAAATATAAGCATTTCCACCATTTATTCCTGTATGTGAACTACTAGAAGGTAGGTAAAAGTGTGTAAACAGCCAAAGGATATAACGTTTAGCACACGATAATGTGGCAGTAAATTTGTGGTGTTGGAAGGTTCCAGCAGTGGCCCAGCATGAGAAAATTACATCAGAAGCTTTCTGAAAAGGACAGAGGAAAGGTTTAAATACTATGTTTTAGTGCTTCAGGAAGGACACTGTTCATTTTAGAGTAACAGTGTTCTGCTGAATTAGACACATCTAGAAATTTTAGACTTTTATTATACCCATGCGCTTCACTATTTATTCCTGATATTTTTATAATTATTCAGTGTTTTTAGTGACAGAATACTTTAAATTTATGAAAAGTGTCTTTGAGTTATTGCAATTGTTACTTGATAATTTAAGTTCCCTCTGAGATAATATACGTAAAAGAGTTCATGTTGATGTAGATGCTACCGCCTGACCTGTGATTGTGTAACTTATGAAGCAATACTTTATTTATTTTTTGTCAATTAATACAACAATACGAAGACTTCATTTTATAAATTAGTAGTCAAACGGTGGTTATAGTTGATTTAGGGATGTGACAGAATATGTACTGTGGAAAAAGCAACATTCCTAGTTACTGAAGAAAGCAGTCTTCTGGGATTTGGCACCATGTATATGTGGTGTTAACCGACGTTTCGGAGGAACGTATCGCCTCCATCTTCAGGGTAGAAGGAAAAATATAAGAAATCCGCAAGTGAAGGGACCGTGAGAACCGGTAAAAGTAGACCAGTCTGCTTCTACCCTGAAGATGGAGGCGATATGTTCCTCCGAAACGTTGGTTAACACCACATATACACGGTGCCAAATCCCAGAAGACTGCTTTCTTCATAGTCACCGCCATGAAAGCCTAAAATCTTACATTCCTAGTTACTATTCATTTGGAATGTCTTTGAGGGTATTTCATACCTTGAGTAGGGAACCTTATGGAAGAAAATTCCTGTGTTCAGTGAATTGCCAGTATAGCAATTTTCATTCCCATCAGCTGTTGAAAATAGAATGTAGTCACACATAATTACAGGGTTTTTGGACTTTTACCATCATCCGCTATTCTAGAAAATAGAAAATGTTTTGGAAACTGGATCTTTTTCCATCATCAGGTGGGGGGGGGGCACTCAGTCGGGCCCCTTAGAAAGAGCTAATCTCAATCACTGGAGTCCGAGTATGTCTCCCCCCCCCCACCTGAGAATGGAAATAGATCCAGTTTCTGAAATGTCATGTTTTCTATTTCCTAGAATTTCGGATGATTGAAAAAGTCCAAAACCCAGCAATTTATGTGTTATACATCATCAGAACCCTTTAGAATCTAGAATGTAGTCATTTTATGATGATGTGTGACATGCCCTCAAAGATGTTTTATGTACAGTTTAATTCTGCCTGACTTGTGGCATATCACATAATGATAATATATTGTATCCTTGTTTTATGTATATTTTGTACATGTTTACAAATTGGAGCCATCATGACGCATGGGTTAATGGTGGGGCTTGTTCCGATATATTTTGGTATAAATTATAGATATTTTTACAGAGTACTGGTAGAAAGATCTGGAAACAAATTAGTTTAAATTCTAGATATGTAGATGATTATTTTGTTTGTATATAATTATTATATATGTATATATTTTTAATGTATTGTTATTGCCCATGGCATTGAATATTATATTTGTTGTGCATTTAATTTAACTGATTTTGGAAGGCATGAACAATGAATATTTCCAAAGGTTTGCCTATTTCTATCAGTATGTACTTATTTAAAATTAAATAAAACAGTTGTCTCAACTAAATTCTTGCAGCCTGACTTTGAAGCACTAGTATTTTTTATTCTCCATGTATATCCCCATGAGCTGTGAGTTTTCGCAGTAGTGAATATTTAGATTGTGGTCTTGTGGTATTATGGCACCATGTGGTGGTTATCAGTATTTTGGAACTGTGTCTCCACTGACCGCAAAGATGGAGGCAACAGATTTCTTCAAGTCATTGCTGCTTAACTTCCAGGCTGCATGGTATCACATCCAAGAACACTATCTTTACATTCACAGCTGTGAGAACCTCAAATCACATCAATATCTCTGCCCAAGGAGAGCACCTGGATGTGACCTAATGTTCTCTTATTTGTTGTTTACAACAAAGATAAATTCAAATTAAATTCTGATGTCTATAACATGAATACTAGACAAAAATATAACTTCCACCTACCCTCATCAACTTTATCAGTATATCAAAAAGGAGTCTACTTTACTGGCATAAAAGTGTTCAACAATCTGCCACAAAGTATTAAAAACTTGGGCAATGATACTAAAAAGTTTAAATCAGAGTTAAAGAATTATCTACATGCTCATTCCTTCTACTCTTTAGATGAATACTTCAATGTAAATAGAGAATGATGTAAAATTAAGTTATATTAATTTTTAAGCTAAAATTGCCTGTACTTATGTATGTAACCTTTTGACTTGTTCTGTATCCAAAGGTACTAACCTACTTAGGATTTATAGAATGTAAATAAATTCAATTCAATTCAATTCAAAGAAAGGTGAAGAAAAGGCACTGTCCATCTAACAACTATATGCAATGCAATTATTAGAACAGGATATTTCCAAGTTCAGTGGAAAGTCATGGAGATCATAATGATCCCAAAACCTGGTAAACTGCTAGAGGAAGACAGCTCATGCAGACCAATCAGCCTACTCCCGACAACGAGCAAGATCTTCGAAAAAGCTATGCTGAAGAGGTCCTCCCAGACCATAAGTTTGGATTCCAATAGAAACTCTCTACCCTAGAACTCACTCATGATGCTGAGCCCTTCTTGAGAAGCTGACAATTGTGCAGCTACTCAAGAACTTCCCAGCATTTTATGGAACCCGAAGGTTCATTACCATGTTCACAGGAGTCCTCCAGCGGTCCATATCCTGAGCCAGATCAATCCAATCCATACCACCCCATTCTATCTCACCGAGATCCATTTTAATATTCTTACACCTGTACCATAGAACAAGTACCCAAAATAACGGAGATAATGAACGGAACCTTAGAAAAAAGAACAGTACCGAACGGCCATATAATTTCAGCTATGGGGGGGGGGCCTCCAATTATATCGTAATCCTCATGCGCTTGCAATCCAGACTCTCCAATCCATTCTGAACGCACCTTGATACATAACCACAGGACCCATTAAGATCTGTAAATGAACACTGTGCTCAGTGAAATAAAAATAACTGACCACCAAATACCAAAAATTAGAAAGTACACTAATGCACTAGCAGTGAACCTACTAGACAAAAGCGAAACTACACGTAGACTGAAAAAATACACCATCCTAACGGGTCCTAACTGTACGGGCGACGGCACACCAAGGAAACTGGCAACTGCAATTACGGAGAACGGTAATCAGCCTGAGTTGAACATATGTTACTGCATGGAGCAGCGATAATTGAGGAAACTGCGTTACGGTTGCCAGTTTCCTCGGTTTCCCCACCAGACATACCTGAGTAAAACCCCAGTACAAGAATTAAAATGATGCATAAGTGGACAAAAATGAGGAATATATGAGTTACGCCACTGGGCATAACTAATTCATGAGCCGGTACTTATTGATTATATACATTTATTGCAAATTTTGCAAATTATGTATAATAAATGTGAAGAAATATGTACACCGTGACTTCTTCGTGAACGCAATATCCTGTTGCTAGGTAATAATCCGTGCTACGGAACGACAAAGACGACAAAGAGAAGTCAGAAGATCGAGAAAATGGCTGTGCTTGCAGCTGCAGCGTTGCTTGATGAGCTTATGGGCAGAAATAGAAACATTGCCCCTGATGATAAAGGAAAAGAGTTGAACTGGGAAGACCCTGAGGTAATTCGTTTACTTGTAATGTTCTGTATTATTATATTGACGTTGTGGTTTTGTGTGTATGAAGGCAGTTATAGCTTGTAACTCTACGGATTCAAGCCAGTAGGGAGCGCTATTAACTTGTAATTTTATTATATTTTCAGTATTGCAAACTATACTTGGTGAAATTTTGCCCACACGATCTTTTCGTAAATACGAGAGCAGACCTCGGGCAATGTGCCAAGATTCATGATGATGAAGCTAAATCTTTGTACGAAAAGTCCCATAGTTATAAAAAACAGCAGTATGAAGATGAATTTATTCGCTTCTGCCAGAGCATGTTGAATGAAGTGGAAAGAAAAATCGTCAAAGGAAAACAGCGGCTTGCCCTTATTGGAAAAGCTGATGCTGTGAGTATTAATGTTACGAGTTTTAGCTATCGGTGAATATAGAATTATGTTACTACACACTTGTTCATACAATATTTTAGTAGGAAAAGTGAAATAAAATAGCTCTGTAGTCTACATTCCATATTTTTAAAACAGTAAAAGGAAGTTTATGTGATGACCTTGCTATATATCACCCCTCCTGTTGCAACAAATTACTCTCAGATGATTTGTTGGACGCGGTGCTTTGTGTGGAGTCTTTGGTGTATGAAATAGTCAATATGTGGTAAAAGGATAATAGATGGTAGTTCTTCTCAAAGTTGCATTGGTATATAAAAAGGAGGGGGCGGGCGACCTGTAGCTTTATTTCCCTGTTTGGGCATGTGGGGTTGTGTCGTTTTTCATCAGTTTTATTGGGTACAAAATATGATCTTTGTCTCTGTACCATGCCATTTTCCTGGATGATTTTTGATTACATAGTGCTTCTTTGGTGTTTGTACGTGGTTGCTTTGTTTCAGAGGAGGTAGAAGCTTTATTTTATACCTTTACTTGAATTTTTTGTGTGAACATAGATAGTTTGAGTGGAGTGCATTGTGGGATATAGCTGGTTGTTTGAATCTGATGAAGCCTCTGCTTTGTTTTGTTGATACATTTCTTTTCAGTGCTGCTCAGTCTTAGTTACTGAATGTCAGGGGGAGGGGAAGGGGGTTTGGTTATATTAGGGACGTTTCTGTGTGGGATAGCTCATCTGATGTTGAAACTTCCTTGCTTCTGCCAAAATAAGTGGGAGGGAGTTTGATGGGGTAACACACACACACACACACACACATATATATATATATATATATTCCATCTTAACGATTTTGTTATTTTTTAACTTAATTGGAAGAAATTTTCAGTGGGTTGTGTTTTTTTGTTATTGTGGGAACCAGTTTGTTAGGTTTAGGAGTTCACAAACAGTAACTGTTAAGGAAGAAACAATGTATTTTAAACTAATGAGAAATAAGAATGAATTTGAAGTAAATTAAAATGTAATCTGGAATATTGTTTTTGCGTACTTCAGTTCATTGGGGAGTTGGTATAGTGATCAGCTACCGGCTAGGTGGCCTGTGTTCGATTCCTGGCAATGCAAGATTTTTTGCTCTTCTCCAGAGCATCCAGACTGACTCTGGGGCCACCCAGCCTCCTATCCAATGGGTACTAGGGGCTCTTTCCCCAGGGGTAAAGTGGCAAGGGCGTGAAGCTGACCACTCATCTCCATCTAGTGCCAAGGTCAAGAGCACGTGGAACTGTACCTCCACTTCCCCATATGTCTTTGTGACATAGTGCTTCATTAACTAAGCAGGAGGGAACTTTTCCTTTTATTTTAACTTTTTTTTTTTTTTTGGAAATTATCTTCCTTTTCTGTCTATAATATTTTGTTGTTACAGATATCTCTTTCACCAGCTCAGACACAAAGAAATGAGGAGCAGATAAAGTTTTTAACAGAGAAGATTAATAGTTTGGTTGATGAGGCTGAGCAGATGGGGATCCAAGGGAATGTGGAGCAGGCACAGGGTCTGATGAAGCTGTGTGACCAGCTGAAAGAGGAGCGAGAACAACTGCGTGGCAACAACGAGAACAGTCACTGGCAGCAGGTGAACATGTGATGCTTTGTACCGTAACATTTGATATTATCATTTATTTGTGGTTTATTTGATGATTGTTTAAGTAGATGACATGAAATGGTAGGATGTTTAGTGAATTATGAATCATTAAAGGTTGTGTAAGACAGTGGTTCTGGCCTAATCTTAGATACTGTGCCAGAATTTTCTGGGAGGGGCTGAAGAGAACCAAGAAGTCCTCATTGTCCTTGAGATTTGTGCCAGGAACCACTCAGTGACAAAGCATATTTTTCTGCTCAAACTGACCTGTGTGTTAATAACATTATGTTTTGTTATAGTTCAGTTTTCATTTTCTCATGCACATTACAAGAACATGCTGTCATGTTTTGAGCCCCCTCCCACCTCAAATTAAAAAAAGAGTGGTGTTTGGAATGCCATTTGTCTATTTTTGAATGTATGGATATGCATCTTGACATCATCTATCAGCAAAAGTTGGCACTAACTTCAACAAGCGGCACTTGCTTGATCGGTATTGTTTGCTTGCGGACAAAAACCATGGAGTTTTTATGGATATGCATCTCATGCCTGAACAGTTGAATGGATTTTATTCATGTTCAGTATTTAAGAAGATGTGTGTTATAGGTCAGTGCCTGTTGAATATGAACATTGTAGCTTCAACAAAAAAGAAAAATGGCACCCAGCTCTGTAAGGTACCCCCAGGATGTTTTCAGGAGCATTTCCAACTCCCAAGATGGTGTGTTCTGGAAACTGCCTTAAACATTTTTGAAGGCGTGTCATCATGGCATATAGTTATGTCATCATTACAAAGTTCCCAGATTCTGTATGCAACATACGATGGGAACGAGAGCCCCCCACTGCACTGGAAATTAAGTTGAGCGCACAGGACTTCCATAACAAGGTTGCCTGCTCAAGATATAAGGCATGCTCACAGATGTTTCAGTCAGGCAGTAATGTCAGTATTGTGACGTGTGCATTAATGCGTTGTTATAATCTAAAGTTATTTTTACAACTTCTTGCTCCATTTTTTAGACTGCAGAACTAGCAGCTGCCCAAGAGAAACAGATGGAAGTGTGTGATGTATGTGGGGCATTTCTCATTGTTGGTGATGCCCAGCAACGTATAGATGATCATTTGATGGGGAAACAACATGTCGGCTATGCTAGGTTGAAAATGGCCATGGAAGAATTGATAGTAAGTCTAATTTCTTCCTCAAATGAAATCCACCTGTAGTTAAGAAACCTTTAGGCTTCTTTTATTGAGTTATTCCTTTTTATCATAATAAAATTGTATAATTTGTGTATGCATGTCTTTATGTAGTAACCCAGTGTGGCACAAAAACTGGCTTCTCACTGTAAAGGTCCAGGTTCAATCCCAAGGAATTACGAGTGGTTCTAGTGCAGGTTTTGCTCTGATCACTTCATTTCTTCCTAGCCACACAGTATGTGGAGCACTTGGTCTGACATCACCCCAAGAATGGAAGAAAAGTAATTCTGGAGTAGTAAGCTATAGAATGAGACTTGTTCTGATGTGTATTTTAGACTAAAGGGATAGGACTTTCAAACAAGCGGAACAAATTTGACAACTTTCATTAAAATTAGTGGCAGGATCAAGCAGTTCAGAAGTTACTTTGATGCCAGACTTTGACATGACAGCCATGAAAACTTGGAATTGAACATAGATTTGTTAAATTTTGGATGGTTGTAGTCATATAACATGTAGAATTTTTTAATGGTTTGAAGTCAAGTTTAAACTACAAAGACAAAACAACTCCGTCCAGTGTGACTGTTGAAGTTTTTACTACTTGAAAGCTTAACACCCTTACATGTTTCAGTCCCTATAGACCATCATCAGAGGGACATGGATACTTTTTTGGAAACTCTATCACAATGGGTGTTTTGAGTGTTAAAATACATATACATACAGTGTTTGTAATGCACAATATATACAAAATCCAACTTTTCCACCACTACAGCAGCTTTCTTGGTATACTAAAGTTTTTAAAACTTTGTTATTTAAGTTAAAATTTATAAACCAAGTAGGTTCGTGTCCTTTCTCCTATTGTCTTTCTTGACGGGGCCTGAACTTGTGCTGCCTGTCTCTCTTGAGAAGGAGATTCTTGGTATCGTTCTGTGTTTGTTCATGGCTTGCACAGAACAAAACAAAAGTCTTAAAAACTTTAATATACCAAGAAAGCTGCTGTAGTGGTGGAAAAGTTGGATTTTGTATATATTGTGCATTACAAACATTGTATGTATATGTATTTTAACACTCAAAACACCCATTGTGATAGAGTTTCCAAAAAAGTATCCATGTCCCTCTGATGATGGTCTATAGGGACTGAAACATGTAAGGGTGTTAAGCTTTCAAGTAGTAAAAACTTCAATAGTCACACTGGATGGATTTGTTTTGTCTTTGTAATTGTTAGTGTGACGGACCAGAATGAAACAAATCAAATTCAAGTTTAAACTATTTTACGTGTATTGTTATATTTTTCCCTCTGATAATGAAATTAAAAAATGTGTTGTGTTCCATAGTTTATAAAGTTTGTAATCGTGTAGAAAATTTTGTATCCTGGTACAATTTTTAATGTTACTCATGAACTAGGAACCCAGTGGTTGGAGTCACTTTGAAACAGTTTGCCTGTAAAGTTTACTGTTGTCTGGGAAGTGATGCTGTGTTGTGTGGTTGAAGTTCACTGATGTTTCAGAAGCACATAATGCCTCCATCACCAAGACAGAGCTCTGCTTGCTGGTTTCTTGCATGGCTTATTCTTTGACCTTGAAGATGGAGGAATTATGTCCCTATGAAATGCCAGTGAATTTAAATCAGAGCACATGGTATAACCTCCAAGAAGATTGTAATTTTCATAGTCTCTGCTGTGAGAACCTGTTAAATCGAACATTTTACCTAATAATCAACTGTTACACATTATTTTAATAGTGTGTGCATTTGGAGAGTGGGTGTGGGAAGGGGTTTTAGTCAAAAGAAAGCCCAAAGAGTATCATGGTGAAACTTCATAAGCCAAAGATGGTATTCAAGAAATTGGCAATATAAATTGGTTTATAGTTCTGTAGCACGCCCGTTCATGTTATTCTTCTGTTGAATATGTTAGGTAGCTACTTCTGGTTATCATATACCTTATACTGGCTGGAAGGTGCATCTTCTTTGTATGCTGTCCAATTTCTGTAACATCATTGCCAGCTTTCCGCATGTATAATCCTTTTCTTTATTAAAGAATAATCGCCAGAAGTCACGTGATGACAAGGAGCGGAAAAGAGAAGAAGAGCGCCGGGAACGTGCACGTTTGCGAGAAGAAGAAGAACATAGGAGAGACAGAGAAAGAGACAGGGAAAGAGAAGAGAGGAGAAAGAAAAGAGAAGAGGAAGAAAGACATAGGAACCGACCAAAACATAGATCCAGGAGTCCACGGACACATCGTCGTAGTTCGAGTCGTAGTCGAAGTAGTACAAGAAGTAGCCGGGATAAGGATTATAACAGAAGAAGTGTGAAGAGTTGCGAGGAAAGAGGAAGGTGAGTAAATAAGTCTGATAAGTTCATTATCAGCAAATGAAGACTGTTTAAATAAATAGTATCAGTATTAGAACACCACTCTGTTTCTGTTAGTGCCTCCTCCCCGTGGTGCATGGTGCAGAAGACACTTTGTGTTGTTATTGGTCAGTGTGACTGTAGAATTCTTTTCATCTTCGAGCACCATTTCTATTTTATACAGATCCATGTACAAAAAGTCTCCATTCTCTTATTATCACAATCTTCGCATTTTCAGTTTCTTGCCAGTTCTGTCCTCTCTTCTTGATGTCTTCCAGTTTCTCACTAAACCATCTTATTCTAGTACACCCCACAGACCTCTTTTATTTAACTTTTAATATTAATGTTGTCAGTTTCCTTCTTTGTTATGTTTTCCTTTTACTTACCCAAGCCATTGTAATTGTTTCTCTTCTGACTCTGTTAACAAATAATGAGTTCCAGTGTTATAAAAGTTTTGTTTTTAATTCCACTTTTTTTTTTTTGTTTTTCCTTCACTGTTTCTAAAAATTTTATATCGATATCTTCGATTTTGCTATTGTTTCTCTTTGTAATTGCTGGTATCAGTTTAAAATATACATCATAGATTGTGACTGCAACGTTATATGTGATAATAAAATTTCCCTGAAGAAAACTGGTCACAATTGGTTCTTAAAAGTAAGTTGCATTCTCAACTGCAGTGCATGATGGTACATCTTCCCTGACAGCTTGTAGGTGTCTTTGACATGGTTAGAATGAGCCATACGTACAGTTTTTTTTTTAACAAATGGAAGCATGATTGATTTAATATTAATATTGATTTACAGTGCCAAAAGTTCAAAATTATTATTGTAGCATAAATCCAATGTTAATTTATATTGCAGGTCCTCTCGTAATAGCCGCAGTAAGTCAAGAGACCAAAGTCGAGATCATAGACGGAAAGCTGGTGATGAGCATGATAGGGACCACCATCGAAGGTCTAACAAGGATCGGGGTAAGCAGTCAAAATATTCATTGAAATCTAATGCTGAAGGTCAGACAAGGTTTTTGAATTCTTAGGGTTGGAGTTTAGTGATGAAATAGAAAAAATGTAATTTTTGCATTCATCACGTTCTTAATGAAATGTCATTAAAACATACTCCACATTAATGCATATATGTTATATTACCTTAAGTTATATTAACCCTTTCAATGCTAGGTCTTTTACTTACGTGACCAGACCAGAGCAGTTGCTTGCTGGCATTTCCCTGCACTATTCGTGGCACCATAATATTCTTGCACTATATGTATATTTGTTGACATACTGTAGGTTTGAATGGAGATTATGGCCGTCGTTCCTCGCCAAGTCAGCGACCCTCTAGTCGCCACCATCAAGACCCTAAGGCAGGCAGGAGCAGTGGTGGTCGAGAGGTGGGGCATGGAGATGAGTAGCCAGTTCGCTCACCCACGTCACAGGCACCCACATTTAGAATCAGTGAGTGACACTGGTGTACAGGTATGTCATATTGTTTCATGGGGAAAAGTATACTTCTGTTCTTAATTTTATATTTATCCCACAGATATGAACATTCCGAGGTAAGTGGCATATATCCCATCCCCTGTACACTTCTCGACTTTGAAGCTGGAGAATTTTGTGACTTTTGTGGCTGCGGACCCCGGATGCCAGTTCTTCTGAACTAGTTTTTATCACTTTCTGTGGTAAAGTTTTGGGTTTCTGACAACAGCTAGCATATAGATATAAATGTTTAAATTGATAAACATTTATTCTGATTGCTTCGTGAAAAGGTCTTTTGGTGTTAGCTTATGACTTGAGAAAGTAAAAATAAAATCTTCACAATTGTAGTTATAACGTTTGTGTTAATGAAATCATTGCATAGCCTTTAAAGCTTAATTTTGGGTCCACACATCATAGAAGCAAACTGTAAAAGACACATGAAGTACAGTTGATGAAGTTTGTAAAACTGTACAGCTAAAATTTTCTAGGCTTCAGCATAGCCACCAGTTTTTGTGGTACATTAGTCAGTATTATTTTTCGGCACATTGGAAAATTTTTTAGTTAACGTGTGGTGGATTCATGATTTCCATCTTGGGGTCCTGGCCCAAAGTGCATTTATCTGAAGAATTTGGTTTCGATGAGTGAAGAACAGGTCTAACATAGTCCCATGAAGTGAACTCTGATGCTGTTGATGTCAAAACCTAAATGTTTTCCAGTACCAAATTATATTCTAGAATAATGGAATTTAGTAGTTAAAATTTACCTTTCTTTTCTCTCAAAATGTTGATGGAAATGGTGAAGAATGCGACTTGTTTTATTCTCTGCTCTTATCTTAGACGTTACTTATCTGGCAGTGTATTATTGTGTGTGAAGTTGGTTATGCATTGCTGTGTATCATGGTGTTAAGCATTTCTTAATGTAGAGAACGAAATGCCTATAATTCTGTGAAGAATGACTTGATGCAGGTACCACCATTTTGTTCCTGCTGTTTGTGTGTTGGAACTCTTGCGTAAACATAGGGGATGAGTAGGAATAGATGGTATAAGTAGGGTAGAGCTGAGCTGTCCCCATATTTAAATGAGCATTAAACCATGAAGGTGTATAGGGGAGTGGAGGTATAGTTCCTTGCTATGTTTTTGTTAGTTGGATGTAACTGGTCAGTGTCATGACCTTGCCTGTTTACTCTGGGGAAAGCCCCTGGTCCTCACTGGATAAAAGGATGGGTAGGATCCATTGTCAGTTTGAACGAGGTGGTGAAGTTTGTGAGTTTTATGTTATACAGTAATAGGATCTGTTAGATAGAGCTAGCCTCAGTCACTAGGACCAGTACGATTGAGGCTAACAGACACCACTGCATATGTACCTCCCCAGTTTTTCACTTGAATATGAATGGATGCAGTTTCTGAAATGTTGTGTCCTTGTAGGATGTTAGAAGATGGCCAACGTGTAGGAGCTGAGTAATCCTTAAGGTAATACATCATTGTCCAAACCCTTTAGAATTGGTACAGATATTACGTTTTTGGACATTATCCATTGAATGCTAGAAATACATCATGAAAGATTGTTCGTTCCAAGCATGCTGCTTTATTAGTAACGCCCTGATCTGTGTGGGTGTTGCGGTTTTTAACTCAAGTGTCCAGAGCTGGTCCACTTAGTATGTGGCATACAAAGAGTTAATTATTTTGAATAACATGCTTTAGTAAGGGTCTTGTATGAACAGAAAATGAAGTTACTTGTGGACTGATATATTCTATCCATTATTTGGATAAAGGTATGTTATGTCTTGTCTGGGAAGCTTGCAGAGGAGAGGCTTGTGTGTTCAGTGGGGTCTTGCAGTTTGATGCTCCTAGGGGTCAAGTTTGAAGAATTGAATACTAATGCTGATCCCGTGTGAAGGCAGTGCCGAATAAGCCCTGCAAGTCATAGGAGGTGACGAAAAGGGACGTCTCGAATCTGAGACAGTAAAATATGGTCACAAGTCCCACCAGACTTGGACTTGAGGGCTGGCGAGGGCCAGCAGCAATTATAAATGAGAATCATCCTCTCATCAGAGAGAGCGCCCCACGTCAAACCGGAAGCCCCAGATGGGTGCTTTATTCCAACACAGACTGGCAGACTGATTGTCGGTCGTAACATAAGACTCGACTAACATTGATCAGATCTAGAATGTATTTACATATGTAAATGTTGCTTCACAGTGAATAAATTGGCATGAAAGTGACTGTAATAAGTTAACGTTGAAAGAACCATATGTATGGTTTTCTGTTTATTTCTCTTATATAACGTTCTTTCTTCTGTTATCTTGGCTGCAAAAAGTAGTAGTGTGCTAGCCAGAGGGTGGGTGGAGCCACTATCAGAAGAAAGTAACATATTAATATAATTTCATAATATATGTATATACAGATTTTAAAGTCCCTTTAAACAATCAAATCTGCATCTCTTCTGTCTGGTGAAAGAAGTATTTTCTCTGTACATATATATTTGAATATCTTGCCAGTGTATGAATACTGCAAGCTTGTTGAAAGTAGGATCAGTAACTTTCTAATGATGCACCCACATTCAAATAATAGATGGTCTTAGTAATGGCTTCTGAATCTGTGCATAATGATTTTAATGATGAAATTCCATTCTTCACGAGCTTTATGGGCTGTTTATCTACATTACGAAAGCTCAGATGTATACTTTCCATATTTCATCAGAGCAAAACACAATGGCGTAATGTTACACTGTGCAATGTGTCGGGTTACTGTAAGGCAGTTTAATGTAATTCATTGGTAGCTTTGATTGATGGTGCACCATTTACTCCACTAGCGATGCATACTTCTGCTCAGCCTGCTTGTGATTGGTTGGTTTAGAGCGTGCCGGTGTTTACAACAGGATAATGCTCAGTTCCAGGTGACCCCTATAGCTAACTTAGTTTAAGGCATCTCATTAATTTTGTTATTGGCCCTTAATGAGCAAATTAAAGACAGAAGTGATAAATAATTTTGAGGATTTCATATGTAAATTGAAAGCATAAAAGTTCTATGTAATTTGGGGTACCTTCGAAGTCTCAAGTTTCATTGTAGTTACTTGAAAGATCAAAAGTGTGTACACATGTTTCTGTTTTATGGTATAAAGATTCCTGTCTTTTGGGATGTGATACCTTGTAGTTTGATAGATAGGTACCAGTGTTTTGAATGAACAGGCTGCCCCATCATTGGGGCTTGCTGCCATGAGAATTGAGATATTGCATTTTGTTTGAGTAGTATAGGACAGCAGACCACCTCTGTGGTCTAGTTGTCAGAGTTCCTGGCTACAGATCCAGAGGTCATGGGTTCGATTCCCGGTGCTACCAGATTTTCTGAGAACTAGTGGGTTTGAAGCGGGGTCCACTCAGCCTCGTGACTATAACTGAGGAGCTACTTGAATGGAAAGCGGCCTCCGTAGTCTAGGGGTAACGTTCCCACCTCATGACTCAAGGTACGCGGGTTCAAACCCGTTGGAGGTCATGGAATTTTTAAGGGCGGAAAAATTCAGGGAACAAGTCCTCCGGGAGGGACTTTAAGCCGTGGGTCCCGTGTCGTAGATTTACGGCACGTAAAGGAACCTCATGTCTCTAGGAGACCTCTGAGCTAAATTTGGCAAAAAGTTTCCTGCCCAAAGTAGTTTCCAATGCCTCCGGTAGATGGGGAAGTATTAGGTACCACTGCCAGAGGAGGGGGGACCTCTCTGACAGAAAGGGACTAACTATTAGATACCACTGCCAGTAGAAGGTTGGCACCTCGCTGGCAGAAAGGGGCTAATAGCGAGCACCAGTACCGATAGGGTATGGAGACAGTAGAAATTAAAAGGGGGATGCACAATGGACCAATAACTGGTCTAAGTGCATGGGGAAACCCACCCCCTCTATATACTTAGTACTCAATAGTAAATACTTGAATGGAAATAGTGGCTCTGGCCTACAAAACCGAGATTAACGGCCATTGGGATCTGTTGCGCTGACCACGTGGCACCCCTATATCTGCAAAAGTTGGCACTAACTTCGCCCACAAGTGGTGGTCGCTCGGCCAGTTGGTATAGTTTGCTTGCGGACTAAAGGCCACGGAGTATAGGATAGCACTAGATAGTATATGAAGTATACGTAAAGGTAACAGTTTGAAGATTTCAAAATGATTATTTGTACATTTTTTCTTCATTAAAATGTGTGTGATTTGTGGTTGTAGAATTGATGCTTTGTATTTATTGTTCAGGTTTTTGGTCAGTACTGTACCAATCATCAGTTCCATTGGTAGTTTGTACTGATTTTTTGGAAAGTTCATAGTGAAAGTTGCAAAAATGTGTCTGTTGGCATCACCATGTCTGTCTGTCTATGACAACTCTTAACTGCTGAATGGATTTTTGTCAAATTTATTGTTGAGAAGTTTGCTAAAGTCTGAGAATACATTCTGATTTTGATTAAAACCAAACATTGTTAACTGACAAGAAGACATATCTGCAGTTCTGCATACATAGTGAGAACAACTCATGTTAATAAGCTAAATATTTATTGTGCCAAAAATGTTTTGCACAAAAGTTCTGGGGAGAAGTGATGCACGATCTCTGTGCCTAGTACACTTTTTCCATCTTACAGTTTTCATGATAAATGAAAGGAAGTAAACACTCCAGAATTGCTGCTCTATTTGTTGTGCAGGTCCCAGCTTTGTAAGATTTGAGGCTTTCACGGCGGTGACTATGAAGAAAGCAGTCTTCTGGGATTTGGCACCATGTATATGTGGTGTTAACCGACGTTTCGGAGGAACGTATCACCTCCATCTTTAGGGTAGAAGGAAAAATTTAAGAAATCCGGTTCACACGGTCCCTTTGCTTGTGGATTTCTTATATTTTTCCTTCTACCCTGAAGATGGAGGCGATACGTTCCTCCGAAACGTCGGTTAACACCACATATACACGGTGCCAAATCCCAGAAGTCTGCTTTCTTCAGGTCCTAGCTTGTCAGCATTTCTGCCACATTAAAATGAAGTGAGAATGTTCTTCTGCATTCCACTGAATTTGATTTTTATTTTTCAGCATGTTTACATTTTAGGTGGAGAATGTTTGAAATATATCTTATTGAATCAGTGATAAATGTAACATTGGGCTGTAGGTCTTGGGGACATGATGCCATGTCATCTGGTGGATGGTTGCCAGCAGTATGGAAGAACCTACCTTCATCTTCAGACTACTACGTCTGCACTGAAAATGGAGCCAGTAGGTTCCTCTGAAAGTAACCATGTACTAGACTAAATGGCATCACATGCCAGAAGACGAACCACTGTGGCAACCAGAGCTCACTTGCCAGTAGTTACCAAATTAGATAATTGTAATCAGTTGTTACAGAAACCTGAGACTTGATGAAGGGATTGGTAATTTTTCAGAAAATTCCCACTGTAACGTAACAGTGTCACTGATGGGAGACAGTATTTAAATCAGCTGTTTTTGCTTGGTTGCTCTCCCCTCCACCCCTTTTTTTCCTTTTGATTGGTAACATTTTAAAATGCTGAAATGGAAATATATGTGATACAAAATGCTTGCCATTCTTGTTGAGGGGTGTTTGAGAGTTTTTTTTTTTTTGATGTTTCAGGTTATTGCTTTTGAATGCTGAAGTAACTTGAAAATAATAATAAATCTTGGCTATAGCTCGCACATCCCTAAATTTTGTGTTTGTTTTACTGCAGCTTAGTGTTTTGGGGTAGATTTTGGTATTTTAATTCCAGCATTGTAGACAGTCACTCTCCGATAACAGTACGTCTGCACTGGGGGAAGGAAAATATACAGCAACATTTTTCCCCAATGGTGTGTTAATGATGGATCTCTTTAGAGGTATTTATCATTGCAGGATCCCTTCATTTGTTATGCAGATTGCAAAATAATTATTTTTGACACACACAAACACATTTGTCCATAGTTGACTGTGTATTTGGGTATTTATTGAACTCACCTTAACTTGGCCAGGGATTATACTTTTTTTTACAACTATTTTGATTTTGATTATACAAAGAAAATTTCTCCTATAATTTATGCTCCCAGGAGTTAATATGGATGTGTTTGAGGACCCCAACATTCATTGAAAGTGAAGTTACACTTACAACAATGCTTGTTGGCATGATATGGCAGTGAAACAGTATGTGGTCTGTATATGCCATTAATTTGTTTGGTACTGTGTATGACAGAATAATACCTTGTCAATGTTAAAAATCTAAGTGGGGAATGTAATTAAATAAAATTATAGGAATATGAGTAATGTGGCCTTTTTATGTTCTTGAAACTTGTGTTTATATGTCATAAGTCATAAATGTGTCTCATTCATTTTGTGGGTCATCTTTATAGTAATTTCTAAGAGGACTTAAGAATCTCACATAACATGAAGATTTCTCTGGTCAGTTAGTTAAAAATGGAGCACATTTTGAAATACGTCACTGTCCAGTTCTCATCAGTTGCATTTAACACTGCAAACTGTTAAGACAACAGGATATGGTGGTATGAGAACTGTTAGACAGTTCAGGACTTCGAGATCAGAACATTTTCTTGGCCAAGTTAAGTATGTTGGCAGTAGCAGAATGTTGTTCATTTTAGATGGACATTTGCTTTCTTCTTTACATATATAGAGTGTGCTTACTTCAGAGTGAAGTAAATTTCACCTTGCATAACATTAAATCCAGTAAACTGATTTTTTAAATTAGGATTTACAGAAGCAGTGATTTTTAATTCACTTATATGTGCCCATGACCACTTTTATTAGTGTGTGTGTGAAATAATAGTGTTTTGTTTTGAACTTAAGAGTTAAGTGGAAACACTTTCATCCGTTAGTATGTTAAATTTCTGTGCCATTCTTTGATAAGGTGTTTGAATCTGTAATGTATAGTCACAGTAAAGTACAAAATGAGTAAAGCTGTGATATAAAATTTCAAAGTTGTAAGCTCTAATTAACTTCAAAGGTAGCACAATTGATATTGTCACAAATATGAGTGACTTTAGATGGGGTTTGGCGAATGGATTTACTGACCACTTTTACACACCATTCTGAACTACAAGTAATTACAGCATTATCGCTGATTTCCACACTTTATAAACCACTAGCACACACTAAGTCTTCTCAGTCTTCACTAGTCATATCCTGGTAACAGATTTTAACACAGTAATTACAACAGTCTCACTCTGACTACAGCACATAAACTCTTATTTTCACAGCTGTACTCTTGCAGCTAAATCTTTTCTTCACACCCAGACTTTTAACTCTCAACTAACTTATAGTTCCATCTTCTCAGCCTCCCATGCAGAGCCCAACTGAACTGCAAACCCACAACTAACTTTATCACCTTAATCGTATTCCTTATAACCCCTTTGCATGGACTGAATAGAAAACACTGTTCCCAACAGTAACTCCATTGTAGAGGCGTGTGTATTGATCCGTTGCTCAGAAACACCACTCACTTTATCACCTTAATCATATTCCTTATACCCACTTTGCATGGACTGAATAGAAAACACTGTTCCCAACAATAACTCCATCATTGTAGAGGCGTGTGTATTGATCCGTTGCTTAGAAACAGATTGTATAACACCGTTGTACTATTGTTGTATGCATATATGTTGCGGATGTTAGCATTGGCCACTGTTTACAGGGTCACCACTTATCAACAGGTCTATACGCCACAGTATAGACTGAAATGTCACATCACACGTGGAAAGTTCATTAATTTGGAAGTGTCACCCCCCCCCCCCCCTTTTTTTAANGTGGTGATGGTGATACCTGTTACATAGACGATGCACCATATGTGTGTGAAATATTCACATAACTCAGATGATACATTTTCCCATGAATAATATATAATTTACTTTTGAGAACTGTAATTTTAGCTGAAAATTACTGTTGTCTGGGGTTTAATGTTATGTCTTTGGTAGATAGGTATTAACATTTCAGAGGAACCTTCTGCTTCCATCTTCAGGGTAAAAGATGGAGGGAGGTTGCACATTCCTCAGAAACATTGTTACCTATCTACAAAACTACAGGGACTGTAATTTTTATCCAAGTGGCTGCTACCATAGGAACTTCAAATCTAATATAATTTTACATGTTTTGTGTGGGTTTCCCACATTTAGAGAGTAACGTGGATTGAAGTGAGGAGATCAAAGTGCTGAGTATAATATCTGAACCAGAGAGAGAGAATGAGAGTGACAGGAAGTTCATAATCTGTGGGCCAACTACATCATCATGTTTTGAAGGATGCATACTTGAATTGTGTGTATTCATTACACTTAAAACATGTGAAAGCTCCTGGAAGCAGTTGCTTTAACATTTTTAATTATTGTGAAATACTCAGGTCTTCAATACATTTTTTATATTTCCATTTTATCTTGTAGGAAAAGTTACATTGCCTGATATGAATAGGATAAACTAGCCATTTAGATAGTGCATTACACGGAGAATGACTAAGTCTGTTGTCCCCACCTGTTCCTGAAGTAAGCACATGATTGTCCTCCAGAAAAGGGTGTAATGTTGTTTCAGCATGAAATTATTTTTATTTTGAATCTTTACAGCTTTGTAATTCTGGTAGGTGATGAGCCTTTTTGAAGAATCGAAGTCAAGTTCACACCAACAACATTTAACTGAATTGACAAATACCGCTCTTCCGATCTAAACTGCGATTTTGGGAATGCAACTGGAGTCAAGATTTGGCATTGGCCGTTCATCATCGTTTTGTAAGGTGAATCTAGTATTTAAGCCTTGACATTGTAGATAGAATTCAGATATTTTGATGTGAAGAAAAATTTAAATTTACACATTCCTAGATGTCTTTTTGAAGTAAGTGTAGCAAAATAAATAAGTTTTGTTAGCTGCAGTGCTTGGATGCGTAAGTTTTGCACGTTTTCGTCCTCATTGCAATTGCAAGGAAAGATATCTTCTCTGGCATCTGTTAGGCTATATTTTTTTTTCTTACTCTTGAAATGTTTAGTTGCACCTAGCATACCCGCATAGAACTCAGCGAGTTTGCGTTAAGTTTTTGTTAAGCTGTATTTTATGTTCCAACATTAAAAAATTATAATAAAGCAAATGTGTTATACAAACTTGACTTTGGTGCAACTTTACATCAGGAGGCCTCCCAACAAGAGAAAGGAGGGGAAATGTGTATTCTGCAGTAGAATTCTTTCCTGGATATAGCTTCAAATTTCGAGCTACTTTTGTGATGTCATCATGGAGTTCTTCTTTAAAAGGTATGTTGGAACCCTAGTTAAATGACACAGTAAACTGAATTTTTGATGTAAATGCATATAATAATGATTTAGTTCCATGTTTGGTCCATTCCTATCCCCTTCAAGGTCTGACAAATGACACAGCTTATACTCTAGAAAGATAATGAGAAATCACATGCCTTGAATGAGTGAAGTCAGATTCTGACTTTATACACGGATTCCAGTTATTCGGTTAAACCTGGAAATTTGATGATTCCCTCCCTCCGTGTAAAATAAGATGTCTCATGTTTTCAAATAACAGATTTGTAATGGATAGTTTCTTTGATGAAGAGCAGATTGACATGGGCTTGGTGTTTGATTTTGGCACTCGCTTATTTGACCTCAGAGACCGGTACTTCTTTTGGCTTATTTTTGACTTCAATCACTTCCAGTGATTGAGACTAGCTTTTTCTAACGGGCCCAACTGAGTAGGTTTATCCTTCCCTATCCGCCTGAAGACGGAGACAGGTCCAGTCTCCGAAACGTCGTGGTCTTTTGTCTTTTACATACCAGACGATGGGTGAAGTCCAAAATAAGCCAAAAGAAGTACAGTATACACCATCATCAGAATCTTTTCAAGTCTATCTCAGAGACCAGATTTTTTCACTGGAAACAGCATTTGCTTTTCAATTTGCACCATTTGTTTGCCTAAGCAGTACATTAATAACATTTGTAAACATTAAAATTATTTCAGAATAAATTTGTCATTAAAAATGTGGTGTGCCACAAACTTGTAAGAAGAAGAAGAAAAAGACAGTGCAATGTAATGAAGTAAGGAATCCGAATTACAGTTCCCCAAGATAATATAGAATAGCAGTTTCATATGAGTCTAGTGCATTCAGCTAAAGGGAACAAAACAGTTCCATACTAAACATTAAAACCATTGTGGAGTCACAGTGGAAGACCCAAGTCTTGTGACTAAGTCATTGTTTTCTCAGAAGATCTGGTTCCTCCAGCATTCTTTCTGGAAGATTAAAGGAAAATCTTATTTTGTGTTTCTTGGCGAGAAGACAGAAAAAAAAGCTGAATCCCAAGACCTGTTTGCCACAAAACAGATGAATCTTGTTATCACATGATCAAACATGCAGTTGCTGCACAGAACATGTTTTTGTTGTTAAATTGTCAGACCTTGTACAGCAGGTTTTTTTCTTTTCTAATGAATTTCAGAACAATTTATAGAAATTATTTTTATTTACAATACTGCCTCTCGCATAACAGTCGTAATTGTGAGACATGAGGTTCTCATATTGGTGACTACAAAAGTTGCTGTCTTCTGGAATGTGATGCTGTGTAATCTGGTTGATCTGTACTAGCATTTTGAAGGAACATCCTGCCTCCATTTTCATCACAGAAGAGTAAACCATGTCACTGTTCTACACTGAAGATGGAGGGAGCTGGTGCTGGCAAAATATTTGGTAATTTTATACCAGATTTAATGGGATCACATCCCAGAAGACAGTGTTATTTATAATTTGAATTGATGATCCATTTAGTAAAATATTTTTATTGAAATTGTTGAAGCTGTTACTGCACTTCCTCTTCATTTAACTACATTATTATATCCATGTGTCAGTGTTTTGTAAGATTGTCATTAGTCTTAATGTGCCTTGATGGGGTTATTTAGTAGTTCAAAATTAGGGTTGTAATTGTACCACTCTCAAATTGAAGCTGTGTAGTACTTTCAGATAACAGAGGAGAAACTTAGAAATGGTGAGACAAGAACTTGACATTTAGATGATAATGCATTTTCTCAAAATTTGTTACGGTAATATTTATACTTCAAGTTTGCATTTCTGGCAGCGAGTGTAATTGCGTTTAATGGTTTTTCTTTTTTAAACATTAGCATTAGTTACTGTCAGTACTCATTTCAGTATCTTATATATGGTTAGGTTAGCTTTTTAGTTACTGAGACATGACTCTTGACAGTTCTTGTCTCACTATTTGCTGATTTGAAATCATTTTAATTTATGAGAACACAGATAATGGTTTGAATACAAAGAAGCACATGTTCTGTTATTAATTCTGTGAGAAAATGATAACAATAAAGAATTATGATATAATCCCAGTATTTGTGTCAAATAATTAAATTGTGTGGTGGAGACATGGGCATGCCTGGGGGGGGGGATAGCCACATAATTTGATAACAGATTTAACGTTAAGTTGTTTAAAAACAGGAGTATTAGTACTGATTTGTCCTAAAGTATTCAGGACACCAAAATAATATTTCTAAATGCTTTAAATTTTTTGTATTAATTTTTCTTTCTTTTTTCAATGTTGGCTTGTCCTCTCACCTGTTGCCCATGAATGAAAGGTCTACTTTTGTGAGTTTGTAGTTTCTTGGCGAGTGAAGGAATTTTGTACTTTTATGGAACATGAGAGTTCTTGCAGTGTTCAGCTGTGTCTTGAATCAGTCCACACCCAGATACCCAATTAAAAATCGGCTTTTCAGATGTATGCTGGTATTGTGTTTGCTGGTGTGTGCTGAGTACTCTTTACTTCATGCCATGGTGGTCTGTCTGCTGTGTGATATGTGGATACTCAGACATATTTTTGCCAGTTCCGTGTGATTTATAAGGGAGAGTATGCTGACGGTTCTGCAGCATTCCTCAGTGGCCATAATAATTCACTAGTGTGAAAACATGTGTCATTTTTTTGACCACAGACAAAATATAAAAAGATCACAGTGGGGGTCAGTATGTTGATACTGGGGTATTATAGGTCTTTCCCTGTAGGGACCATTGTGAAGCAGAGTGGACAATTACATATCTGCATGTATGAGTACAGGAACATAATGTAGTAACTGTAGTAAGTAACTGAGCAAATTTGCTCAAGTGATAATCCATCTGACTTGAATTATGGTGGTGACTGGTTTGAATCTTGGGTGACACCTACTGTGGTGATTGAGTTATTTTCTGCAGTCCATACTCCTGGGACAGTGCATGGAAATAGGTTACGACTGCTTCTACATCTGTCCCAGTTTGTCATCCATTAATCATCCTCCTGTTTCATACTTTATAATATGAGCTGCAGTGTCATTAATTAATGTACGAACTATTGTAATGAACAACGTAGTGAAATGTCCATGTTAAGTTTATAAGAATTTCCATTTTACAAAAATGTCTTAACTGCTTGTATGTACATGAACTAGTAAGTCTATTTGAGACGTCACCACACAGAACCATCATGTCTTCGTGTTCCTTATATTTGCTGCAGCTAAAATGCACATCATAAAGTGGAAAGTGGAGGAGCTGGAAGGGTATACTGGGTTTGAGGTTATCACAGCTGTGACTGTGAAGAGTGCTGTCTGGTGGATTTTTATCAACATTTCATACCGCCTCCATCTTGAGGGTTAAAGAGTAAGCCAGGAAAGCAGACAAAGATGGAGGCTGTATATCCCTCTACAGCGTCAAGTGAATTTTATACCAGGCTCCACAGCTTCACATCTCAGAAGAGGGAAAAAAGTTTCATCACTGAGGGTTACAGTAAACTTCTGTCTTTTTCTTTTTATTTTCTATCATGTCGTGGTGTGAAATCGTAAGGGTGATGGAGAAGCATGACATGTCATGTTACAAAGCCGAAGCTCACAGCATTTCTACAGCTAGAGGTATAGCTAATAGTAAGGTCCCTCTGCTTATGCATCACGTGAAGATACATGGGGGAGTGGAGGGGGTTTAGCTCGATGAGTGACCAGCTTCATGCACCAGCTACTTTACTTCCTGAGAAAGCGCCCCCAAGCTTGGAGGCCACACAAATGGTCTCTTGTCCATGCTTGGTATTGAACTGCCAGTTTCTCAGTTCTACAGCCTGCGTCTGAATTGAGGTGTATTCAAATTATGTCTGTTTATTCACTGAACGGAAATGAAGCTTATACTCTTAAAAAAATTTATATGAGAAGTTAAGATTTTTTCATTTATGATATTGCTGGACTTTATCATCAGAGATCATTGCAGAACTTAACAACATTCATCACTAAAAGAAGAAAATGTTTGTATAATGCCAGCGATACTAAGTTTGTAGGACTATTTGTTCTACAGGACAAGACATTTTGAAGAGTTCATGAAGATATTTGTTCAAGGCTTTTTTCTCTGCCTGACAATTACATGGATAAATTGAAGGGGTGGGTGCTCAGTGAAATCATCATCCTTTAAGATTCATTGCTGCAGCAATCCTGCACCTCAAATGAAATGTAGTACTTCACCTTTTGGTAGGCATGTGGCTTCATGAAATGGAGTGCCAGCTGATGAAATCACAAAAGATGTGTTGAAGCTGTATATCTCTTATTGTGCAACCTTTTGCAGATGAAGCTCTTTACCCATCCTGGTTTAAGTAGTCTTTTCAAGTTGACAGTGTCCTGTAAGTAGTCAGACGCTTCATCTCATTCCTCTTTGGCTCTGTTTTCATGGCTCTTCCTTAATACATAATTCCTGTAGGAAGCTATTCACAATTTTTTAGCCAGGTGTGGATTTAAACAGTATTTGTGGTGCTGTTATACAGGTAAAAAAATCAGATTCCTCTGCACTTTGTGGGAAGCAGTATCATTTAGCAGAATATAGGTAATTCTATGTTATTTGACAACCTATCTTACATGCACAAATTGAAATTTGCTTGAATTTCAGGTAACTGACCAGCCTTTCTTGTGATTACAGTTCTAACCATCCTCTTATCTAAAATCAGTGTGCTTTCTTCTTGAGACTTGGTGTGTCTGTCGGTTAACATGCCAACTTTACCAGCAGATGTAAGGGACAGTCAGTACTCCATAGTAAAGAAGAAAGCAAAGTTTACCCACAGCCTCATGATTGGATTGGTGTGTGATCTTGTACTTATATTATCACTTTTATTAACTTCACATTGTATGTTATGCAAAATTCTTAATGTGAACTCCATGTGTAGTTTACAATTAATGACTGTCACTGTAGATTTTGAGGTGCACCAGCTAGTGACCAGATATTCTGTTTTTGTAAGTTAGAGAATAAATGAGAATACAATTTGTGTTGAGGGAGCAGATGAATCTTTTAGATTTAGTTATGAGGGAAGTATCCTACAGTATTCCATTAAATGACACATGCCAATGAAATGATATAGCATAAGAAAAGTCTGTGAGGGTAAATATTTGTCTGATTCACTTAAAGGTTTGAATGTTGTGAACCAAGATTCTCTAATGATATAACTTTTAAGATTGACTTTAATATTGTGCCATTACAAAGATCCAAGAAACCTGTCCACAGTTGGACTCGAGCTGCTCAGTTATGCTGATGATGGCGGATGAAAACAAAACTATAAAAGTACTGAAGTTGTGTTAGTTATTGGCATGGAGCTGGTTCGGGAAAGATGCAGAGACTTGTAGATGTTCATATCTCATGATAAGTAACAAACTCTTCAGAAAATTATACGCGATTTAAGACTGAAAGGTTATGTAAATGTACGTCGAATTCTAGTTCGAGTCTGCACCCCTTAACAGGTTAACGGATTTCATTTCTTTGGTTCATACTTCATTGACGTGAACATTGAATGGCTGGGTTACAACGTACTTTGAAAACAAAAAACCGGATAGTTATTTATTTCGTCTCTATAGATCATTGTTACATGATACAAGACAAGTCAGTTACTGCACATTGGCGTATTACAATAATAGAGAAAAGTTACAATACTTACAATTGTTTACAGTACATTACTGTAGATATGTAGGTACGTGCACGCCAAAGGTATTCTGTCAAAATGTTTCTCAGTTCTATTTGAGATACGGACCCTCGCACCACATCAATCATTATAAGAGCCATAAGAGTATGGTACCATCGTCCAGGATGTGACGCCGTATAGTCTGGTCTAGGGTAGAAAATAAGCTAAACACGGAATATAACCAGTTCTTGTTGGTAAACTGTGGCCCGAATTTGACGGAATGTTTGTTGTCCGTGGCCGGTACAAATCAGTGATTTTACATATAAACAGTGAAACTCTGAATGCTCTGAATGTACGTAAAACGTGCTCACTTGTTTTGAAGATTGCAGTATTTAGTTGTCCGTGGTTTTGTGTGTGAATCGTAGTGCGTTGTGAGGCCGGTAGGAATACGACATTTTGGAGGTATAAATGTAAGGTTAAAAATGATAAGGCATTTTTCTTTATGTAGTGTTACGAGTTTTGAAAGTGAATAAGAATTGAAATTATCTAATAGAAGTACAAATAAAATAAAATGGCACGTAATTTAAACATTTAATTGACATGTTCTTATTTCGCAGATGGCTGCATTAAGCGAAGTTTCAAGCAACCGCAGTTTTGGAGGTTATCAGAAGGTGTTTTCTCATGACAGGTGATTGCAATGTGTATATGGTACTCTAAATGCTGATTTTAGGCTTTAGGTGTGATAAATTTCGTGCTCATGTTGTTATGCCGGCAACGGTACCGACGTTTCGGAGGTACAACCATCCTCCGGAAACTACATTACATACTTGACCATGAGTATGGATGCAGTCCGTACTTCCAGAACGTCGACAGCGTCGTCCATCGATAGTCACCTACCCAAGAAGAAGAAGAAGAAGAAGATAGTTTTGTTTTTAGCAATATAGTACAGTGAATTTTCCACTTTTTTGTAGATGATTTTATGACATCAGTATCTAGACTATATAGCATCAAATTGTAGGATGACCGACTAATCTGAGAGAATTTAAAAGGAAACTCATGGTGTAATCTAGGCATGATCTAGTCATTTAAATGGAGAAACTGAGGAAAGCCACAGAATACCTCTGTCAGGGTACCTGATGTCATGACTGAAATTTGCATTGCGTAGCCACCTAGTAAATGCCTAGGGTGGAACTATGCGTTACTGTTTTATTTTTAATGCTAGTGCGGTGGGACTAAGTCCCCTGTACTGTGGCCATTTTGGGCCTATTGTACCAGGCCCAGATGATAGGTGAGGGTGATTATGGAGCAATTGGTGGAATGAAGATTGGCAGGGGAAACCGAAGTACTTGGAGGAGAGCTGCCCCAGCGCCACTTTGTCCACCACAAATCCTACTTTACCAGACCCGGGATCGAACCCGGGCCGTTGCGGTGGGAAGCCAGCGACTAACCGCTTGAGCTATGGCGCGGCCCCTGCGTTAATGTTTAGCGTGACTTGATGACAGGAGCACTCAACACCTCTTTTGCTTGAATGTGCTGTGGCAAAGATGAAACACAATAATATTTATGGCTGCATGTGTGTTTTGTGTGAAATCAACACCCAGTTTTGTAGATTCTAAAGGGTTCTGACGATTGTGGATGACACAGAATTACTGGGTTTTTGGACTTTTTCCATCGTCCAGAATTCTAGGTAATAGAGGACATCTATTACCTAGAGTGTCCTCTATTACCAAGAATTCCAGACGATGGAAAAAAGTCCAAAAACCCAGTAATTCTGTGTGACCCAGTTTTGTGCTTGAACCAGACTTAGGTATTCCTCAGATTGGAATAAATGAACATCACAAAGTTTGAATGTATGGTGTTCAAAGATCAGCCAGATTTTGTGTGTGCTTTAGACATGGCCATTCTTACTAGTAGATTTGGCTGAGTTACCTGAGATAAGATTTGTGTGATGTGTATGGGTTAAAATGGGCCTTAGTTACAGTCCTTAGTCCTTCTCTCCCACTCACAATGCAGCTGCAGCCATTGTCCCACTGCTTCTTGCCATACTTTTCCTCAGGTACATCCCAGAAGCCAGGTTTAAAAATATAGCTGTAAATATTGTAACGTGTTTTGCGTTACTGATCCCACTTCTGACACCAGTGTAACGTGTTTCGTTACTGAAGACGCCGTAGAGATGGTTAATTGGTTTATTTAACAATCTACAACTATCGGCTACAGTTGATTATAACAATGTTACGGGTTTCCACACTTTACAAACCCTAGAACAAAATCTCTTAACACTCTCTTCGAGAGTCTTCACGTACTAATAATGCGGGAGCTATACAAGTCTCCCTGAATTACACACTCCAGATATGACTGGTTATCACTGGTTATCGCACACGCGGCTGTAGCTCGTAACTTGCGAACTGAGAAGTCGTTGATAACGCCCTCGGCGACTGTCACAGTACAACTGAAGTCGCCGACTGCTACAGTAGAACTGACTGTGAATAGCCTTCGCTGCTCCTTATGTAGACTCGACCGGACAATACGGCCACGTAATAGGCACCCTTCTTGCCTGGCGCTGTGTTGCTAGCAACGCAAGCGGTAGTAACCGCTGTTACTACCGTAACAGTCCGGTTGCGTCACCGTTACGTTACCGTGCGGAGGAGGGGGAGGGGAGCGCTGACTCACCCGCCACGTCACTGCTGGTGGGGGGGGGTTCCCTTTTGCGCAACATGTCACAATATGTTTGTTTACAGACAAGTTTTTGTATCCTGTGTGGATTACATTAGCAGACTGCATGTTGCTTGAATACTGTGATGTTCTCTGAACTCTGAACCTTTATTTTGCAGCAAGGAGCTCAGATGCAAAATGAAGTTTGCTGTGTACTTACCACCTCAGGTTGAAGATGGAAAACTTCCAGTTATTTACTGGCTCTCTGGCTTGGAATGTACAGAACAGAATTTCATAATGAAATCCGGAGTTCAGCGTTATGCTTCTGAGCATGGGATCATCATTGTTGCTCCAGATACCAGTCCAAGTGAGCATAATTTTGTTTGAGATTATTGTGAAATGCATTAGCTATTAATTTTTTGTTACCGGTTTAGTGGACATTGCATAGTTCGCATGGTTTGTGATCAGTTTCTGAACTCAGAAATCTGGGTTCAGTTGTAGGGTAGTCTAGTGAGATTTATAGTGGACAGAGTGGCATTGGGTTAGGTTGTTCTCCAAGTATTTCAGTTTTACTATGTCAGTTATTATTCTACCAGTGCTCGATGGTTATCTATTACCTGGTTCACTAGGCCCATTGAAGTGATGCACTTTCACCCCACTCCTACAGTAAAAATAGAAGACCACTGATCAACGGAATACTCCCTCCAGACCAATCCCAGTTTCATGAAGTACTTGCCAGTTTTACACCGGGCCTGAGGGTTCAGTTCATTTCATCTGGGAGCATATGACTAAGTTGTCAGATGGTAAGGCTGATTCTTTAATTATTATATATTTCCTGTGTCCCCAGTACAGTTCAAAAGCACATTGGTCAACATTCTTAGTTTCTTTTATTATTTTTTTATTTCTAGTGGGGTGGGACCAAGTCTCTTGTACTAAAGATTATATGAGTGACATTGTTAATTATAAGTTAGACATAATTTACTGATGAAGAGAACTTTTATCATTTCCGTGTAAAATAATCAGTTTTCTTGTTTATATTTTTGTAATTACCACATTACCACAACACCCAGCCTCTTTGATTTAGCAGTGTCATTAAATATGCATTTTATTTTATTTTTAATGGGTTCCAAGTGGTTCTTGTTGCATCAGTTCTTGTGCCACGTAGTTGTGTGTTAATATTTAATCTTCATCTAGGGGGATGCAACATTCCTGGAGAGGATGACAGTTATGATTTTGGTACTGGAGCTGGATTTTATCTGGATGCTATCAAGGAGCCCTGGAGTGAAAACTACCGTATGTTCTCGTATATAACGAAAGAACTTCCAGAAGTTATCAATTCAAACTTTGCCACAGTAGAGGAGAGTCAGTCCATAATGGGACACAGGTATATTACAGGTTTTGACTTCATGTTTTGTATCAGAATGACTGATAAGTAGCTGTTAGATTCACATTTGTGAAGGTTCAGATTTTGTTACAATATATAAAGAGTTGCCTTTTTTCAGTGTTGAATCAGAAACACTAAAACATTTTTACAAGAAGGAAGATATGAATCTAAATGCAAGAATGTATGTTGTGGCACTGAAGTATTTTTCCCTTCTATATTACAGTGAAACCCCCACTTAAGGTTTATTTTGGGAGCAGCGTATTTGATCTCTAAACTGAGAACATTCATAAATGGAGGAACATTAGTAATGTGGGTTCCACCGTATTTAACTGAATCTAGTACTCCATTAGCAGTAGAGCCTGACTGAGATTGAAGAACACTTTTCTGTGTTGTGATGCTGTGTAGTCAAGCAGAAGTTCACCAACATTTTGGAGGGACATCTGCTTCCATCTTCAGGGTCAAAGAATAAGCAATGTCAGTAACTGGCAAGAAGCAGGTGACAAGAGCAATGAAGTTCTACCAGACTACATAGGCACAATAGATCACTGTGGTCGCGGTGCAAGGGCCAAGAAGGCCCACCCCTTATACATTCATTCATACCAGACTACATGGGGCATCACATCACAGAAGACAGCCTTCTTCATAGTCACAGCTGAGAGAATTTAAGATCTAACCTAACTGAGGCTTTTTGTCATTTTCCTGTCTCTGCAAGCAAATGCTGGTACAGTATCTTAAATAAGGCAATGACTTCTTTTCCTTCCACATTCCTCCTGGTTCATTAATCACTGATCATCCTATTGTTCAGTGGCATATAAAATATTAAATAACCACCTCCCCCCCCCAAAAAAAGAATAATATGAAAATATTTGGACTCATATGAATATATGTAAGATTTGAGAGTTTTGTGCATGTCCACATGTGCTGTGAAATTGTCTGTAGCATTGTCTTCCCGAAAAAACTTCCAATGTCTTTAAAACAGCAGAGAGACAGTTAACAGTGGTTTGGCCTATGAAATAAGATTGGATGAAACAAAGATAGATTTAAAATTTGAAGGAATGATATTTATTAATGGAATGGCCAAAAATGGAATTGTTCAGCCAGGTACTGGAGGACTTCACACAACTGAGCATAATATGATTTAGTATAAGTATATATATATATAATGTTGCTGTAGGTTGGAATTGTAAGAGTTGCAAGTCTATATGTACTCAATTCTTATTATATGAGGAAAAGCCAAAAATGATTATTTGTGTTGTAATAAGCCATTGGATATCTTCTTTGGTACTCTAGCATGGGAGGTCATGGTGCTTTGATTTGTGTCCTGAAGAATCCAGGAAAGTATCGCAGTGTTTCAACATTTTCTGCAATTTGCAATCCGAGTATCGGTGCCTGGGGACAAAAAGCATTTTCTGGTTACTTGGGCCCTGCAGAATCTGCCAGCTGGGCTGACTGGGATGCTACTGAGCTGGTAAAGAAATACAGTGGACCACCTCTTGAAATTCTCTTGGATCAGGTAATTGTATTAATTTGTTTCATAATACTGTGTTGGAACAACACTACAGGGTAAACACATGGATTTTTATACCTGATGCCCTAATGAATGAAGAAATATCATTTCAATACATTGTGCGGGTGAATGGGGAAGGTGTTCATTCAAGAATAGGGGATCTTAAATCTGGTATTACAGGGCTGGTGGTCAGATTTTAACTTTGGGATAATGGGATCAGTATTGACAAAATGCAGTGATGCCAGGCATAGCTGGTATTTTTATAGTATACAGTTTTTCAGATTAGCATTAAGAGTTTCATTGTGGAATTTCCCTAGGAAAATGCTGAAATACTTCTCTGGTGTAGTGGTCTCCAACCTGTTATGGTAAATAAATAAATGAATATATTATACTGTAAATTTACAAAACTAGAGGCAGACTCATTTCAGCCATTATACAACTGGTTTTCTGCAGTATGTGGTATGTCCTGAGTAAAATATTTGAAATATTAGCAACAGTTTTTAAAAATAAAATGTCTCAGACTTTCATAAAGCATGCTTCCTGTTTGGGCTGTCCCAGATTTGAATCTGGGCCCAGAGACTGGTTATCCTGACTGATGCATGTCATGGGTTTCCTTGCTTCCTGGAGACAAATGCTGGGCTAATATGTTAAATTAGGCAATGATTGTTTCCTTCCACATTGAACCCATCGTTCACTATTTGTTTTAACCAAACAGTTGAAGCTACTGATATTATCATTGAATAAATTGAATAAATAAACTGAGACTCTCACATTATATCATGGTATTCTGTGGGGTAGTTCCTACTGTACTCCATTGTGTCCCCTTTAGAGTTAAGCAGCTGTTAGCATGACACTCCATTATGTTAGTGCACTCTCTGAACTGGATGCATAGGCAGTTAATTCAGTATCCTTCTGATCATCATGCTTTCATTGTAACATTGTCTGCTTGCTGTATTCTCATGGCCTTAGTAGCCATGCATTCCAATATTGCATTGGTCCATGTACATAGTCCAGGTGGCCAGGCATTCCTTTTGTGTGTGTGTGTGTGTGTGTGTGTGTGTGGAGGAGGGGGATTTTGTTACACTGTCAGTAAATTAGGTAAAGCTTCCCCTGTAACAGGCTGTGAAGGCCCATAGGGGTGTGAGAGGTCAAGGTTCTTGCATTTTCTAGACATTTGGCTCACAGATGGTGGTAAGGTTGTCAGCCTTACTGACTGGCTGCCCTTTACCCCCCAGGAAGATTCCTGGTACTTATTTCTATTAGAATCTGAGACGACTCCAAGGCCATAGTGCAGCTGGAAGGAATAGGTTAACTGAAAAATTGAATGACCTCATCGGAATCGAACCTGTGACCTTCTGGCATGTAGTATACTGCCTCAACCAACTATGCTACCGCGTGCCCCATCAGTAAGTTAGGCAATATAGAATTGAATGGTAGAATGACAGATGAATGATGAATTGGAGATGATTTGAAAGGAAGCAGTTGTGACCTAATCAAGGTACTATTCCAGTATTTGCCTGAAGGGACCGAGTAAAGGCATGAAACATCTGTGAGGATAGCTGATGTGCTGGCTCATGATTTGAACTGAGCATCCCCCGAATGCAACTCTGAAGTGGGACCACTGCACTTTTTCAGTATTAATACTCTCCCTTCTGAGTGAAAATGTGACTGCCAGTGGTACAAAACCAGGAGATTTGAAGTCTTTGTTCATGGGCATTAAAGGTTGGCTCAGTGAAGTTTAATCACATGGAGAAAGTCGTCTTCTGGGTTTTGGCGCCGTGTATTCTTCGTTTTGGCTGACGTTTCGGAGGAACGTCAGCCAAAACGAAGAATACATGGCGCCAAAACCCAGAAGATGACTTTCTTCATAGTCATCGCCATGAAAACCTCAAAACTTACATTTAATCACATGGGTTTGTGGTATTTGACTGAAATGAAGAGCTTCTGTACCTTCCTCATGTATAAAATTTCTTGTGGTAAATCTGTAATGTGAATGAATGAATGTGTAAGGGGTGGGCCTTCTCGGCCCTTGCACTGCGACGTATTGTGCTTTGGTACATCTGTAACAGAAGTGGCAATGTATTATACAGTGTTATGCCTGTAAAGTTGTGAAAACGTTTATGTTTGGTTTTAATAACAGGGAAAGGCTGACCCAAGATTGGAAACAGATCTCTTTCCTGAGAACTTCGTAAACGCTTGTAAGGAATCTGAGATACCTGTGATTCTTCACATGAGAGATGGCTATGATCACAGTTACTATTACATAGCTTCCTTTATAGAAGAACACATCAAGCATCATGCAAAATATCTCAAGGCCTGAATAACATGTAACAGCAATGCCATTGTTAACCATCAGTGAAAAAATGTTATGTACTGAACAGTTATTAAAGCATCCGTTCATAAGAACTTGCAAATTTATATGGAACACACATGAAAATTATGTATAAATGTTTATCCCATTTATTGTGGAAGAAGGGTGCATCCTTGTCAGTGATGTATATGTTTACATGTTACTAGAAAGGTACCAGATTCTGTTTCCAACATACTTTGTATATTTATATGATGTTGGGAAGCTCAAACATATGTACACAGGATTTTTGTTCTATAAGGTTGTCTCCATGAGGTAGGCTACTGTACCTCAATTTGTACACCAGATGGCCTTACACATACGTCATGTCAACTTCAGGTGGATATATTTGCACAGCATTTATTCTTTCACAGAGATATCATGTAATGACTGCTGAATCATATTTAGAATAAAATTGAAAGGTGATTGTAGTTATACGCTGAGCATACATTAACTGACAGTACTCAAGTACTTTGGCCACCATTGTCTGGTGCTGAAGTTAAATAGGTATCTCTACAGCCCTTGTATGACTTTGTCACATGATTCAGAGGCAAAAGCGAAGCTGTGATGCAACTACAGATGCGCTTCTCAGCACATCAACAGTTTTCTTTACTATTGCAAGCCACACTATTTTGTGTGTTCCTGTGGGTCTGAAAGAAATGTTATTAAAGCGGAAACTACCTATATATGATGTCTGTTCTTCACAGTGGTGAAGGTTAATATTGTGGTCTTCTGGATTATGTTACTGTATAGTCTGGCATGTTACCCTGAAGATGGAGGTACATGCTTATGAAATGAGGCAAAAGAGGGATGAAAAAGGTTTTATGAGATTTCTGGCTCTCACAGTGATGGCCATGAATATTACTGTCTTTTGGAATGTGATATCATGTAGTTTGGTAAACTAGTAAACATGTAATGCAATGTAATATAATTTAAAGTAATGTAAAGTACTCCTGTTTTGGAGGAGACTGCAGCCTTCACATTGGGGGCAGAAGATGGAGGCAACAGGTTTGTCCAAAAAGTTGGTACTTGTCTGTCAAACTGCAAGATGTCACATTTCAGTGGACAGTAATATTGAGAAAATGTTCTCTTCATGACTGACGCTGTTTCACTTACTTGGAAGATGATCAGAGTGTGCGTGTGTGTGGGAGCGCGGGCGCGCTCACTGCTACATGCAGGTGACAGTAACACAAAAACTACTTGTCCTTAAAATATCTTTAAACTGGATCACAATCCTCGGTTGAAAATGAGAAACTCAGATTTGTCAGTTTGCTTGTGAAGGGCTGAGTAAAACATCCAAGTTTCATTTCACTGCAGTAAGATACGGTGTGCCCGCATTTTACCCAAGTGATGTGTTACAGAAGACCTTGTGTAATTCAAGACAAGTTTTCTCATAGGAATAAATGTATTGCCAATTTTTTTGGGATTCACATTATTTCAAACTTGGCATATCAAGTAAGAGTTATATTTTTCATATCACACTTTTTCAAATTCACATAAAATGTGACCAGGGCATGTGGTAGTGTAGTTGGTTGAGGCACTATGCTACAAGCTGGAAAGTCATGGGTTTAAGTCCTGATGAGGTGGACTTTTTTTTTTTCAATTTACCTAATTCTTCCAGCTGCACTATGGCTTTGGGGTCAACACAGCCTCTAACAGAAATGAGTACCAGAAATCTTCCTGGGGGGTAAAGGGCGGCTGGCATGTAAGGCTGACAACCTTATCACCACCTGTGAGCTGACTGTCTAGAGAAAATATGGGATCCTCGACATCTCACAACCCTATAGGCCTCCACAGCCCAATACAGGGATAGCTTTACCTTTTACCTTTTTATCAAATGTGACCACATTGTACTAGAAATAATTTGAAGTTTGTATGATGGTGAATACTAAGAGTACAAAGTTCTAGGTGTGACATTGTATAGTTTGGTAAATAGTACCAGTGTTTTGGAGGGATCTGATACCTACATCTTCAGGGTAGAAGCTGGACTGTTTACTCAAGATGGAGATGGCAGATTACTCTGAAATATATGACCTGTCTACCAGGAGCTTCTCAAAATGGAGCCTGCTAAACATTATTCAATGTTACAGTAATCTTATTTTCAGAAACTGATATTTTACAATTAATTGTGATCATACCTCCTTTGAGTGTGCACAAATTTTGTTTGCATAATGATACCCTTGTGCACTTTGTAATTTTGGTTTTGATCATGTCTGATCTGATATTTTGCACAAAATGTTGGGATTGTTGGTACAAATCCTGAAGCACTAAAAAACGATGGTTGCGACCTTCAGTATACATTTGCACTTTTCTGTAGTTTTTGATTGCCCGTAATTACGTTGGTTGTTTACGACTATGGATAAGAATTTATATTTTACAATCACTGAGGGGGTTTCTTGTGAATATATCTTAACATTTGATTGCATGGAAAGATGGAATGTGGTGAGCTGAGAGACTGTTAGCTTCTCAAGAAAGACTGCTCCATGAAGTCAACATCAGTGTGACAGTAGATGTTCCGAGTTCACCGGTTCTAACTGAAAATTTCTTGGAACCAACATACTTCATTTTGAAATACCTTTAAAAGTTTTTGCCTTTCCACAGAATGAACTACAGAGTTCCTTGTAAACAGCAGGTAGGATATTTAAATTCATATTTTTAATTTCACTAAGAGTGCATAAAATTTCCTGAATGTAATTCTGCTTATGAATATGGTTATTCTTCAACGCCATTCGTAAGCACTTCAATTTTGCCACATGATTTATATAAAATTTTATGCTGGTATTTTATAGGATAGGAATGCATTCATTCATTTATTTTCCATATACCCACACAGGTAACAAAACTAGGACGAGGAAATGGTCCCTTTGAAAACAGATATATCAAAATACACATACAAAATTATATGAGTCACTTAATCAACCAACAAAAACAATATAAAGTAAAAAATTTAATAAGGTCTTAATTAACAAATATAATTTAAAAACAACTTACTATAAAACTTGAATTAATACAATTTTATATAAATTACCTATAGTAACTGATTTAAATACATTACAACTTTACACACTTATGACCAATTATGTTGATAATATTCATTCATGGAATAAAAAGAATGATAATATAAGAACCTCTTCAATGCAGATTTAAGACCTCTCTCATCAGTAGCCAACATTTCTATTGCTTGAGGAAGATGATTAAAAACTTTTAATACCTGATATATACGCACCTTTACTGTATTTTGTTAGGTTAACTGCAGGTAAATATAAATATAAATATTGCTTTTCAGGCTTGTTACATCATTGTCATTACTGCTTTCACGTATTTACAATTTCACCCAATAAAAATTATTAGCATGCTATGTTACAGAACTCGCAAAGCACAATACTTCATCGAAGGTCGCATTGTTAGGGCCAGTTTTATGCCCCACCCCTCATATTCATACTCGTCCAGTACTCGAAAAGGTTATATATGTCTTTATATTGTAATACATTTCAGGTAGTTTTGGGGGATATTTCAGATTCAGTTATGTTATATTCCTATGTCGCTGCCAGTTCAAGCTAAAATCACTGCCATAATTATTATAAGCAAACAATTGTTTAAAAACAAACACAGCTGCTTCCTAGTTCCCGTATGAGTAATCCTTGCTTATACGATTACAGTACGTTATTACAAACCATGATTCAATATATTCTGCTATAGACATTATTGGCAGCTGTCTGAGACGTAGCGTTAATCGTTTTAATCACTCCAGTTTCCCCGTTTAGGAGAAAATCGTCGAAAATCTGGAATTTTTAAATTATATCTGATGTCTTAAATTTTCAATATGAAAATTATCTCGTAGGTCTGCATTACTAGCCATGAAGAAACGTTCCGTACACTATCACGGATTACCTATAAGTCTATTTTCGGCGTAGTTTATTCCTCGATGTTCTCATTCCTATTTGCTATTAATCAGTTTCGGTCTAATCCTAAGGTTATTTTGATCATTTTGATTTTCATTCTGCAAAGCTGCAAAGGCTCCTCTACCGTCGCGGTCGCAATCGACCATAATGGACGAATAATAAGGAAGTCGAAGTAGGGTGGGCATGATAAGTTTTCTTTCATTCGATTTTTAGAATTGTAATTTTTAGTTCACTTGCCTACCTCACGATCCTTAAATAGCAGTTGAATGAATGAATGTATTAAGGGCTGGGCCTCCTCGGCCCCTGCAGTTACTAATTGTTTTTATTTGTAATGAATGCAATCAGCTGATAGGCTACTAACCTCCCCAGACAAAATGAACGTAACCAAACGTTAATTAAATTTTATGTATTTGTATAATGTTTCAGCTTTGAATAAGGGTATATAATATTACATGAACATCGCAGAATGGTGGCTTCTCCAGTACCAGTTCCCCTTAAAACAAATTATGCTGATACATTTTGGTGCACTTACTGTGTATCAGTTATTGCAGCGAGTATAGCAGAAGTGGGTAAGGATGTATATAAATTAACTTCCGTGTAATTATTGTCAAAAATAATAATCATGTATTCAGTCAGGTGTATATAATTTTTTGTGGTGGCACATTTTTATAATTTTTATAGACATAATAAATAAAAGCGAGTGTATTTGGATTTAAGGTTTATATCACCATAAAAATTCGTCTGAAGTATTTTGTCATTTTTTTAGTAGTTCAGTTTATGTAAAGGGCGAATTCGCTGTTGGCTTTGGAGGTATGTTTTTATTCACACAAGATGTAGAACAGCAGGAAAGTAATTCACACGTGGGGCCAGACTTCTCAGTACTTGAAGGGCCACAGAATTACTAGATAATCAACTTCTTCTCTGGTAACAGGTCAGAAAGGCTGAACAACGCTAATACCAAATCCTGCCATTTGGCATGATCCTCATCCAGTTTCATCTCCCCACCAAATCCTCACAATCCTATAAATTTCATGTTAATGTTTCACTCCACATCATTCTTCATCTTCCAAGTGGCTATTTTACTGTCCCTTAAGGCTGATGCCAGGATAATACCTCAGATTAGATGGCACCAACATCCTTTCCACTTCATTAATCATTAATTATCCTATCATGTATTGCTATATAATCTAACTTCCGACAGCATTATTAAATAAGCGATCGGAACAGTTAATAACAGTGACATGAAACTGAACAAATGTCTAACGCTGGGATACAGCAGAGTGCTATTACAGTTTCATAAGATCCCATCCAACTTAGTGTAAGAGGCTTTATAGATTGATTGTTCGATTGATTTGTTTATTTGGTACTGTTATAGTATTTTTCTTTTCTGGAATATAATCGGAGCCCCATTCTAGTCTTTTTTCAATTTCATATTTCTGTGTAACTTTTTTTGTTGTGTTGTTCATATTTCTCTACCATGAAGATGGAGGCAGTAGGTTCATATGGAATGGTAACAGTATACCAGACTACATGGCATCACATCCCATAATCTTCATAAGCATGACTGTAGAGACCCCAATCCTTGCTTGTTCAGATAATTGCTAATGTTTAATGAGTATGAATTTTGAATCTGTAGGTACTGGATAGGAAGAAATTGTGCCATACTTTAATTGTGCAGTTCTTTGGTCATAAACCCTATACATGTGGTCTGCAGATGGTAAGGTACAAAGCCAGCATACATGGGTTCAGTGTGTACACATTCCACACTCAATATGGACTATCTAGAATGAAATGTTATATTTACTGACTGGGTTTATAAATGGAGTGTTTTTAACCCCTTCAGAATGATGCAGATATGGTAAATAGGAGTGAGTCATTTGTGTATTGTTTATTTAACAATACTATCGTGAAGTAGCTCTTGACTATATAAAAAATTGAATGGTAGGGCAATAAGTTGATATTGAATTCGACATAATGTGGAATGAAGTGACTGTGACAAAACTTGACATGTTATCCAATAGCGTATCACTGGAGGGTATGAGGAAAGTGATGAAAAACCTTAGTGAGGTTAGTCAGTGTCTGGCAAAGATCTGAACAGGGCATCTCCTGAAAGTCCAAAGCATCAGCATCTCAGTCAGCTTGCGTGCTATGAGTTTTTTAATTGGTTGTTCAGATATGCCAGAAACCTTGAGTTCTGTCACGTCCTTTTCGTTAAAATGCTGTCATCATGAAAAATACATCGGCTATGTTGTTTCTTTGTTGATCTGTTTACTATTGAGACATTGCCACAACAGTAATCATTATGGTGTAGAACAAGCCTTTACTATAATACACATTTGAAGCAGGGATAAATTTTTGTCACTTAATTGTCTCCATTAATATTTATTTTACGTTTAACCTTTCAAGCACAGCAGTAACTATATGTGCCACTTACAGTAACATCAAAAAGCTGTGTGAATTTTGAAGATTGCAGTCTTTTGGGTTGTATCACCATGTAGTTCGGTGAGAGCATTACATTTCTAAGATGTATAACTCCATCTTCAGGGTCAAAATGTAAGTCAAGGAAGAATGAGCAGAAGCAGGTGACAGGCTGCTTATATGCTCATCTGAGCAGGTGGCAAACTGCTTGTATGCTCCTCTGAGCAGGTGGCAAACTGCTTGTATGCTCCTCTGAGCAGGTGGCAAACTGCTTATATGCTCCTCTGAGCAGGTGGCAAACTGCTTATATGCTCCTCTGAGCAGGTGGCAAACTGCTTGTATGCTCCTCTGAAATGTTGGGCACTCTCAGAACTGTACTGTATGAGAACCCATAGTGTTCAGCACAGTGAGAACCTCAAATCCGCTCATATATATTTATTTGTTTTCGATGATTATTGTACATAAATTTTAGCACTTGTTCTCCTATCATCCCGTTGTTATGTGCATTCACAGGTTGTTGTGAACAGATGCTTGTTATCTGCTGTTATGTCTTCCACCTCTGGAAAAAAGACTATCCTGCAGTTAGTGGCACCAGCTAGTGAATACTGTTATTTTGCCAAGTTACTATTTTAGTATAAATGTATGTCTTGCCAACTTTTGCAGTTATTGAGGTTACATTTATTTGACACACATTGTTGGTAACAAATCCCCATTGAGATTTCAGTGGGCTTTGTACAAGTTTTCATAATAAAGAGCATCAGAGCATTATGATAATTGATATCTGTTTGCAGTTGCGTTGTATTACATACAGTTCATAATGTGATCATGTGGATTATGATATAAATTGTCTGGTAGGTGTGCACCAACTTTTTATAGGCACATATCCCCTCAGCAAGAAAACAACAATATGAATCCTTACTCACTGTGAACACATGAAGTCTTGAACATTGGGGGTTCTTTACTGACTCACATTCAGTTCTAGGCTGTGAAAACTTATACAAATTGTTAAAATAATACATTTTTTTTTGTTTAAATGTTCTTTTTTCTTTGTGAACAGACTTTAGTCATCTGTATAGTTCAGAACAATTCATTTGGTTTGTGTTTGTGACATTTACTGTTCTATATTCCAGTTACTTATCCCTTGGATCTTACAAAAACACGACTTCAGATTCAGGGAGAACTAGCTGCAACCAAACATGCCAGTATGAATGTAAGTATTGAACTTGAAGTGTACATCTTAGTCCTACAGCCGAGGATGTTAACTGTTTCCCAGCTTCTCACAGTAGGCTTCCATCTTTGTAATATGCCATACAGTCATACTGCCTGAAGTGTTTCATCACAGATTTTACATATTTGCTATTATATTATGATTGCATCTTTAGTATTATATCTTTGTTCTTTACATTCTTTGACATCTCTTCTAGAGGATAGCTGTGAACATATTGAATGAGCAGTTGTGGATAGCTGACAAAGGGTGGTCCTCCAGCTTGGGCTTTGTACATGAGGCTAACATCTCCCCACTGTAAATATATACTTGTTAAGAAATGTCAGAAAGGACTTTGGGTGGATTCTTTGGATAAATAACATGGTAATGAACCTTCGGGTTCCATAAAATGTTGGGAAGTTCTTGAGTAGCTGCACAACTAGTGGCTTCTCAAGAAGGGCTCAGTTCCCTGAAGTTAGGTTTTATCAAACACCTTTATGAAATTTTCAGTGAATTCATCCTGTTATGTATCATATATTATTTCTTACTGAAAACCGTCACAACACAACAATCAGTAATATGTGTAAGTAGCTCTAGGAGATACTTTTGCTAGATGTTTCGGCCTTCAAAAGGCCATCGTCTATCTCTCTATCAGATAGGACATTTACACCATTGAGTCGCCCGTCAAATAATATCAAATATTAAATAATAACATACAACATAACAGTGCGCCTCTGAACACTACATCAGCCATTGTGTATATAATATGTCCGTGTAAACATTACATATATTAAAATTACAACTGCCAACACATATACAACTTTTAACTGTACTTTTGACTATGTATCTGGTTATTTTAAGACTTAAACTTTTATTGTAATTTATATCTTATATATTTACTCATATCAGTTTATACCATTGTATGCACTTGGAAGTTTAGTACTGTATCCTATAATTGGCATGCAATTCAATAACGAAAAGTTTAATGTATTTGCTTGATGATGGCCTTTTGAAGGCTGAAACATGTAGCAAAAGTATCTCTTAGAGCTACTTACATGTATTATTGATTGTTGTGTTGTGACAGTTTTCAGTAAGAAATAACCTTTATGAAATATTTGAATTTTGGGAGGAATACTTTGCCACAGAAGATGGAGCCTGTAATTCATCAGGAATGTTGGCACTTATCTGCCATGCCACAAGGCATTGCATTTCAGAAGACAGTAATGTCAGTACTCATTGCTAAGGAAGCCTCAAATTTCAAACTTAGAAGAGTTTTAATGGTTGACATTTCTTTGTTTTAGTCTACACCATATCGAGGTATGGTACAAACTGCGTTGGGTATTGCAAAGGAAGAAGGGTTTCTCAAATTGTGGCAGGGCATTACACCTGCCATTTATAGGCATGTGATATATTCTGGTATTCGCATTGTCAGTTACGAAACGTTACGAGATAAAGTTTTGAAGAAGGAACCTGATGGTTTTTTCCCCTTGTGGTAAGTGTAAGGAATTATATGCTGCTGATATGAGTGAAACTCAGATCTGTCCCCCAGTTCATAATAACTGCATTCTCACACCTACCCTCGTCTGCTGTATGAGTATTACTATGTTGGACATTATTATCTGATGTAAAAGGTAAAAAGGTAAAAAGCTAAAGCTATCCCTGCAACAGGCTGTGAAGGCCCATAGAATGGTGAGATGTCGAGGCTCCCACATTTTCTGTAGACATTCAGCTCACAGATGGCGGTGAGGTTGTCAGCCTTACATGCTGACCGTCCTTTACCTCCCCAGGAAGATTCCTGATGCTCATTTCTGTTAGAGGCAGAATTGCCCCCAGGCCATAGTGTGGCTGGAAGGACTAGGTAAATAAAAAAAATCCACCTCCTTGAATCCGCGACCTTCCGGTTTGTAGCATAGTGCCTCAACCAACTAGATTACTGCGTGCCCCCTTATTATCTGGTATATGTTTGATATAGTGTGTTCTATAAATAAATCTGTATCCATCATTGAGTGTAAGGCAGGAAGGGATTCTAGTCTGTTGGGTCTCATAGAGGAACATGATGTTCCAACATAATGTAGCTGTAATGAACTGGTCATCATCACAGATCTTTATGGAATCATTATTTGTTTGTGCTGTTTATTTTTTACTCATGCCTACTCTGTAATCATTCATTAGCCTATTGAATCAGGTTATTAATAAATAGAGAACAGAAGTGAATTGACAGCATTCCACAGCACATGTACAGTGTATTGAAGCATGGTTGTGATATTTATAATTTGTTAAAAAGGCATGTAGATTATGGGTCCCTTGTAAGAGTAAGTGTAACCCTTTTTTCTGTAAAATTTATGTTGTCCTTCAGGAAGTCTGCCATGAGTGGGGTGACTTCAGGTGCACTGGCCCAGTTTTTCGCAAGCCCCACGGATCTTATTAAAGTACAGATACAAATGGAAGGAAAGAGGAGGTTACTAGGGAAGCCGCCAAGGTTTGTAATGTGATACAATGCATTAAATAAGATCAGATTATGATATAAAAGGTAAAGCTGTCCTTGTAACAGACTGTAAGCATGTAAGGTTGTGAGATGTCGAGACTCGCAAATTTTCTAGACAATATGCATCATGTATGTGGCTGGGAATTCTAGTAATTTTAGGTCTTAAACAGTGTATTTCTTTTAACCTTATCCTGTTCATATCACCCTTAGCCGGAAGTAAGAATACAAGGAACACAATAGAATGCAGACATTGAAAATGTTGGATGAAAAAGGAATGAAGTAAAAAGAATGCAGGAAATTATGTAACAAGAAACTTCATTATTCATTCTCTTCTCGTTGTGTTCGGGTTAGTTTAGGTGTCTTTTTTGTTGTTATTTTCTCATCTTTTCAGTATCCCAAGTGATCTTTTTCTATCTTTAATCAAAGTTTGGTGTACATTTCTTGTTCCCCCTTCTGGTCCTTATTACCCTCCATGTCCAGCCCACTGTAACTGTCTTGATTTCAGTACCCACACTATATAAGACGAAGAGTACAGTCTTCTTGGATGTTCTACCATGTAGTCTGGTAGATCATTACTGGTGTTTAGGAGGAATGTTCTGCAGTGGAAGAGTAAGCCAAATGGGGGAAAATGGTATGATACAGTGAAAGAGGGGCTGGAATCATGACCATGAGTAGATTGATGGGAAATAATGGGAAGTGGCTGGTTTGCTAATGGAGTTGTTTCACTCAACGTGCAGTCCTTCTTTTCCTATATTTGTACCACTTTTTCCCTAGATTGACTGATTCTTCTACCCTGAAGATGGAGACATCAGGTTTCTCCATTGATAATCACCTTCTGCTTTGCATGGTATCACATCCGAGAAAACAGTAATCTTCAAAATAATTCTACTTGAAGGTAATATTTGTCACTTTTCAAATGAGTAGGAGCTGTGATGATAATAGATACAGTGGAGTTTGTGGCAGTATGTCTTATCACAGCTGACCTTGTTAAACTGCATCAATAATGAAAGGTAAAGTTCTCCCTGTGCTTAGAATTTTTTCAATGAACCTAATCCTTCCAGCCGCACTATGGCCCCGTGGTTGACTCAGCCGCTAACAGAAATGAGTACCAGGAATCTTCTTGGGGAGTAACGGTGGCTGGCGCGTGAGACTGACAACCTTACTGCCATCTGTGAGCTGATTGTCTAGAAAATATGGAAGCCTCAACATCTCACAACCCTATGGGCCTCCACGGCCTGTTACGGGATACCTTTACTTTTACTTTACTATGTTTAATTTAGCTACAGACCACAAAGACTTACAGGGGAGTGCAGATATAGCTTGAGGCATACTTAATGGTAGCACTAGCCCTAGCCACTTTACCCCTGAGAAAAAAAGGATAGGAGGCTGGGTGAGTCCCAGAGCTGTTCTGGATACTGTGGAGAAGAGAAAAATTTCTTGCTCCTGCCAGGAATCAAATCCAGATTCTTCAGTCTTCGAGCCTGTAGCTAAAGAGTATAGTGACTGAACTATCCTAGCTCCCTGCATAGTTTACTGGCAGGGCCAATAAATAAGTGTTGTATGTTAACGGTCTTGTATTTTGACAAATAGTATAAGTTTACCATTTTAAGGCTGAATTTTCTTTGTAGGGTGCACAGCCCATGGGATGCTTTCTCACAGATTCTAGCCAGAGGTGGGGTGAGAGGACTATGGAAAGGTTCAATACCTAACGTACAGAGGGCAGCACTGGTAAACCTCGGAGATTTAACCACGTATGACACAGCTAAGAGGTTCATTCTTACACATACGTCACTCACTGACAATCACTTCACACATATCTTGTCCAGGTAGGAATTAGAACTGAAGGATATGCTTTACTGGTGTGGGCATAGTTACCAAATCCATCCATTATTTTCTGCTCCTCTCAAAGCAGATTCAGAATACTGCCTTCGAAATATCCCATGACCTCATTCCAAACCCATCCTTTCCTAAAATCCGTTCACGATTATCTTTATATAACCTGTGCAGTTGAAACTGTGTTGTTATATAACTTAATAACTGTAGTATGGTGATTTAATTTTGTGGTATGATATTGGACAGTTTTTGACACGCACCTGTGATTTTCTGTTTCTTGAAAAACCCAAGATTGTGAGTTCACTGCATTTTCTCTATTTTTATACTTGAATGCCTCAAAGTGTAGTAAGGGGTAAATTTTGTCTTTACACTGATGCTGAATGTACTCCTGTTCTTTGAACATTTGATTTTTCATGCCTCTTCAAGAAATGTTAAACAAAGAGATAAAGTGCTTAATTAATTAAGCACCACACCATGAAGACATATGGGGAAATGGAAGTATAGCTTTGCTCCTACTGGGAATTGAACCCTGGCTGTCCAGCCCATAGAACATTGCTATACCTACTAAGCTATTTTGCAAACCTTATTTCTAGGCAAAATTCAGACCATAACAATAGAAATACTAAAACTAAAAATGCTGACAAAATAATCTTGCCTGTTTGGCATATCAGTGCTTGAGAAATGTGGGTATGCAAGGGTTAAAGCCCTTTGTACTTCAGTGCAACCTGTTCTTACAAGTTAGTGTGGTGACCAGATCATGACAGAGCAATCATTACATCTGTAATGGGGCAACAGCCATGAAGTAATTACATAAGAACATATTTATGGCATTATGGTATGTGTATGGAGGAAATATCACTTCCAAAATTTGGATGGATTTAAGTTTAGTTTTGAAGTTTAATTTGAGTTGCTTAATGAGTGAACAGTCTCAGATGACCAGTATAATTTGTTGCCTGTAAACCTCTTTACCAGTATTGACATATAGCAATGATGCTCAAGCCATCTGGCCAAGTCTCACATTTCTTTCAATACTAATATCATTGCTGATAGTTAAATTATGGGCATTGGCCCCATTGAACCCACAAGAGGAGAGTTCCCCATTCCTGCTTGATAAAATGTAACCCAGATTTAAGATATGGCCTCAAGACTTATAGTAGCTTGCTTACTTACTTATTTACATACTTACGGAGCTGAGCCCTTCTTGAGGAGAAGCCAAATCTGCAGCAAGTTAAGAATTTTCCAGCATTTTATGGAACCTGAAGGTTCATTACCATGTTCACAAGAGCCTTCCACTGGTCCCTATCCTGAGCTGGGTTTAGTAGCAGGAGGTTTAAAATCCTTGATACTAAAAGGTAATGAATCATTCTCCCAAGAAACTTGTCCTTATACTAAATTATCAGTGACAGAATGCCATGGGCTATAAACTACTAGGTGGTTCAAATATGACCGGGACTGATTTAAAAAAAAAACATAATTGCCAAACACTTACTTGCACATGTCAGTCTTCAACGTACTCCCTTTTGGAGTCAACACATTTTTTCCAACTTTCTGGAAGCATCCTGATGCCCCCCCAAAAAAACTTGTGGTTGGCGGCATATCCACTCCCGAACAGTCTGGATGACGGTGTCGTTATCCACAAACCACATGCCTTGCAAGTCTGATCTGAGCCTTCCGAACAGGTAGAAATCACTTGAGGCCAAATCGGGACTGTACGGTGGATGTGTCAGAAGGTTCCATTTCAATTTCCGAAGGGTTTCCATTGTTTTGGCTATATGGGGGTGTGCATTGTCTTGAAGGAAGGCTACCCGCTTTCCACCTGTCTTCCGCTTGGATCGGATCTTACTCCAAGTTCCTTGATAGTGATGCGCCTATTCTCACGAATAAGCGTGTCTGCACGATCAATGTTTGGCTTGGTGACGGATGTTCGCGGCCGACGATCATGCGGTTCATTCTCCACGTGGTCTCTGCCCTCTCTGAAGCACTTACACCACTCAAACACATGGGTCTGTGAGAGACACTCTTCCCTATACTGTTGTTGGAGTCTGTGGTGAATTTAAGTGTACTGGACGTTTTTTCCAATGAGGAATTTGATCACAATGTGTTGTTCCATGCTCCGCAGTACCTTCTGTTCTCTCATCACTCTAGCAACTTCCAGACAGGACTGAACAGGTTCTAACCCTAACAGGAGGGAGGTTGGAGGTTGTGGCTTCACTCTCTCAAGGTCTCACAGCTGCTGCGCAGTGCGGCTTGTTTACAAAAAATCAGTCCCGATCATATTTGAACCACCTTGTAGAATCATAACTGATAAGTTTTGTTTACTGGAACAGCATATGTGCAGGACTCGTAGCTGCCACAATGGGCACACCAGCAGATGTAGTCAAGACGAGAATTATGAACCAGCCAACAGATAGTAAAGGAAAGTAAGTAACCGAGAACATGTACATGCAAAAATTAATAAAGTGATACTAGGACTCTGAACAAAGTGACTGTTGATTCACCTCACAAGTTTGCATGTCTGTTGTTATTACTGATCTTAGGAAATTAAGAAGTATGGCCTCTAATAGCACAACACTCATACCAAATTTTGTGAAAATCTGTTAACTAGATCAAAAGTTGAAGTGGAGGGCACACAGACAGCATATTGATTTCAAACGTCTACTTTATTTCATTAAGAGAGGAAAGCAAGCTGAGAATTAGAGATGTTATATTGCAAACTGTTTTTTTTTTGTTGGTAGTGGCCTGGTCTACAAATCTTCTGTTGACTGCCTCATGAAGACTGTTCAGAACGAAGGATTATTTGCGCTGTACAAGGGGTTCCTACCTGTGTGGATTCGAATGGCTCCATGGTCTCTCACATTCTGGTTATCCTTCGAACAAATTCGATTTATGCTTGGCGCAACTGGATTCTAAAGTGACCAAGAGGAACAATAATGAGATCTGTATTGTCTGCCTTCTATCATTGTTGGGCTCTGGTTTGAAACAATGCAGGATTTGAAACAAATAGCATAAATTAATTTGTTTACGTGAAGACAATGATTTTTCTCAATGTAAGTTACGGATATTAGTGCTGTTGGTTTCTTGTAGGATGTCTTTGCAATGTTGACTGAAGAAACAAAAGGGAAAATGTTTAAAACTTTGTATATGTATGCAGTCACAAAGTGCTTCATTGGTTTTCATTAATGTTACCACGAATGGCACATTGAAGTTGCTGTTAGTAACCATAGTCGCAAACGTAATTATGACTGCAATATGTACGAGGTGCATCTGAAAGTTCCCGGACTAGGTCAAAAAAGAAATGCTGGCATAACTTACTCAATTTTGGCTGCCATCTCCTTCAAAACAGTCTCCTTGGGAACGTATACAGCGGTCCCATCGTTTTTTCCATGCTACAAAAGCACCATGGAAGTTATTTTCCTTATTGCTGTTGAGTGCTGCTTGCGATTCCCTTTGGATACTGTTTCAAAATGTCATTCCTTTAGTTTCAGTTTCAATTTTGAAAACAAAGCAAAATCATAGGGGGCTAAGTCCGGTTAGTGGGGAGGATGGGGAACAATAATCATATTGTTTTTAGTCACAAACTCTGTGGTTTTCAGGGATGTGTGGGTGGGTGCATTGTCATGATAAAGGAGCAGTGCAGTGCATGTTCAGATTTCCTGTCAAACTCCATAACTGATCCCAACGGTGTGTGATCTCATGGATTGTTCCATAACAATCATTGTGGATGAGTTCTCAGATTTTTTCAACATTTTCTTTTGTTCTGCCGGTGCTTGGTGTCCTTTAATGTTCATCTTCAGCTGACACTTGACCAGCCTTGAAACGTGAATGTCATTCAGAAACATCTCTCCTGTTTAAAGAATGTTCTCCAAAAGCCTCACGAAGCATTTCAGGGGTTTTGGTAGTGGATTTACTGAACTTGACGCAAAACTTGATGTAGACACGTTGCTCGATTTTGCCATCATTGCAGACAAAACGAGATCATCATCATCATCATCAGTAATCTGTCAAGACGACAGGTCCACAGTCTCTTTCAAAACAATTCCTCCACTTAATGCGATCTAGAGCTTTCTCCTTCAAATGACAGTATCCTCTTCTGTCCCCAAGGTCATCCAGCATCTTCTTACGTCTTCTTCCTCGTCTTCTTGTCACTTCTATCCGCCCATCTATCTTTCCTTCGATAGCTTCTTTTAGAAGGCAGTTTCTGCGTAAAACATGACCAATCCAATTAGCCTTCCGTTTTCTTATTTCATGTAGGATATTCCTCTGCTCACTGACTCTAATTAACACTTCTTCATTTCTCACATAATCGGTCCAACTGATCTTCTCCATTCTTCTCCAACACCACATTTCGAAACTTTCCAGATGTTTCTGATCTACTGCCCTAAGTGTCCATGTTTCAGCCCCATACAGAGCTATGCTCCAAATGTAGCATTTCACTAGTTTCTTCCTCAAATTTAAGTCCAATTTGCTGGTAAAAAGATTCTTCTTCTTGCTAAATGCAGCTTTTGCCATGGCAATCCTGGATTTAATTTCACAAGTACACCTTCCATCATCTGTTAACAAGCTACCCAAATATTTAAAACATTTCACATTCTCCACTTGTTTTTGGTCTATCTTTATTGTGACTGGGGTTGGTTGTCTCGAAATTTTCATTACTTTTGTTTTCTCCACATTCATTTCCATGCCATAGCACCTTCCAATTTCAATTAGTCTATCAATCATGCCCTGTAGCACAGTTTCTTCCTTAGCCATTAACACAAGGTCATCTGCATATTTCACAGTTTGAATAATTTGCCCTCCTACTTTGAAGTCACCGAGCCCATCCAGAGCTTCCTTGGTAAGGCATTCGCTGTACAAGTTGAACAGAATTGGTGATAAACAGCATCCTTGTCGAACTCCTCTTCCAATCTGCACACTTCCTGTCTCCCCCCTGTCCAGTCGTACTCTAACTTTCTGATCCATGTACAATTTGCTAATCAATCTTCTTTCATGCCAATCGATACCTGTTTCTTTCAGGATCTGCATTAATTTGGTCCAGTTTACCCGGTCAAATGCCTTCTGCCAGTCTATGAAGCAAACACACAGTTCTTCATCTATCTCCAAAGTTCGTTCCGCTATAATTCTCATCATCCCAATTGCATCCCTGGTTCCTTTTCCTCTTCTAAATCCAAACTGATCTTCTCCAAGTACATCCTCTATTTTCCTTTCAATTCTTCTTTTAAGTATCTTTGCTATTATCTTTGCTGTATGTGCAATAAGACTTATTGTGCGATGGTCGCTGCATTTTGTAGCTTTTGTCTTTTTCTTTAAGGCAATCATTGTAACTTCTGTAAAGTCCTTGGGCCACTCTCCACTTTCATATATGGTGTTCATTAGTTTTGTCAGTGTTTTCAAACCACCTTCTCCCAGTAACTTGAGCACATCTCCAGGTACATCATCATCTCCTGTAGCCTTTCCCTTCCTCATTTCCTTGATAGCTTTTTCCACCTCACTTTGTAAAATATATGGTCCTTTCTCGTCTGTATCTACTTCTTCTTCCGGTTCAACTTCTAAGGTTTCTGGCCGATTAGGTCGATCATATAGTTCTGAAATATAATTTTCCCAAATTTTCAGCACTTGCCTCTGATCTACTATTCTATTCCCCTGGGAGTCTTCGATGCCAACATTTTGAATCCCATGATTCTCTTTCCATCCTAGTTCTTTTGTCTTCATGTACATCAAATCATAACGGCCTGTTCTTTGAAATTCCATAATCTCATTACATATCTTCTCAAGATATTCCTTTTTGGCCCTGTCCGTGGCTCTTTTCAATTCATTCCTCAGTCTCCTGTATTTCCTCCTGCCTTCTTCATTGTTGACATTCTTCCATTTCCTTCGCTCCTCCATTTTACTCATCATCTCCTGTGTAACCCATGGTTTTCTTGCTATCTTCTCAACTTTACCTACCAAATCACTGATAGTATCTAACATGCATTCTTTTATATCGTTCCACTGCGCTTCAGCATTTCCGCTTTCACCTTCAATTGCACCGAGTTTCTCTTCTAGAGTCTCTTGCACGCTTTGTCTTTGAGCATATAACTTCTCCAAATCCCATCTGGGTCTGCGCTTTCGAAATCCTATAATTTTCTTCAACCTGGTTCGGAACTTGGCAACCAGCAAGTTGTGGTCAGAGTCAATGTCTGCCCCAGGAAGCGTCTTCACATCCTTCACACTGTTTCTGAATCGATGTTTCACAAGGATGTAGTCCAGCTGATGCCTCTTCCAATCCCCAGGTGCCTTCCATGTGTAAATTCTTCTCTTTGGCTTCTTGAACCAAGTGTTGGTAACAATCAATCCATTTCGTTCACAAAAGTCAATAAGCATTTGACCTCTGTGATTCCGTCTTCCTAGTCCATGTGATCCAACAATATTCTGATATGGTTCATCTCCAACAATGCTGTTCCAGTCTCCCAATATGATGCTGTTTGTGTCTCCTCTTCCATCTTCCTGAAGAATTTCTTCAATTGTGTCATACACTTTTTCCACTTCATCGTCTTCATACTCTGATGTTGGCATGTACACTTGTATAATCAGTATATCTACCGGTTCTGCCTTTAACTTCAGAGCAATAATTCTGTCATTACAAGCAATCTTCTTAACAACACTCCTCACTACACTTTTATGCACCACTATTGCCACACCTCTTTCAGCCCGTTCACCTCCGGAATAATACACTGTATAATCACCGCTTCTTATTTCACCTTGTCCTTTCCACCGCACTTCGCTGACACCTAGAACAGACACTTCATTCTTCTGCATTTCCGTTTTCAAATTCTCCAATTTTCCTGCTTGATTCAAGGTCCTGACATTCCATGTTCCAATCTTGTATCCATGCTGTTTCTTCTGATCTTCGCACTTTTTCTTGTTGTAACGCCTGCATGACATTTCCTCTAGAAACACTCCCCCCCGGAGATCCGATTGGGGGAGTAGTTTACCTCCGGATTGTTTTGCCTCCAGAGGAAACATCTCGCATATATGGTATCTCTGTTTTTGGAAAGAGACTATCCAGGAAAAGTGATAATGTGGTAGTTTTTCCATTTGCTTTCCACATCGCAGTACAGCAGCCGTTCAAACCACTCTGGTCACGCCTGCTCCTATACGAACTTGAACCATCTCGAGCATCATTTGCTCTGTGCTTCAAGTCGCTACTGATGACGCTGCTTCCGGCATCAGTTCTTGATGTCTCTCTTCGTCTGATGCCTACCCTTTGACCTGTCCAGCAAGGGAGGCCCTGTCAGTAGCTACGCTACCGCTGGTATAGCTCTCAGGGTCCTTGGCATACTCAAACCCCCTCACCACGATAAGGTGGAGACACCAACGAGGGGGAAAACGAGATACAAAGTCAAAATAGCACTCAAGTAAAAACAATATGTGTTCACAGAGTGGTGTCACGTGGCAGACAGATGCAATAGACTTGCAGAAGTGTGACCTTTGCCTCCCTTCTCGTCTCCTTTCAGTGAGGCAGTTACAGCAATATCAGTCTGGGAACTTTCTGATACCACCTCGTATGATCATTTTGCAACCCATTTCATGTGGCTCTCATGACTGAATATGGTACCTAATTTTAATTAATTGTGTAGCCCTGTAGATATTATAGCCCTGTATTCTGATTGTTGTGTTCTCTCTGTAGCTAGAAAGTTAAGTGGTACAGCTGAAAGTGTTGTGCTGTTTCTGTATTGTAGAATGGAAATGATGTATGAAATTCACAATTACAGGAAATAACATGCACGTCAAAACTGACTAATAAGGTTCCTTTGATATCTTATATGTGAAAGGATTGTGCATTTTGCTCATTACACAACTTTGTTCATTGAATGGCATTTGTGTTTGTCAGGTCACATATTCAGATTCATGGTCATCTCGGCTGTGATGCTGTGTATTCTTATAGGTTGATTCTAAGGTTTCAGAGGAACGTTGCTGTCTCTGTCTTCAGGACAAAATTGAGTAGGGTAAAGAAAAATCTTTTTAGAGAGGTTTTTATGCCATTTTATATAATATTGAATTGAGCATGAAGTGCAGTAGTGTTTTTCAGTTTATGGGATCAGTGATTTTGTCCTTCGTGTTGCAGTCTGTATTGTAGTACTTTCCACATTCTAAAACGCAGAGCTTACGGCAGCAGTTTTCATTTGGGGGATGGTAGCTCTTCAGCCGGCACATCTTGGTATGGCATCACTGTGTCGTATGTCCTGTCTCCATTCAACATAGTTGCCATGGCTCAAGCCATATCTGTGTCTCTTTCTTCCATCTTTAATTTGTTCACTGCATTGGTGTGTGGTAGCAATTGGTTGTATCATTTGTGGTTTTATGTTTACTTATATTTTATTTTTTATTATTTTTTGCTTCTTGCTCTCTATTTTTGGGGGTAGGGTTATGTAGAAAGGTTGAAGGTATGTTCCTCCAAAATGGTGGAATGGTGGTACTCACCAGCAAGACTACATGGCATCACAGCGAGAAGACAGCGATCTGAACAGTCACTGCCATGAGAAGTTCAAAACTTAGATTCTGTATCAGTGCTGCTGCTGGTATTATTCTCTTTTCTCCTTTCCTTTTACAATGGTAATAATAATAATAATAATAATAATAATAATAATAATAATAATAGCAGCATCGACAACAACAACAACAACAACAATAATAATAATAATAATAATAATAATAATAATAACAACAACAACAATACAGTGTGCCATATTTCCTACCTACTAGGAATAATTTTCTAGTAATCTTTATAATGTACCCAGCAATACTAAAACATTGTACTACAACAGAATGATAAGGTTCCAGTTGTTACAACTTTTGAAGAGGAACAGTAATACCATAAACAGATGCATGGAAAGTTAAAAGATTATATTACTGAAAAAGTTAAATAGTTCTGTTCAGTATGACTGGTTAAGATCAAGGGACACCTTTACATCAATACAGTTAGAAGCCACTATTACAGTACATGTTCTAAAAGTTAAAATATATACATACAATATAAATAATATACAATTGGCTGTAAAATCTAAAGTCTTTACAATTACAGCAGCTGTTCCAATACTTTAAAATATTTAAAGTTAGTTTGTTAAGATTCTATTTAAATTTGTAAACCAATGGTTCGTGTTGTCCCTCTTATTATTTCTTTTGACGGGGCCGAATGTGTGTAATGTGTGTCAGTAATATGTTGTGACCCATCGTAATATCTGTAGTGTCTGAACCAGAACTGTTCAGTTGCCATATCTGTTATACGGCATCCTTTGAATTTAGTCATACTGGTCAAATGGGGCATGACATCAGAATAACCAATGGACCAATGAGGCCCTACTCCAACCTAGAAAACTATTTCAGAGCATACAAAATTCATTTAACTCTGGGATTACTAGTCTGAGAAGTGTAGTTGTAAACCACATCTCTTTTGGAAAGCCATAGAGTGCAGCAGCAATGCTAACATATTTAGGGTAAAAGTAAAGTAAAAAGAAGTAAAGCTATCCCTATAACAGGCCGTGAAGGCCCCTAGGGTTGTGAGATGTTGAAGCTCCCACATTATCTAGACAGTCGGCTCACGGATGGTGGTAAGGTTGTCAGCTTTACGCGCTTGCTGCGCTTTACTCCCCAGGAAAATTATTCAATTAATTCCTGGTACTACTGCGTGCCCTCAACATAACTCTAGAAAAAAATCACATGTATGGGAAATTGTTCTCCAATTTGGCTGCACCGTATTTGAAAGTTGTGCCATGTGGGAAAGGTAAAAACATTCCATTTTGGGGAATATGCTATGCCCCTTGGGGTTCCAGAAATGTTGGGATATTTGTACTTTATGAAAAAATACAATAACAAAGAATAACAGTTTTTCACTTTTTAATAACATTTATGAACTAAGCTTTTTTTACTGAAGTGCTGATCAATAAAATGACAGATAGTTGTAACAAGCACAATATTTTTGTTGTCTTGTATATTTTTTTGTATGAGAGATGTATGGGTTTAGATACCACATATTATGACTTGATATAATTATGTTAGATGAGAATAAACTTTTAAATCACTGATAAAACATCATATTCTCACATTATGGTTGACAAAATATTAGAACTCTAAAAGAAAAACATGGAAGTGGAAAATACCTGCTGTTTTTTCCTCTGTTTCAAAATTTGAAAATTGTGATATGCTGACAAAATATTTGTGTCAAGATTTGTACCAGCATATCAGAATTCATTTAAAAACTTATTTCTGTTTCATGTTCCATACTCCTGTTTAATAATGAGGTCAGAAGACACTGCAGTTGGATGTCTACCAACATTATATGTTCTCTAGTTTGTCCTCAAAGAGGCCACCCTGTAAACTGACCAGTCTTTTCAAAGTTGCCTTGCTAGTTGATGGGCCAACTAAAAGGTTAACTGAATCTGATACCTGATCTGATACCAGAACTTGCATTAATGTAGACAGTTGCTGAAATATAAGTACCAATTGTGTTCTGTCTAAATTTAAGTGCAGAAAAAATCTTAATGACAAAGAAGACCACACAAGATTTTGCACAACAAAATGCACAGTCTGAAAAGCAAGGGAATGGACTTGTATGAGATTACTGAGACCAGAAGAGATAAAAAAAATTGCTGATACATTATGCACATTTAATGCCTACATTGTTCTTTTCCATATTCTACTACCTTGGAAAGCCAGAAGGATACAACTACCTAGAAACAATGAGATCGGACTTGTAATTACTTCTTTTGGCCTTTCATTGTATCTAGAATTATTTTTTTTTTTGGTAGTACACAGGAGGTTAGATGTCCTGTCAGACCAGTTTTATCATCATGTAGGAGAATCAAGTAATGAGAACAGATAATTTACTAGGTTTTTGTAATCACCAATATCATCAGTTTTGTAGAATTATCAATGTATTTATTCTGGAAATATGCTTGTACAGGTCTCATTTTGGTCTCAGAAATAGTGTGGTACCTGGAAACATGGTTAGGCATGTTTTTCAAGGGTAAACGACAAATAATATTACATTAGGTCGTAACAAATGGAATAATCTGTTTTGATAGAATATATATTTGTTTCGGAATTATTTTTGGGATTTACTTTATGTGGTTTATATAGACAATAAATAATAAAAAGTTGCATATGTGTAGGTAGAATGCAGTGTTATATGCTTATGACTTTGGAAGATTTTGTTACAGTGGCCAAATATATTGCTAATCATGTGATTTCTATGTTGTAGGTGAAGAACAGATACACAAAAAATGGACCATACTTCAGGAGACATACAATGTTGTCACTTATTTTAAGTTTTTAAAGAAAACTCTGAATGTTTTTCTAATGTACACTTGTCAATATTGGAATGATACAGATGGTTATATAATTAAAATGACTATATTCCTTTAAAATGTTATTTGAGGAGAAGACTACCGTTACTCACACATTGTATGTGTTTGTATATGGAATTATGTTTGTTGTTAATTACAGTTACATATAATAATTATCTAGTCGTCCTGTTTGTGTAGTGTTGTTTATCGGGTATAATGGATGGAAGCAGACAAGGTGTTGCCTTGTTTTAACTTGTCATTTGAATCTTATTGTGGAAAAAACTAAAAAAAAAATCTGTTTGGATCAGTCTCTTCATGATTGAACTGAGAACTGTGACAGTAAACGGGAGAAGGAAGAAAGGTGAGATGGAATAGACAAAGTGTTGCAATTTTTGCTCACGTAAACTGTAATAACATGAAGCTTAACATGGTGGAAAGTAAATGCACCACATTGCAGAACCCTTCAGTTTGGTTCTCCTTGTAAATTTAAATTAAATTTCCAGGATTTAGATGCCAAACAACACATTCTATAAGTAATAGTAATAATAATTTGAAGTACATGCTATTCAGTTATTGTAATTACTCACCACATAGAATAAGATTAAATGATAAAAAAGCCATTACTGATACATTGCACAGAAAATATTTTGAGCCACGTTTTGTGTAAAATGTAATGGTGTTATGTTGATAATGTATTTATTTTATATATGGAGCTGTGATTACATCAAAATGAAAAGAACCAATTTAATTTTTTTTACATAAATGGCCTTCCAGCCCATCCAGTTATATTAGAATTCAGAAGATAGTCTGTCCAAATTTTAACTGTAAATATAGCAATTATTCACATTTTCCGTGGGGTGTAATGTGATTCTACATCTGTTTCAGTGTAGATGGCCCCTATCAATTTCTGGGTCAATGGATTTCCCCAATAGGATCAGAAAAACCTACACGATCCCATACGCAAACCCACTTTCATCCTATCCCACATCAGTTCACGTCGTTTATAAAGAAGTGCAGCTAAGTCACATATTTTATTTGGCTTATAGAGTTACTAATCCCACTATATTTATGCATGTTCAACAATATAAATTAATTTGTCGGCAATTGCAACAGTACGACTATTAGCATGACCTAACTGTTGTGCTGCTCTCTACCGTACTGCGGGTGAAGTATAGTTATCACAATGGCTTCCGTAAAAGATACAGCAACTTTCTTCGCTAAAGGAACATCAAATCAATTCGAATATGTTTTGAAGTTATATCCTGAAGCTCTTAAGTTGAAAGCAGATCGAAAAACAAAAAAGCCGGAAGAACTGATTAAATTGGATAATTGGTGAGTAGAAATAGAACAGGAAATTGATTAAGATTTAGGAAACAATGTCATTGAACCTTGCTTTGTATTACGCTGCACGTAGCAGACTACTCTCGATGAAGGAATGCTCCCTGGGACGGCTCGATCTTTAGCGCGGTCATTAAATGCCAACCGTGTCACGTGGGAATCAATGTCAACTAACGTGCCTCACTAATTTTTAGGAATAGCCTATAATTCCTTCCAATCTGCTGGGGTCTGCAGTCGGGGATGGGGTGTTGGTAGCGTCATGTCGACTATGGAGCTGACGTTTGCCTTGAAATTGATGATAGGTTTCGTAACGAATTAATCATATTTTCCTTACCAATACACAAATTTTGGAGGCCCGGAACACATTTTTATGATATTCCGAATGTATTTGAAGGTATACTAGTTAATTTCCTGGACTAAATACTGCGCTTAAAGCATAAACCACTTGATGCAACAGTATGAGATAAACCAAAATGGAGACTAGACAAAGCATTTATCTTACAGCAGCTTATTATGAAATCTAAATGTCACTGGTGCATTTTCATTATCATAACTTTAAGAGTATTTTCTTTGAGTTAAGGAAGACATTATTTTCTGTATTCCATGACTAGGGATGTGTTATGTATGGTCTTATAGCCAGAAGTTTTAGTCAAAACCACCAAGTTGTTCAACCATGACTGGTCAGCCTGGGAGTTGATCATGCTTTAATTTAGTGATGTTATGTTGTAGATTATGAGACGAAAATGAATTTTCAAAGCAAGTTTAACTGAAGGAATTGTTGCATAGTTCTGAATCTTTTTGTTTGCAGTGAGGCAGCATTCATTGCAACATGTGAACATCAATATTAAGACCAAAAATGTTATTTTCAGTTTGTTTATGCTGCTTTTAAAGTGAGTCTAATGTTTATCAACACAATTTTTACATCGTTTGAAGTTTTCATTCAAAAAACTTACAAGTGATGAAGAAGTAGCATTTGAACTGTTTGTTTAAATGTATTTAAAATCGTGTATTTCCCAAATGATAATTGTTTGGGGCTGTTTTGTTGATTGTAAGAGTGTTATTCAGTACTAAAAATTGCTGGAAGTATTACTTTGACTGTGAGTTATTGTTAAACAGTATACACTTAGAACATTCATTTGAAAGAAGACTATAACACTGTTGAATTACCGGGATTTCAGATATCAAAGTTAATGACAGATATGTCAGATATATTTTTTAGTTTATTAATGCTTTAAAATGACATCATGAAATATGTTTATTTCCTGTTTCATAAAATTATCTGACAGTAAATATATTTATTTCCTGTTTCCTTAAATTATCTGACAATATGCACAGTGAAGGATATTGTGATGCACAAAACCAAAATTGTCCCTGCTATTAAGGTGCGCACAAACTGGTTTATCTCATACAGAAAGTGTCAGTACTATATTATGGTTCATATCTTAGGCGGGTATCTCACTTTAGATTCCTAATATAATTTAGTATATGTGTGCATAATCAGAGTGCTTTGTATGCATACCTGTCAATTTTGAATTTAAAGCAAAGTTTATTAGTCATAATTAGGTGTTTTTGTTGATTTATGACAAGTGTCCAGCATTTTGAATTACTGTAGAACTTTGTCATCTTGAAGTCTTCCCATCACTCCTTCTGAATGGTTGTGAATGACACAGTGATGTTTTTGTAATATGCACATTTTTTGTGTTCAATTGATCTAAATCCTCGATCACTGGACTGTGTACTAGGCTGGTGGGGTTATGTAATACTCATTTTTGTTATCTTAATAATGCATGTGTCTGATGTATTCCTGTCATCGATGGAACAAGGCTAGATGATATCCCAGGTGATGATAACCCCCCCATGCTCACCTCCAGTGAAAACCAGATCAGCTTTCTTAAAACTACATTACAGTAACACAAATTTTGAAGGCGCTATAATGAATACTATCATTGGTGCCCTGACTGAGAACAGTTTTATGTAGATTGTTGTACAGCATATTGAGATTACTGCCAAATAATGGTCGCAATTTGACCAAAAGCCCCCTCGGTGTCTCCACCTTATCGTGGTGAGGGGGTTTGAGTATACCAAGGACCCTGAGAGCTATACCAGCAGTAGCATAGCTACTGGCAGGGCCTCCCTTGCTGGACAGGTCAAAGGGTAGGCATCAGACGAAGAGAGACACGAAAAACCAAAAACCAATGCTGGAAGCAGCGTCATCAGCGGTGACTTGAAGCACAGAGCAAATGATGCTCGAGATGGTTCAAGTTTGTATAGCAACAGGCGTGACCAGAATGGCTGTTGTACTGCGATAAGGAAAGCAAATGGAAAAACTACCACATTATCACTTTTCCTGGATAGTCTCTTTCCAAAAACAGAAGATCGCATCAAGTGGAGGAACTGTTTTGGAAGAGACTGTGGACCTGTCGTCTGACAGATTACTGATGAATGAATGAATGACCAAAAGGGCAGTAGAAATACATTTTTATTTAAGAAAAAGAAAAACAGAGGAAGATAGAAAAGAAAGCCTGTAAAGAAAGCAGTCTTCTGGGATTTGGCACCGTGTATATGAGGTTAACACCACATATACACGGCGCCAAATCCCAGAAGACTGCTTTCTTCATAGTCACCGCCGTGAAAGCCTCAAATCTTACACAACCTAAAACTGTCAAGCCGTGTCAATGTCGCTAGTTGTGTTTCATTTCATTCATNCTGATTTCTGTTTCCAAAGAAAACCTGTCTCAATAACCAAACGTTGGCCGCTTCCATGTGAAGTTACTTCATCACCTAGGGTAAATTGTGCCCTCACAGCAAGACCACTTCCACCAGTCATATATTAGATAGGATCATAAGTCACAGCGTGCAAAATATTAATTCCACATTAAGAAACAACTACATAGCATAATCCATTCACAAAATTAATGACAAGAATACCATTTTGTACAGTTTAAGATATTTGCCACACACTGGCAAGAACAGAAACACAGACATGTCTATTTCAAATAGCAGCACAAACATGAGTATTAATGAGGTTTGTTTTGATGGCTTGCTGGGTGTGTCTCAAAGGAAGAAATTGACAAGAATTTCATGCTAAACCCTGTTTCCACATTTGAAATTGAGAAGTGCAGACCAGTGAGAACCGGCTGAATAAGAGTTTGTGGGAGATTGCCCGCAAATAATAAAGATTTATTAAAACTATTGAAAATAAATTTTATTTCACTGTAAGGACCGATGCATATTTATGGTTCTGCATTTGGTGCAATGACTTTGACACAAGTTGATTGTACAGGATTTGTTTAGGCCTCACCAATGAATGCATGATAGTGCTGTAATTGCGTTAAATTTTATATGCATGTGTATACTTAACCAGTAATTCTTTTTAATGTTAATTTTATGGAATTGGAGTTTATGTGGCTCTGTATAATTATATAATCCGCCTAATGATGGTCACTTGATGACGAGAACATGCAACTACATCTGTATGGAACTAAAGCTGTAGCATTTAACTAACTGTAGTATTGCCTAACGTCCAGTTGGAGTGCCAGTGAGTTATGCTGTTGCTCAAAGCTTTAAAGCACAGTGGTCCCTATATGTACTACCTGTTTTGCTATAATTTTTCCCATACAGTGTGTATAGTTATATGTTCCATATGATTCTCAGAATAAACAGCGATTATTTCCTTAAACAAGACCAACTGGCCAGTCTTTATGATTGAGACATAATGTGTTTGATACAGGGCAGGAACAAAATTTTAAAATAATGTGTAGGTGAGCTTTTGGCTTCAAAGGATTAAACGCTTATGACAGATTATAAGGGTTTCTTGAAATTTTTATGAAAGAAATAATGTGTAATTATGAGGTGGGCAGGGCATGTAGCAAGGATGTGGGAGAAGGGGAATGTATATAGGATATTGGTGGGAAAGCCAGAAAGAAAGAGACCACTGGGAAGACCAAGGCGTAGGTGGGTGAACAATATTAAAATCAGTCTGCTTTTACCGGTTCTCACAGTCTCTTCTCTTGCGGATTTCTTATATTTTTCCTTCTACCCTGAAGATGGAGGCGATACATTCCTCCGAAATGTCATTTAACACCACATATACACGGTGCCAAATCCCAGAAGACTGCTTTCTTCTTAATATTAAAATGGGTCTTAGAGATATAGGATGGGATGGTATGGATTGAATTAATCTGGCTCAGGGTAGGGACCAGTGGAGGGCTCTTGTGAACACAGTAATGAACCTTTGGGTTCCATAAAATGCTGGGAAATTCTTGAGTAGCTGCAGATTTGGCTTCTCTTCAAGAAGAGCTCAGCTCCATAAGTACGAGTAAGTACTCGTAAGTAAGTAAATTAGTGTGTAATTTCCTTTAATCATGTACATTTTCTTTGGATCAAGAATGTTTTCAGTTAACCTGTTTCATTATATAAGACCTGCCATGTTTGAAGTGGCTTGCTCATGCGTAGAAGTGACAAGATCGGAGGGAAGAGGAAGTAGATGTGGATATACAAGTTCGGTTGTGTTCTTCTGGCAAATGTAGAAACTCTGAAGATGGAGGCAGTACTTCTTCTGAAACATTTTTATCTATGTACAGACTGCATATGTGCCACCCTGAAAATGGAAACAGCATATATATTACTCAGAATGATACCTTCCCACCTTCCAGACTACACAGCGTCATAACACAGATGACCACATTCTAGATCCTTGCCACAGAGATGCTCTCACTTTTAATAATGGTCTTTCAAGGCGCAACATTTAAATCACAATTAAAACAGGAATCGTATTCTGCAGTACAGAAATGAACTTAGAAGCTGTTCCCTCCCTATAATGGACTCTCAACTTTCCTCATGATACTTGATTGAGTATTGCCCTGATTGCTAGGCTGCTGCTGTCACCAGTTGTGTGGAAGTCCTGTGGGTGCAAGGAAGAACTTATGTTCAGTCCTGAAAATTACTTTGCATCAAGATTGCCTGCTGCTAAGAGACCACTGCATGTCAGCGAAGTTAGTACCAACTTTAGCAGATAGAGGGTGTTGTGTGGTCAGCACAACGTTAATCTCGGTTTTCTAGACCGGAATTATATAGTGCAGAAAGCTAACTAAGAGCGAATGAAGGTATGCACTTGCACATATTGTGTTGTTGCCTGTTGCAGGTATCAGAATGAACTTCCAAAGAAAATAAAGTCTCGAGGGAAAGATGCCCACCTGATTCATGAAGAACTAGTACAAACTATGAAATGGAAGCAAACTGTAAGTGAACATGCAAGTATTTTTGCTTTTTGGTACTGTTGTGTAACACTTCTGTGTCTTTAACTGACCAGCTTCCAAGTTTGGGATAGTTCCATGTAATTGTGCAACATGTTTTTATGTTTTTAAATTTTTTTTGCCTCTGCTTTGACGTTTATGAGAGGAGTAGCACACGTTAGCCTTTTCCTACCCTTTTTATTTGCAACTGCATTCCTGCCATGAATGTGTAATTCCTTTGTGTGACATTGAAAAGCAAGGCACTAGGTGACAGTGTTTTTCTTTACCCAAATTGATGTTTTTAAAATGATGGTGTCACATATAAGCAGTTCTTAAAGAAAAAGAAATGTTGCTGGATTGTCTAGGTCTGGTAATGGTATGTAGTTTTTGTTTTGACCAAGAGATAAAGCTTTGATTAATTGACACATTGATGGAAACTTTACCTGAACCAGTGGAGTCATAATGGAAATGCATCATACCTAATTTTTTGATGTTGTTGGGGCTTCTCATGAATGCCCAAAATTAAAGTAATGTGTTTTAAGTAAGAGGGGCAAGGTGAAACTTGTTTACTCTGAGTTCTTATTGTTGAGCATACTTATGTAAATGTGCAAAATATTGTCTGCATTTGAAGATCATGTAATTATAGAGGTGTGGCTTATACACCACTTCAGGAACGGACTCCTCATGTATAGAGAAGAAAAAAGTATATGACAACATGGGTCCAGAAATGCATATAATTACAGAGTAGTAATTGTGTCTGCACGCCGCTGAAAAGAATTGGCGACATGAGTGCTTTCTATCGGTGGGTCGGCCTTTCATGGGGATGACAGCCTTTCTACCAGTGGGTCGGTCTTTCACGGGGAGGACAGCCGTTCTATCAGTGGGTCAGTCTTTCACGGGGAGGACAGCCGTTCTATCGGTGGGTCGGTCTTTCACTGGGAGGACAGCTCTATCATTATCATGACGTCACCTGTGATTACTTCATGATAAATTTTCCTCTACCTGTTCTTTTCAGTGGTGTGCTGACACAATTACTACTCTGTAATTATATGCATTTCCGGACCCATGTCATCATAAACTTTTTTCTTCTCTCTATATGAGGAGTTCGTTGCTGAAGTTTTGCCGTTCAGTTGTGATACACCCTGTATTTGAGAGCAGCTGCTATTTTGGGTAGCTATGGTAAATCCGCCACCTTTTGTTCCTATATATGAAGTTGTAAGAAAGAGAAATAAGCAAGGGGAGGTTACAGACAGACTGAATTCTTGGCTGTTATGGAGAGTAAAGTCTGTGTTTAATTTAACACCATGCCATGAAGCTGTGTGTGTGTGGTTGAGGTGTAGGTCCACAAATCTTAACCATGACACCAAATGGAAGTGAAAGGTCACTTTCATGCCCTACTCACTTTATCCCTGGCCAGAGAGCCCCCAGTACTGATTTGTTAGGCCGAGCGGGTCCAGAACTGGTGTGGCTGCTGTGAGGAGGAGATAAATCTCTCTTTATGCTGGGAATGAACTCTGTGTTTCTATAACATAAGACACTGTATTAACTGAGCTATCTGATGAACTGAAGCTGCAAATGCTGAAGAAACATTCTGTAACTGATAGTGGGTGCAGTTGCCTTCTCAACAGTCTACCAATTTTATGTGTCTCGACCTGTCCATCATGTTCCCTTGCAGTTATGGAAGTGAATGTGAGATTGAGGTTTTCATGGTGTTGAGTATAAAAATTATCGTCCTTTTGGATGTGATGCAGTATAATCTGGAGATTGGTACCAGTGTTTTGGAGGAGCTTGTGGCCTCCATCTTCAGTGCAGAAGGTGGCAGAAGCAATTTCCACAGAAATGTTGGTACATATCTATCAAACTACATGGCATCACATTCCAGAAGTCCATAACCTTAATTAGCTGTTGAGTGATCATTTAAACAGTTTATAGTAATTTATAACTTGATCAACATTTCCAGCGGGGAAAATTCTATCCGCAATTGTCATACCTGGTGAAGGTAAACACACCCCGTGCTGTGATGATGGAAACCAAGAAAGCATTTCGTAAATTGCCAAATCTGGAACAAGCCATTACTGCCCTCAGTAACCTGAAGGGAGTCGGAACAACAATGGCGTCAGGTAAGAACTTGGGGATATAGATAATAACTCCAATATTTGACATATTTATTTTGTAACCAGGACAGAGGTGAGGCCCAGTGTAATGACTGAGGATGTGATACATGCCGTCTGGTTGAAGCTGTTACATGCCTCAGGGGGCAGTGGTGGAATGTTAATCAGCAGGGAAAACAGAAGAAACTTGGAGACGTCATCCATTACGAAACTCACAGAGTGTCACATGGAACTGAACTTGAGGCCCCATTTAGAAGACAGAGTTTAACGGTCTTGGCTGTGGCACAGCCTAAAATTTTCTTGTTCCCTTGCTCTGTGTTGATGTAAGACTACTCACAGGCTGCTTTACCCCTTGAGGCAGGTCAGTGAGTCACTTAATGTGTTTTAAGGTGTGTCAGCATCTGAGATCATTTGTGGATGACAGGTATAGGAAGATCAAGTTGTTTTGATCACACTTGATGCCGCCTATTGACAGGATTCTGTTCTACTTAACAAAGAAGCACTCTGTTTGTCTGAAGCAGATTTTAAACAGAAGTAACCTGGACCATTTTAGTTGATGTGTGACTTGCAAAGTGTTGTATTTCAATTTCCTACTTTGATGTTTAATGTCTTATAATATTTTGCATGTGGCAGCCCTGCTGGCAGCAGCTGCTCCAGATCAAGCCCCGTTCATGGCAGATGAGTGCCTTATGGCTATTCCTGAGATTGAAGGCATTGACTACACCACAAAGGAGTACCTCAAATTTGTTCAGCATATTCAGACCACAGTAGAGAGGCTTAACAAAGAGAGTGAGTACTGTACTGTGTCCTTATTCGTTATACACGTTTTCAGATCAGGTCACCACTGTGACTTTTCAGGTATGGGTTATTGATGCTTGGGTTAAGGGATTTCGCCTATATAGAAATTATGAAACATATCCTTGTAAAGTAAAGTGAAGTAAAGTAAAGGTAAAGGTATCCTTGTAACAGGCCGTGGAGGCCCATAGGGTTGCGAGATGTTGAGGTTCCCACATTTTCTAGACACTCAGCTCACAGATGGCAGTAAGATTGTCAGCCTTATGTGCTGGCCAACCTTTACTCCCAAAAATATTCTTGGTACTCATTTCTGTTAGAGGCTGAGCCAACCCCGGTGCCATAGTGCAGTTGGAAGGAATAGGTCAGTTGAATGAATTCACCTAATTGGGATTCGATCGTGCAACGTTCCGGCTTGTAGCATAGTGCTTCAACCAACTACTGCGCTACTGCATGCTCCAACATGTCCTTGTACTTCACAATATATAGACTATATATAAATTTTTCCTTAAAGAAAATTTGGGATAAATACATTGGAAGACTATTATAATGAGAATTCATAATAGCATGAAAAATCGACAGTATAATGAATACATTAAAAATGTAGTAAGTTATTTTCTTGGCCGCACCATAGCTCAAGCTGTTAGTCACTGGCTTCCCACTGCGGCAGCCCAGGTTTGATCCCGGGTCTGGTCAAGCGGTATTTGTGGTGGACAAAGTGGTGCTGGGGCAGGTTTTCTCTGAGTACTTCGGTTTCTCCTGCCAATCTTTATTCCACCAAATTCTCCATCATCATAATCACCCGGGGCACGTACAATAGGCCAGTCAGTGGCTGCCGTGTCGAGTGGACCCAGCAGGACTCCACCTCCCACTAAGTGAAGTTATTTCTTTATTTTTCAAATTATTAAATTCTTATTTGGTCCACTCTTTTTGGTGCTTTCTGTTACCAGATCTCACCAGCAGGATTAATTTTATTAACTGAACCCCCACCCAAATTCTCATGCTCATTTTGGTGGGATTTCATTGTGTTCAAGTAGAAATTGTCTCCATCTTTTGGACTAAGTACACCCCTTGAAATGTTTTCACATTAAGAAAGAGAGAGATCTCCCGTGCTGAAATGATATTATAAAGTGTCTGATGGTGATTGGTTAGAGTAGGATGAGCAGAGCGTTCCCAGCTGAAACTCTTTTTCTCTGAGTGAATCTGCCACGATTACCACACCAGTTTGAATCGTTTAACCACAGTCTTAAGTTTTCTTTTCTGTTTTGTTGTATGCCTGTGAAATAATATAAAATCAGCGCCTTGTGGATTAACTGCTTAAATTCCATAACCCCTTGGTTATTGATTGCAGCTTCATGTAATGGTTTAAATGTTCCCAGTGCCTGTTTCTGAGTGAAACATGTCACTGATACTCTACAGTGATTTGTAGTATGCTTTCCTGGTTCTCTTCACTTACATTCAGTAAGGATTGCTTTCTGTAGGTCTAAATGTTTAGTGGCCAGTAGACCATAATGTGTGGTTCATTACATGTTGTATTTATCCTCACAAAGAGTTTTAATCAAGTGCACTGTTTCTCCCTTCTATTACTGCAGATAATCAGACATTTACTTACTGTATCAGTAATTAGTAGTACTGCCTTTTCCAAAGAATTTTACAGGTTTGACTCTTTTTATCTCTATACATCAATTTCTTCATTTTGTTTCAGCTAATAACGGGACGTGGAGCCCACATCGGGTTGAACTGGCATTATGGACCCATTATGTTGCCTCAGAAATGAAGCCGGAATTATTGAATAGTATCCCAAACCCAACAGAAAATGGGACTTCCCACCATGATCAAAAGAATGGAGATTCCACCCCAAAACCACAAGTACTGGAGCATTCATAATTTAAAATGAATTAATTTATTTCATTCATACTAACAGAGGTTAGCCTAGTCTATAGCGAACTGTTGTATCTATGTTTTTGGCTTTATTTATTGTCCCTCTCATAATTATTACTGTCTGAAATATGTCTCAATAAAATTTTGTAATTTAAATATTTGTATGACATTTTTGGAAGCCCATGATGCAGTTAGGAGGGAAGTATTTTACAGTATTCTCATAGAGTTTAGGGTATCCATTAAACTAGTTAGGCTGTTTAAATTGCATTTAAAGCAAACGTGTGGTGAAGTCCATATAGGTAAACATTTGTGTGATACTTTTACTATCCACAATGTTCTAAAACGATGAGATGCTTTATGACCAGTGTTTTCAAATTTGCTTTAAAATACGCCATTGGAAAGGTGAAGGAAAACCAGGTGGAACTGAAATTAAATGGGACATATCAGTTGCTGGTCTAAGCTAATGTTGTGAATCTGCTGGGAGATAACATTGATACCACAAAGACACACAAACTTTAATTGGCGCTAATAAGGAGGTTGGTCTAGAAGTAAACACAGAGAAAACTAAGTATATGTTGGTGTCTCATCACCAAAATGCAGGAAAAAATCATGAAATAAAGATAAGTAACTGATGTTTTGAAAATGTGGCACAGTTTAAATATTTGGGAATGACAGTAACAATTCAAAATTTGATTCAGGAGGAAATTAAGAGACGATTTAATTTGGGAAATACCTGCTACCATTCAGTCCAGAACCTCTGAGAACAGGGTGTTAGGAGAATATTTGGACCGAAGAGAGATGAAGTGATGGGAGGTTGGAGAAAACTTCAAAATGAGGAGCTTCATAACTTATACTCTTCTCCGAGTATAATTAGAATGGCCAAGTCAAGGAGGATGAGATGGACAGGGCATGTAAAATGAAGGGGCGAAGAGGAATGCCTGTAGGATATTGTGGGAAAAGTCAGAAGGAAAGAGACCACCAGGAAGACCAACATGTAGGTGGGTAGATAATATAAAAATGGATGTTAGATGGGATGAGGTAGTATGGACTGGAGTGATCTAGCTCTGGAAGGGGACCAGTGGAGGGTTCTTGTGAACACGGTAATGAAACTTCGGGTTTCACAAAATGTGCACAAGTGGCTGCTTCTCAAGGTCTGAGCTTCATGAAGTTACAAAATGCATGATAAATAATAAGTGTTCCAGGTGACAGCAGCAATTTTTCAGAAGATTGGTTCCATTTATTTTTATTGTTTGTTGAGTCATAACATTTTGGTGGCAGAGGGGAAGACAAAGGATTTTGAACTGAATGGTAGCAAACATTCCCCGAATTGAATCTGTTCTCAATTTCTTTTTGAATTGTATTCTAATTTGCTGTTTTCATTGCTAAATATTTGACTGTTTTGTACTACATTTATGTGACAAGACATGAACATGTAGTTAGTTTTTGCTGTGTTCACACCTAGGCCAGCATCCTTACTAGCTTACTTACTCATGGAGCTGAGCCCTTCTTGAGGAGCTGCCAATTCTTCAGCTAGTCAAGAATTTCCAAGCATTTTATGGAACCTGAAGGTTCATTACCATGTTCACAAGAGCCCTCCACTGGTCCCTATCCTGAGTCAGATCAATCCAATCCATATCATCCCATCCTATGTCTCTAAGATCCATTTTAATATTGTCCACCTATTGGTGGACAATATTGGTCTTCCCAGTGGTTTATCTAGCATCTAATGTAAATTTTAAAATATACAAAATTATTTCTTTACTTGTTTTATATGCTTGTGCAATTTGGCCTCTAACTCTGAGGGAAGAACATGAGATGGAGGGTGAGATGAAATGCCGAAGAGAATATTTGGACCTAACACAGGAAGTGTTAGTCGCACTGCGACCTTCAACGATCTATAAGCGTACAGTACGAGTAATTTAGTATACTCTAAAGATGAACCTTATTAATGTGACATTCCTAATATTGTTAGATGCGACTAATTCAAGATTTTTGAGGTTGTGTCATTGTCAGAAAGTCTCTAGATTCTATTTTCAGCATACAGTGGGAACAAAAATTTTCATGCCAGATACATGGTTGGACACACAGGACTTTTTTGTAAGGTTGCCTACTGCAGGCATGATGTACCCTCGGGTGTTTCGGACAGACTGTAGGATATTGCCAAGTTATGTTCTGTGTAACATAAAATAATTTGTGAACAAAAGAGAAGTTTGTAATTAACTCCTCCTGGTTAGTTGCATTTGACAATCTTAATATTATTTATATAATTAAGTGTAGTTCTTTGCAGTCTAGATACCATCACAGTTGAGAATGTTTATTGTCAAGCAGGATGTTGACATGAAGATGGCCCAAACATCATCAGTCTGCTGTGGACCTTGTTACTGTTATAATGTCATGTGTATGAGTGACTGAATTTATTGACCACTTATGCACACAATGTGTAACTATAAGTAACTTCACCAGCCTCACTGGTTTACACACACTAAAGATCCCTGTAACTACGGCACACACGAAGTCTTCTGTGTTGTTACAAGTTGTTTCCTGGTAATGGCTTCTGTCAGGGTCCTCTGCTTACATCCTTACTGGTTGGCGAATATCCCACAGTAACTAAACTATAAACTTTGTCTTGCTCATAACTCTGTAGAAAACACCATTACTCTGTTGCTGTATCCATTGTTGCTTTCACAGTCGTTGGTTGGACTGCATAGAAAACACCACTTTCCAGTCAGTCCATTTGTATGCTGGCTGCTGCCTAGCAACAACCGTTGTCTTGTTTGTTTCGCGATCATTGCCTAGCAGCGGGTCTATACACCACAGTAATGATTATCTTTTATTCTTTAGTGCTTACTGCAGTCATATAGACACAGTGTACCAACATTTTATGAAATATTGATATGGTGTTTTGTTTGTGTCATCGCTAGGAACCTGACCAGAGCTCAGATGAGAGTACCCAAGATTCAACCAACGGAAAGCATCCTGCAGCAGTTCCGACAGATGCACTGGATGATACGACTACATCATTCACAGAGGATTCATTGGACAAACCCTTAACACCGACAGCAGTCCCCCCTGGTGATGAGAACACCAATGACTCCATTGCCACTTCTGACTCTGCAACCAACGATTCAACGGCGATCGCTACAGCAATTATTGCGTGTAACAACAAGAGAGACGAAGAAGCTACCACTAAGGCAGAGACAGAAGAGGAAACAACAAGCAGCCTTGAAGAGCCACCAACAAAGAAAACAAAAGTGGATGACGAAAAGTGACCGAAGTACCATTTTTTTTATTAAAATATTTTGAACTCACGAACAAGACAATGTTTTCACCCATGCAAGCAATTTAGTTTTTTTTACAAGTATTGTTGTACATTACATACCAGGATAGGGAACTGTCATGTACAGTTTTTTTTTGTAACTGCATGCAGAGGGGAGAAATGACAATCATATTGATTCAGTGGAGATGGGAAGTTTTTTTTTTGTGGCGTTTGGTGGTATGTACCGTCTCTGTATTATGGTGGTGACTTTTGAACACCACTTACTGCCTACTGTCTTGTGATTGTGTGAGCTCTCCTGTCTGTAAGCAGTCTCAGCCCGTTATTTTGCCCCGAGGTACCAATTCAGTAAGTAAAGAGATGCTGTACTCAAATTGCGGGACTGAAACGTGAAATATATTATTCATGTCTTATGTGTTGGTATTTAATTTAAAAACACAGTACTTTTCATTTTTTTTTGCACTGTAATGTGGATTTACAGTTATTTTAATACAGTCAAGAAAAGCTGTTTATAACAGTGGATTGGTAGCACGCCACTGTGATGGTGGCATCGACATATATAGATCAGAACTTGCTGAAGCAGGTTACTGAGTGAGAAGGCTCTTCTTTTCCTGAATTGTGGATGGTGTGTTCATTCACAGATCACAAGTGCTAATAAAGATCGGAGTTCCATTCTCTGGATATGACGTGAACAATTAATAAGTTTTTCCTTCTTATTATTTTTCTATCATGAAAAAATTCAAATTAAATTTAAGCAATGTTGAAAAATAAAGTTTCTAGTGCATAAATGTTTGGACATATGTCTGTACGTACAGAAATTTTCTTTTTTCAGTTTATATTTTGCTTATACTCAACATTCCAAGATATGTTGTAGAGAAAAGATGTTTCTTTGATTTAGTTGTTAGACATAAAAGAATGAACCATTGGATGCAAAAGTGAGCTACATTTATAACTGCAATTTTGTTAATTCTAAGAGATCATAAATAAGACATACAAGTTTGTGATGATGGTATATTAATACAATTATTGTGTTACTGGACATTATCCATCATCCTGTTTTATTTATTAAAAATGTTTAGGAGACTGGACAGTGTTTCCTTCCTTATGTAAAAGCCTGCACAGTTAGGCCCAGTCAATACAGCTAGTCCCTATCTGCGGACACCAAAACCAACACGACAGGATATGTATGTCTTGTGTTTGTTCTGAATTGTGATGATGATGATGTAGTGCCATTATGCTTTCTGGTTTCTGGAGCTTGTCTGTCGTTTACTGAACAGGGCGCTACATTTTGGAAAAAAAGTTGTTTGCATCCTAAGAGAAAATGAGGGGAGACCTCAATTAAATTGGGTCCACAAGAAGCTGTGGATCCAACTGACTGAGCGGCTCCCCAATTGTTTGCTTGAGGACTGAAGAAGATTAGGTTTCTGAAACTTTGCATTCTGTTTGAAATACCAGACTTGGCTAAGGAGTTACTAATCACATTCTAGTGGCATCGTTTTTTTTTACCTCAACTCATTTTATATAAGAACATGAAGCTGATGTTACACATTCCAAAGCATCATTTGCAGGCTTCTTGAAAGACTCGAGTACCTTATATTGAAATTATGCATGTATCTGTTGGCTTTCCATGCAAGTACTTCTGAGTTTTAACAGTTTTGTAAGATAAGGTGCAATGCATTGCTACTACTATGTGGGGCATTGTACATTTGTAGCAATAACTTCCTCACATTGAACTTTGTTACTGAAAATTCTTCAATTTATGCTTTATTTCAGTGCATTTTGTGTAGCTCAGATAATGATTTAGACTGCAAGGTGAACATGGCAGCCTTGTTCGATGGTTATAAATGTAATCAGTTTTGCATTCAGAAGGTTGTTGCGCAGATGATGTAAAGTCTCGATGTGTTCCAGTAGTTATCGTGTACCCACCAGTACCAAGTTGCATGTCCAGTGATTTAATTTAACTATTTAATATGAACTACTGAAATATGAATTTTATCTGTCCTTAGTTACAAGGAATCAGTGAGGTAATTATGTTCTTGTTAATAATCGATGATCATTTGTAACAAATGTTGCACATTTAATTCAAATTCCCTAAACCCCTACCCAATTTTTAATGGTTTTGTGAGTATTTTTATTGAAATTGATTGGTTAAATTTTGGTCTCAGTAAGATTGGTAACATTATGGGTTTGCTGTTTTCAAGACTTGTATGATAACAGTAAATTTGAAGACAAAATTAATGAGGGATGTAATTCTGTACAGCTATTATTATTTCATTAGTTTGTTTGTTTTTTTTATGTGTGTGTGTGTGTGTGTGTGTATACAGACATTTCACAGGAGTTTGTGAAAGGAAGTTGAAAGAACTTTTTTTTGGTAACTCTTCACAAGTGTTAAATATGCTTGATGAATGATTAAACCAAACTGATTCTAGAGGAGGGAGTATCCTAAGTGATTGGTGTCATCAGTGGTTTTACTGGCAATTAAATGCCTTATTTATTACACTGTATATCTGCTCTTTTTTTTCTCTTCCAGTTTTGATGAGGAATGTAATTAATTGTTAATGACAGAGATTACAGTTTTCCTGAACATTGGCTTTACTAATACTGGTATAAAACCGAGACAAGTTTGTGTGTATGTTATCGTGCAGCATTGTTTCATAATGTTTTCAGTATATTGGTAAAGCAGAAAACACTAAAGAAAAGTGCACTTGGAGAAAAAAATGTCATGGGACAAATCATTTCTTCCTGTCTTTTTTGTTTTTTGTTTTAAATTATGTATTTTTCCCTCCCCCTCTTTTGTGGGGCCTGTTAAATAGTTGCGTCATGCTTGAATGGGTGGGTCTTTCTTGACTTGGATGTGTAAGTAGGGAAACTGTTGTATAAATACAATTCAGATCTACTAAAAGCATGACATTGTGTCATTAGGAATAAAGCATCAGCTATGCAATCTTTCCAGAAATGCCACTAAAATACCGATTGATTGCCTTTTTTGTAGACATGTATTACAACACGTGCATACCTCTGAAAAGTGAGAAAAAGAACTAACAAAACAAAGTACATATAATTTAAATAAGCTGTAAAGAAGTATTTAATTGTCATCGCCTGACTTTCATGATGAAAACCAAAACAAACGTAAGAACAGTACTATGTGCTATTTTTTATATTTTATGACTTTGTAGGTACAACATTAAAATATCTTGTTCAATAAATTATGATAAACATAGTTATTAATTGTAGTTAGTGGAATGATCAGACTATGATCATGTATTCACTCAATGGCCTTAAGACTTGTCACAGATTTTAATGTTTCACCGTTCACTTGCTGTTATTTTGTTTAGTAACTTGTCATTTAGAATGAACTACGGAATGTAGTGGGAGTGGGGAGAATTAGGGCGTCCCACTGAAAACACACTGAAATGGTGATGAGAATATTAATGCAATTGTTATTATGTATATGTTGTAGTACCTTCAAATTGAACATTGGTGATTGCATGAACCTTGCTTATTGTATCCTCTTTTATACTAAATAGCAACTTGTTAAAATATTTCCTTGACGTATTTGATAGTTTTCAAGAATGGGTCATGATGCAACAAGCATCATCAAATTTACAGGTGCCCTGCAATTTCCGGAGGCAACCTTGGACCTTATGTTTGTTGATAATTTTTGGGCAATGTCAAGAAAAATTCATTTGCACTATTTAAATACCAATAGAGAATCATAAGTTTTACATCACATTATAATCAGTTTATGAGAATGGAGTTTGTGGTGATCATATTTTTAAGAGTCTGAAGAAATAATTCTTTTGTTCTCAAGAGGATAAAGTTTTAAAGGGCAGTGAATGGTCGCAGATTCTGTGTATAAAATCTTATAGATACTGACAACTGTTTCCATTGCCTTAGCTGCAGGAAGCAATCTTGCTTTGATGAACAGATTGGATTATTTAATTCTTTGTTGTCTAACATGATACTGTGAGTGGTTTAGAATGTGAAGAACCGTTCTGTTTGGAAACAAATAGATACACCTTTCCCATCTTTTTTGTTTCTTTCATTCCTACCAGCTACAAATTAACTTGCATGAAAATTTAAGAAATAGGTGATTTGGTATGGGAAATATAAAACTTGTACAGTCTGTTGCTCATATATGCCAACTGGTAGAAGAGATACGAAATATATAACGAGCAAAGTTATATCACTCTGCATGTGTTCATACTGTGTTGTAAATTCATGAAGTTCATTGTGAATGGATTCTGACGGTGAATCTGTAGGGTCAAATTATAATGTTGGGAATCTTCTGACAGAAGATAGGAAAGGGGCACTGACCATAGTAGTGTGCAGGTTTGTATTTGTATTGTCAAGAAATTTCCTCTTGATTTTAGGCTGTATTATCAGTATCAACCAAATTCAGTTCTGAGAACGATTCTGTGCTTAGATATGTACAATTCCTGCTCTCGCAGACATCCCATTTCACATTATACATTCATAAGCCTGCATTCACCTCAGTTCAGGTAAATTCTCTAATGTATATTTAGATTCTCTGTTTTAGACAGCAGGAGTAACCCTAAATGACAAACAGTGTTTTGTGTAAGGCTCAGGTTGTAATTATTGGAGACTGGATTTCAAGTTTACAGTAATATGTTGGGGGAAGAACCATTCGGTAGTTTTATAGATTGGTGCAGAGTTAATTTCCTGCCATGGAAAAGTGTGATCAAAGCTTTTTACCTAGATAAGATGTCAACTGTATATAGATATACAAATACCAAAGGTAAAGAAACCTGATTTCACGCAACAATTTATAAGTTAACACTAAAAATTTTATGAGATTTGAGGTTCTTACAGAAATGATTGTGAGCATTAATGTCTTCTGGCATATGCTGCTCTGTAGACTGGCAGAAAGGTGCACAAATGTTTCAGAGGAACCTGCTGTCTCCATCTTCATGTTAGAAGATGGTAAAAAGGTAAAGGTAAAGCTATCCCTGTGAGAGGCCATGGAGGCCCATAGGTTAGTGAGACGTTCAGGCTCCCACATTTCTAGAAAGTGGCAATGAAGTTGTCAGCCTTGCGCACCAGCTAACCTTTACCCCCAGGAAGGTTCCTGGTTATCATTACTGTTAGTGGCTGAGTTGGCCCCAGGTCCATAGTGCGGCTGGAAGTATTAGGTCAATTGAGAAATCATATGACATTGGGATTTGAACCTGTGATCTTCCAGCTTGTTGCATAATGCCTCAACCAACTATGCTACTGCATGCTACCAGACAGCATGGTGTCATATCCCAGAAGATGGTGATGCTAAAAAATTTGTCTTCCATTTGTGTTTGCGTGCAGATTTCTGTTCATTTGAATTTTGTAATACTTCAACAAAAGTTCTGCTTAATGCTAATTTGGATCCTGTTTTGTGTGTAAAATGTGTAGTGTGTTGCTGTCTACATCTTTGTCGGGACTGGACACAAAGGTCTGCAATATGTTGACAGCGCAGCCCGCGTTTACACCATGTGGCATCACAAAAAAATAGTGTAGGCCATGACACTGAACCATTATGAAAACCTGAAATCATTTATAACTTTGCTTCAGTTTGTAACATTTTTTTCTTCTCCACAGTGCAGAAGGTAGAGCTGGATTAGCTCAGTCAGTATAGTGATGGATTATGGGCTGAATGGCCAAGGAATCATGTTCAAATTTCTGGCATCAGCAAGACAGCTCTCTTCTTCATAATATCCAGATTTGCTGTAGGGCCTGCCTAACCTACTGGAAAATCAGTACTAGGAGGGGCTGCTTCCATGGGGCCAAAGCCACTGGGCCATACAGCTAAACATTCCATCTAGTGCTGAGGTTAAAAGTAAATGGAGCTGTACCACCACATCCCCTTACACCTTCATGGCATGGTGCCTAATGAAGTACATGACTTATTTAGTGTTTTTTAACTTTACAATGCCAGAGGTTGGCAGCATGATTGTACGTACTTACTTGAGAACAAGACAAGAAAGATTGAGGAGACTCAGAATTCTCTTCAGTTCGTATTACTGGGTTTCTGGACTTTGTCCATTGTCTAGAATTCGAAACAGGACATAACATTTTAGAAATTGGATCTTTTCCTGGCCTCAGGTAAAAAGATTGGGAGGCATGTATTTACTTTGGTCCACGAGTCACTGAGCCTGGAATGGGACATTTTGTTCTGTTCAGAATACTAGACGATGGGCAGAATCCAGAAACCTAGCACTAACCAGATGTAATATAGATCCTTCCCAGGTTACAAAAGATTTAATTTATCTGAATCTGACTTCATATAAAAAATGTGTTTTTTTACCTTGTTGCATATGTATATAAGAAAGTATTGTGATGAAAAAATTGATTTCAAGATTTTGATGGATCTATACATTTTTAGACTTGCGAATATGAAGATGTGGTTTTTGGAATGCCATTTGTATGTGTATCCATGTAGTGCATCTCATAAGTGCTTAGACAGATGTATTCATGTTGGGTGTCTGAGAGCATATTCATCACAGATAAAGATGAACATTCTGGTTCCACAAATAGGGGCCCTGCAGACAAGACACAAAACACTATGAAGTGATGATTTTCTAGAAAACAGCTATGATTGATTACATTTCAGAACTTAATGGAGACCGTCTCCATAAACGAAACTGCATAAGTGGTACCCTCATGTAAATAAACGTACACTAGGAGCCCAAATGAAACTTATTAAATCTGGCTTTGCTGGTCAGAGAGGCTTCGTTTTAGTTTGGTAATGTAATCAAGATTAGTTACCTATGAAGAAGTATGTGCAATATCTCTGCCAAGGACTATGCCATGAAGGAATATGGGGGAGTGGTATAGCTCCACCATTCTTGACCTCAGCACTGGATGGAAATGAGTGGGCAGCTTCACCCCTGCAGAAATATCCCTCAGTACCCATTGAATACGAGGCTGAGTGGGCCCCCAGAACTGGTTTGGATACTGTGGAATAAAGAGAAATCTCTTGTCCCTACAGGGAATTGAACTATGGCTGTCCAGTCCATCACTGTACAGACTGAGCTATCCCAGCTCCCGCACGACCTTCGTTTCTACCTTTATTTGCTGTATGCATCAGTTTCTCTTCACAACATGCGAATTTAGGTTTGTTAGTTACATGTTGATGTTAAATTACTATGCTATGAGTCTCAATGTCTGACAACTCTACGGGCCTTCACAGCCTGGTACAGGGATAGCTTTACTTTATTTCGATATAGTGACTAGGGTATGGGCTGGATGCCAGCAGGGGGAAGAGATATCTACTTCTCCACAGTGTCCAACCACTCTTCTATCCAAGCAGTACCTGGGCAGGAAACTGATTACTTGCCTTCCATCAAGCTCTAAGATCAAGAATGCATGCAGCTATATTACCAAGCCCCATTTTGGGAGGGGGCGGGATACGTGCTTAAATAAGTGCAGGGACAGTGTCACTTCACATTTATGAGATCTGAGGTACAGCAGTGATTATGAAGCTGACTGTTTTCTTGGATGTGATATTGCATGATGTTGTAGATTGTTACCAGTGTTTCAGAAGAACCTGTTGTCTCTGTCTTCAGGGCAGAAGAATTACTCATCCACCCTGAAGATGGAGAACAGGAGGTTCCTCTAAATGGTAGTGATGTACATGGCCACACATCCCAGAAGACAGTAAGGTTCATAATAATTAACATTTATTTATTTTCTGTAGCCTGGGGAGTATTAATAAGAGTAAGTTGGCCTTGGAAACTTGCAGAATTAAGTGCAAATTATTAATTGGTCCATCTGTAATGCTGTATAGAGAAAGAACAGCGGCTTTGGAGAGTATGAAAGTGGCTAAGTAAACATGGACAACTACAAGTTATAATTTTGAGACTGGAGAAGCATCACTTAAATTATTTTTATCACAAAGGTTTTGGTTAATGTAAATCATGAGAGATTAAAGAACAAAACTGATCCAGTGCAGCTGTGTAGAACAGCGTCTTAACTAGGTAATAAATAATTTGGATCCACTTGATATTTTTTTCTGCCATGATCGAACAGACACCTCCTTATATCCACTGTTCCAAACTGCTCATGATTGTCACCATATCATACTCTGATGGGGACTCATGACTGAAACTTTGTTATAATTTATATGTTGGAGTTGTGAGAAGGATTAAGCTTATGATGATTGTTAAAGAATTATGCATCAGTGTAAATGAGAATTGTGAGCTATCTGAAGTTAATGTTCCAGGATTTCCTTGGAGAGACTGAATAGAATCACAGTTCCCTGGCACACACTAAACAGTTCTGTTAAAATTACTGTTTATGTAAATTCTGATGTGAATGAATTAATCTGTGCTTTCAGCATTCAGTTTATAAAACACAACTTACATGGCCTGTGTTTTATGTTGACAATCTGTTGAAACAGTGTTGGTGTTCAGTGCCTGCAAATGCTTGAATTAGCAGCTTTTGTTATAAATATTTTGGTTTACAGTACTAGGATGTTAGCCAACAAATTTCAAAATAAGATTCCAAAAACATTTGAAGCTCCTCTACAAACATCCAAGGCCAAAGAAAAAAAAAGACTATTTTTAATGTGGCGTAAATGTTCACAAACAAGCACTTGAGAAAGTAGATTACTGATTTAAATTTCATTAGTAAATGAGATGGACTATAGATAATTAAACACAGTAAATATTTATTTTCAGTAATACCACAACATTGATGGACAGAATTGCTACGTCAGTCTACTATATAGAATGTGTGTATGTGGTTGTATCAGTACATAATTTAGCAAAGGGAAGTTGGGTGATTGTGATATTTTTTTGTGACGTGGAATCTTTTTAAAGTTTTTGAAAAATTGTCATTGCAGAGATAATGATTGGTGAAAATATACAATTGCCTGAAAATGTTTTTTTTTTTTAAATTTTGAATGTTCAGTTTATAATACCAAACAGAGACTTGTTTTCTAACATAATTTTTTTTCATACTGATTGCTTTCATCCCAGGTCATTTTGTGGCATTCAAAAAGTGACTGTAAGCATTCTTAAATTTGCTACAAATTG